TCACCGCGCGATTTTCCGCCGCCCGTTTGAACAAGTGCCAATTTCCGAAGGGATCTAAGTGCACGCTAGACTCGCCCGAGGGTACCTGCTCTCTCCGAACATGCAATTGTTGGCATCGTTGTTTATCCAATACAAAATGGTATCAACACCTCGCTTCGCAGGAGATTATTTCCTTCATGTAAATTTAATTTTTTTTTCATTTATTTCGAAACAATGAATGTATTTTACCAACTAAGCTAAGCGCTTCGTTGTTAAAGCGTCTTTGCGCGAAACCAGAAGACGAAGAAGATTCGAATCCCGCAGCGCCGAAAGTTTTTGTTCATTTATGTACAAATAGTTACAATTTAAAGTTTCATCTTGAGTGCAGAGACTATTACGATTAAAAATTAATCTTAAATAGGTTATATTGTGTGCTGTAAAGGATGCACATTTGAAGAACCAAGCATTGCAAAAAATTGCAATAGAACGAACGTAGATAGATATCAAGATTTTCGCGTCATGAAGTCATTGGCCGCTTAGCTTAGTTGGTAAAGCTCCTGGGTGCAAATACCAGAATACGCAGGTTCTAATCTCGAAGCGCCGAAAGTTTATCTTCATTTATCTATAAAAAATTGTGATTTAAAGATTTTTTCATATTAAAAATAAAAATAAATTTATTTATCTTAAAGTTTTCGTCTCCATCTTCGAGCCTTTGGAATCACTTCTGAACTTTCTCTTTCTTAGCTATCTGCCTCACTCAAACGTTCTGTTGCAGGTTTATCTCAGGATTTTTAAATATATCGTAACCTCTAGTTGATTGGACATCCGTGTGTTACAGTAACATAAGCTTAGACACAGTGGAAAGGCTTAGAGATTTGCTCTATTATCGTTAGATCCAACAAAATAAATAACTCGACTGCATGAATTTATTTGTTATATCAAATCAGTTAATTCATAAAAATATAATTTATGTATTTTCATGGTTATTTTAATGCAATGTTTTCAAAATCGATTTCAAGTTTTTTTTTTTTACGTTTTTATGAGTATTGTTTTCGTTTAATAGGCGTGGAAACGCGAATCGTCGCTAACGATTCTTACTTAACTATAAAGAGTATTTTTATTCTACTATAGGCATTGTAATCGTATCGTATCAACTTTACTATAACTACTACTTTTTTTAGTCGCTTCGTCGTTCATGTCGCCTTACGGAAACGTGAAAGTGTTGAGGTTGAAAGTTTATTAAATAAATAAGGAGTGAAATTTTTTACAACGGAAACAAGTCAATAAATTATCAAACATAATTGTTTAAAGCGATGTTTGACACCTCTTATGTCAACAAATAATGTGTTCGGTTCCGTTTAAATGTTACAGCGAGATGAATTGAGATAAGTCTTTGGATCGTGTCCAATGTTATCGGCTGGTTGTTCTTGGTGTAGCAACAGCGATTATTTAGTAAGGGTCTAAGTTCACTAAAGTCCTTGTGTTCATAAAATGTTTTTAGACCTTTTTAGTATGTGAGAAGATGGCAAGTGAGCTGGGAGTTCATCTGATGTTAGAAGACAACCGCCGCCTATGAATACTTACAACATCCTTAAGGCTGGCTACAAATACAATTATATCCAATCACAGTACAAACGGTCATGGTCCTTCCCCGGTCGGACCTGCCCATACGTGCAACAGTTCGACAACAACAGACGAAGACTGCTGTGTGGCCCTACTAGACTGCCTGTAAATAATAATGCCAATTCGTTGAATATTTTCTGTCGTAAGTTTAAGGAAAAGTTAAAATAATTTATCGGAAATTATATTTTCAAAGTAAAACGGCGCGTTTTTTAAGCTTTGGACGGGGTTATTTTTAGAGGTTCAATAATTAAAATTAATAATAAAATTTCGGTCATTGACAGCGACAGGAAAAACCAAAACCGTGGTCATACTTTAGTGTGTTAGCAACCTATGTCATTACTACCGTGCACCTATTATTCTACGTAGTGTCACGCAATCGCCGCATTCACTAGTAAATCACGTTTTTATTTACAACTTTATTCTCCGCCCTATTTGCATAGCAACGTGCAAACATTCTCTTTGCATATAGTAGTTTTATTAAATTCTCCACGTCGCTTGGTGTCTTTAATAGTTGCTTAAGTTTTTTGGTGGAATCTCTTATATTAAATGGCAAGCAATCTAGATAAAAACGCTAGCTTATCTCAGTATAAAAGACCGTAACCCTCTTCTTTCGCCATGGGTTTTAAATGATCGATAGGACTCAGAAACGTGGCTCGGTTTAACCCGTGAACCTTTTTAATGTAAAAGGATCAATGCGCGAAATGTCTTTTGGAGATGATGTTGCAAAAATATGCACTCAAAATTATCGTGCGCGCCTCAAAAAGGTACTTGTGAAATTTCACGTTTATAGCTCCAGGGGTTATGGCACGGCCGGAGATGCATCAGATGTGAGTCAGATAGTATGGGCACGTTATTTTGGAAAGGTATAGACGTGCCTTCAACTGTACGTAAATAATAGCCTGATACTTTCTCGGAACGAAACGTTACATTAACTTTCTAAGTTTATACTTTTCATAATCAAAATGTAGTACCGTATTTATTTGTTTAATTAAACGGAAGATATTCTAGAACAGCTTGTTCTAGAATATGCTCCGTTTTATGTTCTACTATTCATCATATAGAATTCTCAGCTGTTTAAGAGAACTTTTTAATTAGAGAATGTCTTCATATAAACCTTCAAAATTGACCCCCATGCGACATCGTTGCATTGCGCGTGAAGTAGACTATAAATGCGCACAAATAGACGTGACCAAACAATCCGACGCCCCGCTGCTCCTTATTCCGGCGTCGCGCGATAACATCCACCGTTCGCCGGGTGGCGTTCCTTCGCCCCGGCATCAATACCGAATCTCTATTGTTTGGGCTCATTAGCCCAGATCGGCCCATTCATACGGCGTTCGAATCGATCGCTCGCCGTGTCGTCGATCGTAATCGTGTCTTAAACAAATTTTATGGTAATGCATCTAATTCGGCTTTACGACGGTACGGCCGGGCTCAGTTGCACAAGCGTCAAGTGCGGCGTGGGTGAGGGCGCGGATCGACCGTGGCCCCTTTGATCTCGGGGCCCGTGTGCAGGGCTCATCGGAGATTTTACATATGCACGTAACGAATAGCCGGAAGCGACCGTTTCCAATGCATCTTGCGGCACGCATAATTTATGGAAAATGGAAATTGGTCTCGTTACGTCTCTCGAATCGTGAACAACAAAGCACGGTGCTGTTGCACGTGAAAAAAATTCTAAGGACCTCACCGATATCGCCGATTCCGATAACGTCGCCACGGAAAAACGCAGTAAGTGGTTAATGCGACATCATAATAAACATTTTGATGACTCCGTGGCGCAGTTGCGGTTCGATTTTCCCACACGAGACAACTATTTGTGTGACCCAGAGATAGTTGTTTCGCGTCTGGGTGTTTGTCCGCGTGAAATTTATGTTTGTAAATCGTCCCTACAACACAGGATAATGTTATCCTAAAGTACGGGCAATGTTTTTTTTTTAAAGATATGCTAAGATACAATGATCCAAAACAACTTCACATTTCCAATCCCAAAGTCAAATGCGGGACAAGCGTTTCAAAATTTACACTGTATGTCCAGAACCCTTTTACTGGTCTTTAGTATGCTTTTGTAAAAACGGCACTTCAGATAATTAACCTCAGCTGCCCTTAATACGTCCTCCGACCGTTAGTCCGGAGTGAAGTGTTTGCATACAGAGTGACAACGAATGAAAAGGTTGACGACAGTCGTGCTCTCCGCTCGGTCGGCAATCACATGTAAATGAAGCCTGGCCATTGAAGCCGGTCCCACGGAACAATGTGGGGCGTTGCGAGCCCGGCGAAACAACGGTTACAGGCCCTGACGGACGGGTCATTAGGCGCGTATTAAATTCACAAGTTTCCATTTTCCCCAAGTTTGACCAACTCATTCGCGCGCTCGTGAAAGTTGCTCGCGACCTCCGCACGAATCTCGCGCCGAAGTAGCTCTGTGAAGATTTTCACGTATTCCCCCCCTGTGTGGTCGCGTGAAATGCGCCGCGCTGTAAAACGGTCGTGGACGATCCGACTACTAAAACACGATACCCTCAAGATATTCAAATGAGTGTCAAATTTCAACCGCGCTGATCGGCGGCCGGGAGTGTTGACGCTGCGCGCTAAGAGATTTATGCGTGCCGCTTAAAATGAATAAAATTGTCGCGACTCCACGTGTGCCTGCTCTCTCATCTCATCGCGTGCCGCGGCTCTATCTCTCTTGGATCTCGATTCCCATCGCGATAGGGAACCGCGGTGAATCAATCTTCCTGAATCCGGACATTATCTGTGATCGGCGTGGACTACGTTTGACGTCTTCGCTAAGAGGAAAGTTCTTTCATAAATGTTATATCGATTTGATGGGACTTTACGTGTCGTTATAGAAGCTCTTACATGCTATAGGAGATCTAAAGTAATTAATTGTGTCATGAGATATGAATACGATTGCAATGAAGGTAGAATTAGAAAAGTTTTCTTTCAAGAAGTTGACGAAATATTGTCCTGTTAAAATACTTTTTGGAATCAGTTGTCGCCAGGATACTGGATCAGTTCAACTTGGGGAACTCCAAGAAAAGAACCTTTACCTGCTCCAAAGTCTTTTAACGATATTGGTGATGCATGTGTTCATCGGTCACCAACCATTAGGTGGCCCCGTTTGCTTCCATTAAATAAATTAAACTACTTTTACGGTTTTCATCGCATTCAATTTTAGATTTATGTTCTCGACGTTTCAAACGCTTATGCAAGGGCTATCGCATAGTTCGGGCGAGCTAATTGAATTCATTCTCACATTCTCAATTATTTCCCGTAGCTCAGTTTTGTTATCGGCACGAGAGCGACCATCAAATTTATGATACGGCGCTATAAATCGCGTAGGAATAACGGCGGACAAGTTTATCCGAATGATTCGTAACTTAATTAGTGGCCAGATGAAAGCGAGCATATCGTTGTCGTCCCGGTATTTAGGTGAGTTGCCTTGGGTCATCACCTGGCCTTTCATTGCCTTCCAATTGCATTCGTTGTTTCAGTGTTAGATGTAACTGTCCATTTATGCGCGCTCATCAACTCCAAGCCGACGCTGATTTGTGAAACGCCCTTATGATATTCACGATTGTTCGTCAAAACACGCCCACTCGGAGTACGGTCGATAATGATCTTGGAATAAATGTATGTCAAGAATACACGCACCGAGCTTGCGCTATAAGTTAAATCGTAAACAGCGACTTGATGTCGAATTGCCGATAAGACACGAAGCTTGGAAGTAACTCTTAGAAATTGCAAACATTGCCAGCGAGCGACATCTCGAGCAATGTCTTTTAACGTTATACGACACAACTTATAAAAACAATGAAAGAGGGTTAGAATGAAGGTTAAGGTTAAAATCAAAGGTGTTTTCAAATAACTCGTCGCCAAGACAATCCTTACGAGTAAAATACTCAAACCTTAATTTTAGTTGAACGTAACAACGCTTTACACCAAAAGATATGTCTGGTCGTTTTTAAGGCTCCGTACCCAAAGGGTAAAACGGAAACCTATTACTAAGACTCCGCTGTCTGTCTGTCCGTCTGTCACCAGGCTGTATCTCATGAACCGTTAATAGTTAGACAGTTGAAATTTTGCCGTTGCCGCTATAACAAGAAATACTAAAAAATTGTATAAATAAATATTTAAGTGGGGCTCCCATTCAACAGACATGATTATGTTACCGTTTTTATAGGTAATAGTACAGAACCCTTCTTGTGCGAGTCCGACTCACACTTGGCCGGTTTTATTTGTCTTTTAGTTACACTATCGTTCCAGCTAACATAATAAACTTTTGTATAATAAATTTACACTGCTGCAAATAACTTGTTGTTACATTACGTTCGTTCCCTGCATCAAATTCAAATAGGACTCATGGTGACCTTTTCTTTATGTCACATTAATCTAATAAAATTATTCTGTGTGGGCGTTATTCTAAGTTACACGGCAGTTAACGTGAACATGACGTTTACATAATGCGATCTGTCAAATTAACATTATGAGTACTAAAGTGGACTATTGCCAGCGGCAAGATAGTAATCAAAGTCAATAAATATGTACATATATTGACAATAAAAATTAGCAATGACTTCGTTATTATAAACGCTATAAGAAAATATATTTGTAAGCGGTTATGCAACGCGTTATTCCTTTGATTGTAAAGCTGAGTGCTTGCACACCAACGCTATTCAGAGCGTTAAATTGGGTGATGTGTTTTTAGATGATCTTATATTTGCCAGGATACTTTTCGATAAAAAAAATTATCACAGATTACAACGTGCATTAATTTTATATCAATTGCAGCCGAAGCGTGGCTTAGCTAGTATAATATGCTAGTTCAACAATTCTGAACAGTTAAGGATTTTTTTTATGAGTCACAATCGTACAAAATTAAGCCTAATAACCTGCGACGTTGAAAGGTTTTAGTGCTCATTTTTGACTTTCATTGTTTCCAAATTGTTACCATCCTTCTTGTTACCATTTGAAATCTAAGCTTATTTAAGCACTTTCTTGAAACAAGGCTGCATTCAAGAAAGATTGGTATTAGTCTCCCAAGTTAAGGCGAAGTCGTGAGTTTTTAAATATTATGATAATGGTGCAATGTAATATCTCATTACAAGACTTGTAAATGCAGCCAGTCTGGCGTCTTATCCTGACGAAAGTTCGCTTTCTCAGACGACTCGGTTCACGCCGATTGGAGTTCTACGACCCTCCAACCCGCATTGTCTCGACTATTCAGAATTTAAAATAGCCAATCCTTTTCTAAAAGCACACAAAACGCTTGTGTTTTACCACTGTTGTATACATTACTTGCTCTTTGTTCTTTGACATACCTGTATATTTCACAGGCCTGTTTGAAAATTCCCTAAGTTTCTTTATGTTTATGGTGAATCATTTGCCCCCATAACTTTCCCTACAATTAGAGTATCTAAGTCGACCACTTTTACTAAATTTCTGTATTGTTTGTTACATAGAAGACGTTTGAAGCTGTTGCTATATAGAAATAATTTATATGTTCTTTAAAATTATGCGACTGCGGTTAACTCAATCACGACTTCAACTTTACGAGTACACCGATCTTCGGCGGTACTCGCTCACTATCTTCTTTCCCCTGAACAATAGTTACGCGAGAACTTTCTCTACACGAGAAGAATTATAATTGTGTCTATAAATATAGAGAGGATGGTTGAGCGTTTATTATAAAACTGATTCATTCTACTATTGAAATAATTATTCGTCTCTATGATTTCCTTCTAGCAATTACGAACGAAGTCACTGTTAACGTTAAAGTATCTATTTACGTTGTTTTTCTGGAGTTTTTTCATGTTAGCGTCCTCGCTCCCTTTCGCATTGACGTCAATCATCATTTGTCGTTCTAGTTAAAATTCATATTTAACTGTCTGAGTCACCTTTACGCTGTGACATACTGTGCGGTAAATGCAGCGCGTAAAGGCAGATTTTTATGCGTATATTTTCTTATTCTGTGCACATAGCGTTTTTTTTTTCTTTTACTGAAACTGAATGTGTTTGTGATTGTTCAGTTTATAGTCTCGGCAGTTCCATGTCAAGTGTGTCCTGTGATTGATTAAGGAGTTTGAGTAATACACAATGTTACTGTGTATGGTTTTCACGTATGGACACATCAAGATACGCAGTGTCTTCTTAATGACGACTGAAATCTTTGATCTCCTGTATGACAGATCTTGGATACATTTATTTGTAATATATACAGTATATCTAGAACGCTTGATAGAAACAAGAAGGTTGTCGAACAAAGAAGTTTCTCTCCTCTTTCGCAATTTCCTAATACAAACAGCAGAGGAATGAAACATTTGCTGACCTCAGTTTTCTATCTGTTTATGCACAAGCCTTCTGCTTCGTATAACCCTCTACAGAGTGAGTACGATTTTTTCGACCCGAAAATTGGCTAACGCTGTTGACTATTATCTGATCTTAACACACTCAATATCAGTGTGTCGAACGGGAAAATTCACGCTGGCAAACTGGTCCACTACTTCGCTGTGGGCATTACGAAAGAGGATGTGAACCATAAGCATTTGCTACATAAAACCATATCACTGTTCATCCATCAAGTAGGATGGCAGTCAAGCACTGGCCAGTTTTTGTTTGAAAAGTTTTTTCAGCTGACCAACGATACAGGGGATATACGATTAAATACACTGACATTATATGAAATTGTAAAAACTGGCACAGAGTCACCTAGGCTCATCCGAGAGGATGTAATTTGGGAGTATTATTTACATTTTAAACATACCGACGAAATAGTATAAATAAAAGAAATAAAAATTTTACGTTTTTTTTCTTCTGTTTGATCTCGAGTTATTATTTATTCAAAGGGTCGATGCAAAGACTTCTCTGCTTCTATGTTTACTTTGAAGCTATTTAATGTAAAACACGGTGACAATTATTTATGGCAGTTTCAAGATATTGTTTGCAATGCAGAGATAATCTGTAATCATACATGTATTGTTAAGAACTAAAATATCTTTCTTGGTATTTGTTTTTACTCTCTGTGAATGTTCAACACATTCCGGAAGTCGTTTCATCACTTAATAAAAAAGCTGTTTTAATCATTAGTAAAAAAGGATTTATTTCAATCGAACAACAGTATTTTTTTTAGTTTGGAATCTCAAGATTTCATATCAAGTCTGAATTAAATGCTATTGAACTGACCGTACTCGTATTGCAATTTCCTAATCACAAAAGTTTTAAAATAAGATGTACAATCATGTTTATGTTTACGTGATTGTTACAGTATGTCATTTAAATATGTGTAATGAATATATGACATAGTTTTAATTTCAATTCTGTTACCAGATAGATCTAAGGGGACGAAGTCGCAGTCTTCACATAGTTATCAATATAATAAATGTTAAGAGCTGTATGAAGTGATGTTGAACAATATTCAAATATAAGAAATACAAGACTAATACAATGCAAGGCGTAAGGATCAAAATTTTCAAAAGATAAATCTGAGAACTAAGTAAACTTGTAACGAAGAATGGAAATCCAAACACTTGACGCAAGCACGACTCCTTATTTTTCTCGTAACTTGAATGTATGGTTCTTTTCTAACTCTGTGGAATACTATAGTGTTATACTGTCGAGTTGTCTGTTGATCGCTCGACTACAAAATTATAGTATTTTTGTTTAATAATATAATAAAAGTAACCGTCCAACACGATCAAACTAAAAGACGTGAGCTAAGGGAACATTTATATTATTGTGACAGTCGGTTTGTATCGTTTTCTAAGTATAATATTTGATATGCCGGCTGTTATCTATAATGTACTATTATAATAGCTACGCTGCGTAAGGCTAACCACAGACTTCATTTTTTTCTTTAGGTTATGCAAATATGACGTCTTTTAATAATGTTATAAATCCTGTACGATATATCTTTCTAATCAACATATCTTTGAGATTTATATACTTTTGTATAATTTACATTGCATCTTTAACAGATGCTTATTGTTTTATATTTACATTTAATCAGAAAAGAAAGAAGATATTGTTAATTATTATCTAGTAATGTTATACTAAACGCAAACTATACAAGGTTAAATATGAAGCCAAACTTTATGAATGTCTATGGAAAATATTAAATGTCTTACATGGCAAAGCCGTATTAGCTTTACGATCGCCAACCTAAAAAAATTAGAAGTGCTCTACTCGCGAGTTACGCGAACGTTAAACGTTTTTTACTCTCTTCTCATTTTCACCGGGTCGTAATACGGGTGGGGTTTTATCTACTGGGTTTTATCTGGCGCAGTCTGTGGTCGGCCTTGCGCTGTGCCCGGACGGACCACCGCGGCGCGCACTCGAGACTCCGCGTCGATGCCCCGCTTCCGTATGAGACGCACCGTCGCACGCACGCACTCGACCGTCCTCGTGGTATACAGCATTTTTTTTAAATACGTCAGTGTGCCTGAGTTCCGTTTCAAAGAGCAGCCCTAATCAGTCTGAGACATCCATGGTACACTTACATTCTTGGTGCTCCCGTGTAGCGACCCTCGTGCTTTAGGTGCGCTAAGCCAACGGATGCGTGCAACATAATCATACTAGGGTCGGAAACACAAGTTTATAGGGTCAGGAGTATCATCGCAATTTGGCTTGAGGACGGTTAGGTAATCACCGGCACGTCTATCAATTTTCGAATCGGAAGCAGACAGTAAAGAACTAGGGACGTTCTTTGATCCATCCCTGACTACATATGATTTTAATTTAGATCGTTTTAATTGCAAAAAATCTGTGCAGAAACATTTACTGTATGCCAATCATCAGTGAGAATATTCAGTATCAATATTATATTTCTTAACTTTTGGAATGTTATAGGTGTTCTTGCATTTTTATTTGAATCAAAAGGTTAGTTATCGAACAAAAAAAATTGTTTTGATTAAAAAAAAATCAAAAAGTTTAAGGAAGCTGTTTGAAAAGTTAGTTTTATTAAATTTACCAAGTTGATAATAAATATCATTTTTTTTTTATACACGGATTCGTCGGATTTTCATTGGGCGAGGTGAGGCCTATACGTACAGATATTAGAAACGATGTTAGGAGATTATCCAGAACCATCCAACAAGTACTTCACGTAGGTGGCCGAGTATTTCTTAATATTATATTATTGTATAAGGCTAGCCTAAGAAAAGAATTCGGTAATAAGTCTTGCTATAATTACACATTACGCATACACCACTTGCTCGGATACGCCTAATCTGGGCGCGAAAATATGATATTCTCTACAAACGTTGTTACAACGTTCAACAACACGCCCTAATAAGAATCTATTAGATATAATGAGTGTTAATCTGCTATAAACGCGTAATTTATCGGCCTATCTCGCAGCAGCTCAGCTGTTTGTCTTACGTCTAAAGTTGCGCGCGTGAACCCGTGAACCGAAGCGTGACGCAATAAATCATCGGGCTATTAGGGGGTGCGTTAGACGATAGTTTAGAGCCAATGGCACCCTCATTGGCTTGAAATCTCCGTATAGGCGTGATTGCCATGGGGTGCGGGAGTGGCAAAGGTTAGACGATTCATACTCGCCTCCGCCGACTCACGCCCGCCATCTGTCGCCTCTGATTTGGATTTACGCCAGTGATATCGGTCTAGAGCAGTGATTCCCAAAGTGTGTGCCTTAGAAAAGTCACCAGGTTTGAGGTAAATACGTAATAAGGAGAACCCTTTCGTTTTTCTTACTTTTTAGCGTTCCGTACCTTAAATCACTCTCTTGTCCGTCTATATGTCTGTGTGTCACCACCGATTTTCTCAGGAACGGGTGAACCTGGCAAGTTGAAATTTATATCACATACTGAGACTATAGACAAAATTTAAGGTGTTGCCCATACGTACATAGTTGACGCCAATTGAGATAGTCTTCTGATTTGTTGCAAGCTCATACAAATACAATTACATACTAGATAATGGTAAGGAATCTTTAGTGCGCGAGTCCGACTCGAACTTGCCCGGTTTTTTTTAAATAAATTAAGCATAAATTATTAAACATAAATTAAACGTGAATTAGTAAGTATGCCGTCCCCTAAAAACTTTAGGAGCCTCTAGCTTGGAGTATGACTCATAACTGAGGAACTTGGGGGCTCACGTTTTACCGTACAGGATAACGCCCCACAGACACCAATCAATGTAACTGCCATTAATCTTACTGAAGTAGGGCACTAATATCGGTCAATTAACAAGACAGTCTAAACAATCTTAGAAAAGAGAATTATTATTTGCTTTATAGTAATATTTTTTAAATAAGCCTTCTGATTTCTATAAAATAACTACAACACCAGATACTCATTTAATTATCCATATCAAATATCTTTTACCAAGCTCCTAAATCTATATACATTTCAAGACGTATCAAATTAATGTTTACGAGCTACTAAACTCCTTCGTGAGCTCATCTTTACACAAACAAAAGCGAAAAAGTTTATGAAGTTTTATAGTTAACTGGGTAGTATGTACCTCTTTATATTTATGAGCTTAAAACTTAATACCTCACATATTAAATATAAGTAAAAAAAAACTGTGGTCTCTGTCTCTCATAAGACGAAATAAAAGGTCAACAAAAAGATTAAGAGTAGAGGAACACATAGAAGTCTGCAGTTTGTAATCATATTTTACACCGCCCCAATCATTATACATTAGATTCGATAAACCTCAAATCCTCGTAAGAGAACATCGACTCCTCCCAAGGATGATCCGGGAGGATATTGTAATAAAGAAACATGCTGATTTCAATGGAGAAGATGCTTGGGTTCTAAAATTAGCTTGGTATCCTATAATTTATACAATTAAATCCAAGCACACTAGCTAAGCTTTAAATGATAATAAAATAAATAATTGACGGTTTCGGTTTGACCCGGGCTGGGCTAACCCTGATTTTACGACTTAAAACAATACAGTCTGTGACCATGGACGTAATATAAAGTCTAAATAAAATGCGATAAAACCTGTAAAACAGTTTTATTTAACCAATAGTGATGAAAGTATATTAAGTCTTATATCAATGTATTAAGTCAAGAGCGCAGTTCCAATCAGCCCCTTAACATAAAAATGTCGTTATATGCGGCGATACCGACAATGGAATAAATTGAACGCAACAACGATGGGCATCCATGATACGGTAATCACTTAACATCAAGTGAACCGCCTGCTCATTTGCGTCATCTCACATAATGAAAAGCCTACATTTAAATCACATCGGCGCAGATTAAATCCTATTATATCTTGTACATACTTGCTTTGATTACTCCTTTTTAATTAATAAAGTCTTTTTAACTAAACATTTAGTAATATTGTAATAAACATTAATCGGTTAATTTATAGCCATATTTATTAGATTTTTCTTTCACAGGCGGAGCTTGTAGACATGAGAGCGGAGTTAGTGCAGGCGCGGGCGGCTGCTGTTGGTAAGCCGCACCAGCTATCTGGGCTAATCCCTCTTTGCCAACTAACCCGAGATGTTTTCTTTCCAGTGTTATATAACGCTCATACATTGTGTTTGGGATTATTAGTTTCCTTTCGCGTGGCTGTAAACCTCGTTACGATCGTATAAGAACGGCTATAATCCCAGTCTATATTTGTGGCGTAGGTAAAAAAAGTTTTACGGTTAAGAAATGGCGATTTAATCCAACAGGGCTGTCGGTAGACGATTTCACGTTGAAGTAATAACATTTTTATAAACACCGTTTAATCTTTTGTTCGAATACATTCCAAACAAAGCTTTTCTTTTCCATTAATAATTTTGTTATACCTGTATAGTTTTGATATCGGTCGGTCGCGGACGAATCGTTGGCAATCGCCAGCCCGGAATGTGTCATTCATTAGTTTGAATTAAACTGTGGTGGCACGTCTAGCGGGCGCGGGCGACAAATGCAACGCGTTTCGCTTAATTATTTATACACGCAACATGTACACAGAGTTAAAGTTAAATCTGACTCACGATTGAATAGTAAATTCAACGAGCCGGCCTGAGGTCGTTTGCTCCTTTGTTGTTGAAAGCGCGCGCACTATCGCACGAGTACTTGCGAGATTGGTAAATGAAGATCGATAAGTATCTACTTCCCCCCGCAGACGCCCATGTTTATTTATCGTATATCGAAAACGTAAGAGTGAACTTGTTTGACTTGCTGTTGTAATACTTTTGTTTTTCGATACCGATCAAATATTGACTGTCTTTTTAAATGTACAAACTTTGCGCTTGTTTTTGAGTATTTTCTAGAAGTCTTTTAGTGACATCTATTTTTATTATCAAAATTTGGACAATGTCTTATTAGTATCAATATCAGAACGTTTACTTTGTTTTTTTCTTTAGGTAATATTTGAGTCTTAGTGATAGAAAAATCGACTAAATGAATGCACGAGCTTATTTAAACAGTAAAGGGATTGATAGAGATTGTTAACTTTTCACCGACCTTAATTAACTTATGGGATTCGAACCCGCGTCTTCGAGTCACAATTTCAACTTCCCAGCATCATTGTTATGTTGTTCATATTTAGGTTACAAGGAGACAGGTGACGGGATCGGACGCGTGAGCGAGACCGCTCGGGCCAGGGCGGAGGCTGCGCAGTTGGCGAGGGAGAATGCCGCCCTGAGAGACACCGTGCTGACTTTGCATTCGGAACTCTTCGGCGCGAGGTGACCAATCCGATCTTCGAAACGGCACTAAGCTATCGCACGAGTGTAGCTCGGTTTTGACTCAACGAATATCGACTAAAGGAACAGCCAATACATGTCCCACTGCTGGGCAAAGGTCTCCCCTGCACAGAAGGCATACTCCACCATCACGCGGCCCTTCTGCGGAATGGCTGACTTCACGTATATTCGAAATATTTTATTTTTGTTATTATTCCGAATATATACAGCATTTGTAAAGAAGTTTAACTTCACTGATAGAGCAGTGCCCCATTAAAAAAAAGTAACGAAAATATTTATCATATCCTTATTGCTTTAAGTAATAAGGCCGCCCATTGTACAACCCTTACCTAATTGTTATTTTAATGTATTCTTTTTTAACCATGGTGTGTGCAATAAAAAATATTCATTCATTCATTCATCCTTATTAATTAGTAGTTATGGTGAGGCGTTCATGTCAGAAAAACTTTTTCACAATCTCTCTAGAATCTAGAATGTCCAACGTTATTGGTGAATAAAGCCAAGAGGTTTATATTCAGTATCGGCATGACGTTTTCTTCATTTATAAAGAGCAAGACAAGACGACGAGACGCACATACGCAATGTGTAAAGTAACTAAAAAAGAAGAAAAGAACAGATAATAAGAGTTCTTTACGGCGTTTTATATTATTTTATTTGTTCTATAATCTGTGGGTGATACTAATATTCTTTACCAACTGTTAACTTTCATTTCAAAACACATTTCATTTTAAAACTTACATATTTTAATGTCAATTAAGGGCAACTCATGTCTTTACGCGCGCTTGTTATTTCAGAGTTTCTTTCAGAAAAATAAAGTTTATTTCTGAACAGTGTACATTCACTTAATGATCAAACGTCACACGAGTTACATAAGGTATTTTTGGTGATTTATTGATAAAGTTTGAGAGCTTTTTATTAACGATCACTATCCAAACTGAAAGTGGAAAAGAATGAGTCATCATATTACAATTCTAAGTTACGCGGCGTTGAATAGTTCGAAGCGTTTTATTGAAATTTTAACAGTCATTATATCTAAGTAAATTGTTTTTTCTGCCTGTTGTGGGACTTCAGATCGATTTCCGGTGTGGACGAATATCTTTACATTTTCCAAAACTTGTTCTCGATTAATAAATTCGATGGGTTCACATTTAACCGAAGAATACCTCGAGAAAGTGGTTTCAGACTGTGACAAGGCCTGCAAATGTATAAATTAATATACTGGTGATAACAATGAATTAAGACGTTTATAAAAGTAACTTAATGGTACAAAATAATTTCAACCCTCATAAAGATTTAAAACCCCCATACATATTATAATCATCTTCGGATTATACAAAAATTTGTGATTTGTAATTGTTGATTTTTAATAGATATGAAAATATTTTTAAGATTTATAAAATATAAAAGAAACATTTTTATCTTCGACATCAGTAAAGCATCGAAGCACACTAATTAAGTATCGTATACTTGAATACTGTTTTCTAATCTTTTTGTTCTTAAATAAAGTGGCCTCTTTTATGACTAACAAAAAGGTCGTATTAATAAATTGGAGAGCTACATTCCTTTGTTCTAGCTGATATGTTGATTGCAAATTTCCATTCATATTTTTGAAAATGTAACCTTCATAATAAAAGATAACCATATTATCAGCCGTTTAGCTTAGTGGCTAAAGCGTGAGGCCGCGAATGCCGAAGACGTGGGTTAGATTCCCACAGCGGCGACAATCTTTTCGTACTATTTCTTCAAATTTTAATACAGCTTAAACAAATAAAATACAGTAAAAAAAACTGTTTTTTTATTTCTTTAACCTGTTTTTTTTTATTTCAGCTCGGATTAAAACAAAAAAAATTTTAAACTGGGCTGTCAATATAACAAATTCTTTGTATACCTACACAATCAGTGCAGTAGAACGTCGCTATCAATTGAATAATGTACACGGAACATTACTATGGGCAAGGAAGAAGACGTTGTAGTAGAAGACTATATCTACCAGGATCTACATATTCTACCAAGAAATGGCAGGCTATAGTGCACAGCTACACGTGATAACCGATTCATCGTTAGCACTATGCAAAAAAATCGACATGTCAAAAAACACCATAAAATTGTGAGCTCCGACACGGTTCCACGACGTTCCCAATAGTCCAATAGTCTTCAGTGGCTTGGTGGATTTTATTTTGTCGTTACTTATTAGAGCCCCAAGCAGCAATTGTCAACCATATAATGTTTCTCCATTTCAAAAACAACTAAGTCATTGAGAGATTAGTGGGTGCGTTTCTTACGGGCAATGGAGCAGTATCATATCAAACGTTGGAGTGATAATGTTTTCGCAACTAGATTGCTGCAGTCGTTTGCGCCCTCCCACCCCCCTTAGCTTTATGTTAGTGAACCTGTGAAAAGGTTTGAGGTTTTATGCAAAATAGGTTTTTTGTAACATTGGTGTTGGCTGCAAAATTTAAACGGGTTACTGTAATAAGAAGATTGAATTAGGAGTACGCTCGATAATTATACAAAAACCCTATTTTAATTCCGTGGAAATCTATGGATACAGACCAGTGAATCTATCCTGAATACAAGTAAAACGGTATTTTCGCTAGTTCCTAGTCAAAACCTTTTGTTTATGAAACCCACGTAACAAAGGGAGTATTCTATAGTACTGAAATAATTTAATTTTTAACAAAGGAACATTAGCTTTTTTTATCAATTTTCACACAATAACAACAAGACAACACTATCGACGCATACAATAAAAATTCAATTAATAGAAAATATCTCTCAACACGCAAAGACCAACAATCCTTTATTAAAGTTTACACATCTCCAGTAAGTTGTTTGTGCGGTCGCGTCCCGTTTACTTAACCTTGCTTTTTGTTTGTCGTTTCGGTTAAACGCTTCGTCCATGACATGAAGGTCGCAACACGGATGATGTTTCAATTAATTAAAAGCCAAAAGTGTTCAAGTGTAAACCGCAAAAAGCTCTACGACAGTTTTTCTATCTATAGTTTTTGTTATTAAATTAAATCTTATATAAATGGCATTTTCATATAAATGTACTTTTGCTATATAAAACATGGAACTGAATTACGTATTTTATTTATATTATCAATAGTGGTTCTCTTTCCTTGTTTTTTTTTTTTCTATCGGAACATTCACGAGTAAATTCGTTGGCAATTAGCCCGGACTGAAAGAAATCAAACGATTTATTTCACAGATTGGCCACAAAATATCTGGACAAAGAGCTGGCTGGCAGGATACAGCAGCTTCAACTCCTCGGCAGGGACATGCGGTCGGAAGTTAGAGATTCTCTTTGGGCTCAGGTATACTGGAAAAGCTTACTTAACTCGTAACTTTACCTTAAATTCTATTAGGTAGTTTTCATTTTTATAAAAGTGACAAAATGGATGTATGCGATGCTGGAGAATCGTTTTATATCGATATGTGAAAAAAGGTAAATGTTATGCATATATACGCATATAATACAATAATAAAAAATGAGATATTTCCTTATGTACGCACGAGCCCTAATTACCAATTCATACTGATTGGTTACATTATAATAACATTTACGACTCCCACTGTGAGTGCATCATTAATTAGGCCCATGTATGTATCTACTCATGGCTGCAGAATACTACGGAGAATCGTATATAGAACAGAAAACGTTCGCACAGGGGCGTCATCTGTCGCCTTTGGTCTTCTATAGCAAAGTCAACAGTTTTTTAACTTCGACGGTGGATTTTAATATAACGTCTGCCAGCATTGCTGAGACACCATTTTTCCAGGCAAACGAGGTGGCCTCGTATAAACTTCTGCTGTCGTACGAATGGGCAGGTCCGTCTTGGTAACTACCACGACCTCACAGAAGAGCGGCGTGAAGTAGAAGCGTTACACTTCTGCCTTTCCTCTGGTGAGTGAGGTAGCCAGGGCCCACTTTATTTAAAGGTGGCCCCGGCACCCTCACTCCTTTTGCAACCCTACGGGTGTTGCAAATGTCCATGGGCGGAGGTTATCACTTAACATCAGGTGAACCGCCAGCTCGTTTGCCACTTTCTCACATAAAAAAATAAAAGTGGAAGTGTCATAATTCTGCGTTTCGTCTGGTGAGCGAGGTAGCCGGGGCCACATTTATAATAAGGTGGGAACGCATCTGTAACCCTGCGGGTGTTGCAAGGTCCAAGGTCCCATGGGCGGTGGTTATCGCTTAACATCAGGTGCACCGCCTCCTCGCTTGCCAACTTCTCGAATGCAAATAGGTGGAAGCGGAGATCCTGCTGCAGCGGCACAAGACGCTGGTGCGCGTGTGCCGGGGGCTGTCGCCGCGGCCGGCCCGTCCGCGCGCGCCCGCCGCCAGGCCGCGTACTGTGCGCGTCCGCCGCTCGCCCCACCTCGGCCTCGGGATTTCCGTTACGGTATTGCCCTTTTGAGTATAAAATATGTGGGAAAATTGAGGATTTGGTCGTGTTGGAATATTGGCTAGACGCTCGAACCAGGCGGCTTATCTTCGTCCGAAACCGTCCCTGAGAACTGCGCGCAATCGTCACGACAAGGCAAACTATAAAGCCTGTTCTTACGAACCAGTTTAGATTGAGCTTTGTAGTGATAATTTGACCTGGGCTAACGCATAAAATCACGCCACATCGTATGATAGGCGACGTCAGTCGACCAATTAAGATGCTCGTCTAGTGATATTTTGTCTTCGATAAAAAGGGGCGGCGCTCAGGTATTATTACTCGCCGTGATGGCCGCCACTCGTTCTTTTGTTTACTTAAATATTTAATAATTTTTTGTATTTCACTCACACCTGCATTCCTTCGAATAAACAAACCCAATCCGCTATTCGTAGGTGACGTCACCTACAGACCCACGCCGTTAGGTACGTTCCGCAGTTACCGTAGACCGCGACACGTTCTCGACTTCCCTGACGATGAGACGACTATCGCCATCGAAAGGATAAAAAAGTTACGAAAACACACAAGAACACACGGCAAACATAATAGGTTCCGCCACGTACCTGGCATATTTTCCCCAGTTAATGATAGAAGCGTTGCTGGAGTTTGACCCATTGCCCACAAAACTCAAAAACCATCCCATTCAATGTCTTCATACCTACAACCATACAAAATACCCATTCAACTGGCTAGTGTTTATATACTTTCTATTCCGAGCCTCTAACGGCAACCATAAAATAAAAGTCACAGCGCAGCTTTGCCGGGTTCAGCTAATTCATTAAATGTTATAAACAACAAGCATCGTTTAGATTGGAGTTCAACTTCAATATATTATTCTTAATGTGATGTTGTAATTTACGCAGCAGTTTCAACTGTTGCGCGAATGGGCTGAATCGTCCGGGGAAGTATCACGGCTTTACATGAGATCGACGTGAAATATTAGCCTTAATTTAATACTTTTGCCTTTATAGTCCAGTGAGAGATATAACAGGGTTCAGTAGTTTGGAAATAGAAATCCTATTCCACTGGGCAAAAATAAAGGCTTATTTTAAATATTTTTTTGCTTTGTTAACTTTCAATAAAAAAAACTGTATTACTGTAAGTGCAATTGTGACAGCCCTGCAGATAAAGGATATTGATTGTGACCGCCGCTGTGCCGATATCAATTGTAGATGTGAATGACTCGCCCCTTCTGAATAATATATTGCTTCCTGCTTTGTTACATCGCTTTATCAATTATCAAGAAGTGCACAGTAATTCACCAATAACAGCAAACGTGAAAGGCTAAAATTATGTATGACATCCAGACGCATCTGTTTGTTCCACACGTTGTTATATTCGTAGTGAAATTTGAAAATTTTTGTTCTCGAAAATAGGGTTTCCCAAAACTTTCAGTATCCATAGTAAAGGGACGGACTGAGGAGTTTGTCGTATTTTTTTCATTCTGTCAAGAGGGTTATCTTCGATTCTTTGTTTCTACCTTTGTTCTGTTGGTGCGCTTGGATTTGATTTTATTAATTACAGGAACCCATAACTGCTGACTCGGTGGCGCCGTTACCAATCTATATTGGCTTCGGTGTGTTCGTGTATTAGTTTCGATTCCCACACGGGACAAGTATTTGTGTGACCCACAGATAATCGCTCCGGATATTCGGAAATATGTACGGAAATATTTATTATTATTTATACTTCGTTCGGTGAGGAGGTGACGGGGCAATTTTTGTGAGGTTGAGAAAATTAATTTAGGGCGTGAAATAGGAGCCATAGGTTTGTTGTCAGCCCGCCCCTTAATAGATATGAAACGATTTTTTGAATATCCTAATATGCAGGGCGGTCGCGAGCACGGAGTCCCCATCCTCATCTCGGAACTGGAGGCTGGTGGTCCAGCCGCCCTCACTGGCGAGCTGTACGTCGGAGACGCTATCCTCGCCATCAACGACGTGGACCTAACCCAGGTAAGCTTACCGGCCAGACGCTTGCAACGTACCGCGTTAAGACTTGAAGAATCAACGAAGAAAGAAAGAAGAAAAGAAGCTAACTTACGAACGTATTAATTTTTATGTAAAATTTTGACGTTTCATAAGAACGCGCAAGCGTATATGTGAATAAATACCTGTATTTTGATTTGAATCACACTGAAAAGCCGCGCAGCTAGAAGTTTGGAACGCAGATGTAAGACGTTAGAAAAGATATTATTTAACAAAGAAATAAGAAAATAAAGAATTTAGTGCCGGCGGATTCTAAATATTAAATTTGTTAAATATAAAGTTGGAAATTAAATGTGATTTTTCTTTTGTAGATAAATTGTCCATTACTGCTTAACGTTTTTGAGTTTTGATAAATTTTATGTATAAAAAATTCACATTAAATCAACTTGTTTTAGTGTCTTTTCTATCATTATATATATAATTCTTCTGTACGTGTGTATGTCACTGTATTCCTAAACGGCTGGACCGTTTTTAATGCTATTTTGTGTGTGTCTTCAGGTCGATTCGAGAATGGTTTACAATTGGTCCACATTTTTTTTGATTTATTTATATATATAAGTTATTTTCGGATTTCATTTCGGATGTGTACAGGACAACGTCTGTCAGGTCCGCTAGTATTTTTATATATATCTTTCTCAATGTTAATTCATAACGGTTTGTGCAGGCGTGCCACAAGGAGGCAGTGCAAGCGTTGCAAAGCGTGAAGGGTGACTGCGCCCTCTGCGTTCAGTTCATAGCTACGGACGACGATGATCGCCTGTCCGAAGATAACTACAGGTGACGCACCCGGTTTCGCTTGCGTTTTTGTTGTATCGCCAATGCCACGACCACTACCACTACCACTACCACTTGCGTTTGTTCATATTAAACGGCGTCGATGTTTTTAATCTATCCTCTCGCATATTAAAAATGAAAAAATCACAACGACCTGTCTGTTAACACTGTTAATCTACTGTTGTAATACTCCTTGCCAGGCCTGCTGTTTAGCCTATATTATCTTTTAAAAGCTAGATGTCCCCCGCATTAGTTCGTCATTAGATATTCTGATTCTAATATGTGCTCATTCAAATATATCCTGATATACAGGGTGGCTTTTCTAAAGGTGCCCACATTCACACAGGAGGTTCAGACTCGGTAGTATAATCCTTTATTAAATAAAAATAAACTTTATCTTTTTCAAAAAATTGCCATTCTATTCCCTAAAAAACAACTTGGTGACAATGCGGTATTCATTCATAAATATATCGTATACTTTTGAAACGAACTTGTGTGCGTGTCAGTTATGAACGATCGCGCAAAAAATAAATGAGTTGCCCATAAATCACACACTTTTTGAGATAAGTTCAAATTAATTTAATTAATTAATTACGAGTGATTTTAAAGATTTATTATTTTTTAAATAGCATTATTTATGTCTAGAATTTAATTAAAAAAAATGGATACACTTAGAAAAGCCTGCCTGTATAGATTTCTTATGTCATTTTATCGACTTTTCATTTCAAATGAATGAAAAAAAGAAATATGGACCTTTGTGTGTTGTTTTAGCACCAATACAAAAACAAAAGACTAGAAATTTGCTATTTTGAAATGAAAAATTGTTGAAATGACCTGAAAAACCTACATACACATTAGTGTGGCAAAATAATTTATTCAAATCCACATAAGACACGATAACTCTCGCAAGCTGCAAAACCTGACAAGTTGATTGTTGGTAGGAATTGTTCGCGGAAGTCACATACTGAAAATTCTGTTGCTAAACTGAATTTCGTGTATTGACGTAAGATAATGGCAGGCAATGGAAAAAACGAGTGTGCTTTAGACCACGACTCAAGTAAACCTTCTTTAGCTCCATCTATATGTAATCTGTATGAATCTACAATTTTATTAACTTTAAACGTAGAATATTTAATGCATTGAACAAAATTATTGATTTATAAAATATTTCAAAAACGAAATGAAATTATGATATAATCCCGAAATAACCGATCGCGTTACATCACGCTTTTCGTAACGCCGATCACAGTTTTCGTAACGCTCTCGTCACGCATTCACCAGCTTATTTCACAAGTAAAGCGTGCGCAAAGAAATTTTACTTTAGAAATCTTTTATAGCGAAACTGTAGCGTTATCTTAAAATTACGGTGCGCAGGTTCCCGCTGTACCCAGAGGACGGGGAGGCCTTCGAGAAGGAGCCCGACGGCTCGGGCGCCACGCCCACCGCTCCGCGCACGCCCGACTACGAACACAGGTACGATCCTCACCATCGCTTGTAGGCGTTCACATTCGAAATTCGACGTAACGCGTAACGCTCTCTTCTTACAAAGAGTATTTTTATATTTTGCCACATTTTGTCAATAAATACATTAATTCGAAGTAACAAGGCACAGCCCGTATATCGATACCAACGCTTAACCGCAGAGCATCATCCGTGGCGGGATCGGACAACGAGGGCAGGCCGACCATCCCCTACCCGGCGCACTACCCCGCCACCTACCCCGACTACAACTCCATCAACAACAACCTCTCCATACTGGACATGGACGACGACTCCATCAAGATCGAAGCCAGGCCGGAGGTGAGGAATCAAATCCTTAAACAGCACATCGCCATTTATTTCGCAGAAATTCTATAAATACGAAATTATGTCTATCGGTTTGCTCTTCCACGCAGTAAAATGAAACTGAATTGTGTAAAGGAGTAAAATTGTCTATGCACCATAGCTGCCATATTATAGACTATTTCTTATGCTCATAATTGCGTGGATCAATGTGAAAGCCGCATTCTAATTTAGTTGACCAATGTATGACAAAAATGTGATCAATGTTTAAAAATAAAAACCGGTCTCATTATAGGACTATGTGGGTGCACACTCACAGCGCCTCAGAGAGAAGTCTAATTATTGCTTAATCTTAAAGAGAGATTGTTTATACCGCGGTAAATTAAAATACAGTTGTTATGCGCATCCCTTAGCAGAACCACAGAGTATCTAAAAAAAAATATGTTGATAAAATTGAATACCAGCATAATTCCAGACACTGAATAGTACCCACGTAGTCAGAACGCGACAGATGGTGTTTAGTCTGTGGCAATACACTCATTGCTGCGCACTGTCTTACCAACATCCACATCCACATCCACAATGAGTCCGGGCGTAGTTCTGAGGTCCATTTAATATATTTTCATTTCATTCTGCAACTAGACACGTCCTCTTTGCAGATGGTGCGGCTAGAGGCGGACAAGGGCGGCGAGAGGCGGCGCGGCCTGTACCGGGCGGTGGCGGGCACGTCCCCGGCCGCCTCGCCGCCGGCCTCGCCGCCCGCCCCCCGCGCCCCGCGCGCCGCCTCCTCCGCCTCGCCCGCCTCGCACCTCTCCACGCCCGTGCACGCGCGCCGCCCCTCGCTCAAGAAGAGGCGCAAGCCGCAGGTGCGCTAACGACATCCGATTTATTTGGCTCTTACCAGTGCCTTATATGGGTGCCCGTTTGAGGAAACCAGATGGGAAGGAAATCCGCGATCGAGACACGCTTCAACATATAAGAAAGAAAGAAAGAAAGAAAATTTATTTACAAAAAAAAAAGGACGCCCATAACTAAAATCTAAATTTAACAAAAAAAAAATAAAGTTAAAAATACTACAGTGAAATAATAACAAAATAAATACATAATTCAACAATAATATAATATAAATACATATGAAACAAACGCAAAATAATTTACACAGACGAAAAAAAACGAAAAATATTGTACGCTGTAATTTGTAAATTTGGTCAGCAGCTCAGCATTACTCTGCTGTGCCGGAAGTTAAGCCACAACACAAAGCTTTTCAGTGTTGACTTTCATGTTACCTACATTTTTAAATCTTATACCGTGTAATGTACTAAATGTGTTTGACGCGATTGTTCAGGATTGGCGGACGAAGGGGGCTTACCGGGCGGTGTCTGGCGAGGCGCACTCCTCGGATGAGCCGCTAGCGGCCGAGGGGGCGTCCCCCTCCGCCTCGCCCCCTCAGCCCCCGCTACCGCCAGTGTCGACACCGCCCGTGCTAGTATCGCTAGGGCCCGTCAATGATACAGGTATTAGACTTTGTTATGGCCGCCGATCTGGAAATACCTTGATCTGTAATTACATGTCTCTGCTGCTATAGCGCAAATATATTGCCGTCACGCTCGCACAGATGCAATGATCGCCGCCGTCATTCGGGAGCGTGACGCCAACACGTTTGTGCGGGAGCAAAGGAGACTAGCGATAACCGGTTAACGTACTACAATCTTCCTGTTATCTTAGTTTCGACAAACTTAGCATTTGTTGTCCCTCTAATAAACCGTTTCGTCCACAGCGGCCGTATCGAGAAGCGCGTGCTCGCCTGCGGTAGAGGACGCGGTTCTTATGCCGACGCCCCAGTCGCCGCCAACCCCACAATCGCCCATTTCGCCCCCCTCGCCCCCCTCGCCGCCATCGCCCTCATCGCCGGAGTCGCCCCCTCAAGAGGCAACAGCGCCTCTACCGGTTGACGTCGATGTGGTCAAACCTGCTAAAACTAACGGCGAAGCCAAACCGAGAAGGGAGCCCAAAGGGTTTCGGTAATTTACTTGAGTTTTTAATTGTTTTTCTTTTTTTATCACTACATTGTTCCAAGGGGTCTTATTAATAACAACAGTCGTGCAAATGATTTTGTACGAGGCCATCGTAAAATATCCATTCCTTTAGATGTGAATTGTAAATCGAATCTGTGCTATCCCTTATAACTAGGTTTAAGCAAATAATTTTTTACTTGCTTACTTGCTCGCCTCTAGGTTATACTTTTTCATTCGTTTTATTGGTTTTCTCTTCTAATAGCGACTAAGTAACTGGCGAATTTGTTTAACCAAAGAAACCTGATCTGGTCCAAGAGCCGGTAGACACTGTTAAATTGTCAATATTTGTGCAGGTATTGGCAATGGCTGCCCAGACATTGTTAAACATTGTTTAAAACGAATTGTAGTGATAATATGAAAATGAAGACCTGAATAAAGGGTTCCGTGTCTAAAGCGACCTTAAAATTTTTAATAAAGCAATTTTTTTTTGCCATAAGTTTAAAAAATGTTGACAAATTTTTAACAAAAAAAAGTGTGTACTTATGTACATGCGTTAGAAGTTATACTTCTTTGGTGTAACAAGATAAAAATCTTTTAAAAAAATTATGTTTCGCCTTATTCTACGTTTGTAGAAAAAACGACACTAACAATAGAAAAAAGGTATTTCATACATTTAAAGTTTTAAAATAACGCATTATCTAGTTAAATAGAAGTTTATTTAAATATCTCAAAATAAATATCGTAAATACTAACTTCAGATGTCTAGCTAACTTCAGGGTGTCGGTTTTTCTTGATGGTTTGCGCGCGCATCTTAAAAATTTACCCTCATCATTTTTCCCTAACGTGCCAAAAGAGCTATAACTTCAAAAAACCTACTTCAAACAGGAAACTAAAAAATATTGTTACTACCTATAACATTTGAGGATTGCTCTCGATTTCTCTGGGATGCCATCATTGAGAAACCTCCTTCTTTTTTGAAGTCGGTTAAAAATCGGTTCATAAACTACGAACTTTTAACGGTGGGACAATTTTTACCTGACAAGTAAAATTACCCATAGCGGAAATGTTGAAGAATGAGGTAGCTCGTATATCGTCGCTATGGGTATGTTGAAGAATGAGGTTAGCGCGTATATATCGCCGCTATCTCACGGGGGAGCATGCTGCATGTGATTGGCTCCCGCGAGATCCTGTTACGGTTCGATCCCCGCTACTGGAGAAATATTTCTTGACTTTATTTAAATGTTTAGAAAATGTATTTACTTACTAAAAACAAAGTATGTTACGGTATGTTTATCAGTCACCCAGAGCTCGTAAATGGCCGCTTTTAAAATGAACCACCTAAACTGGGGGACGCTCGCATAGAACTGAATGACGCTGATATTATCGGGGGTTGCAAGTTTTGTGATGAGGCCTTGTTCCCGGTACTCGAGAAGAGATAAAATATACTCAATGTCATCTGCCACAAATTTCTCCTGTGACGAGATGATTTTAAAAAATTTGGAAAGGCCAATATATATATATATATACACAGCGTGTTTTTACAATCGCGGCAATAAATGAAGACATATAGAGGATACATTTTTAAAATTGTATTAAACATTTACATTCTTTAAACATCAATATTTGACCGGGTTGACTGGGAGAGAATGCCTTAAAGGCATTAAGTTCGCCCTTTGTAATCCTTTGATTAAGGTTATTGCAATAAAGTATAAATAAATAAAATAAAATAAATAATATTTATCGAGTTATTAAATTTTCCAAAACAACGAATTTTAGAATACCCTTACGTATAAAACTGTAACGTAAAGTTCATTTGTAAAGGTCACAAAGCTTAGGAATGGGTTGAATGAATTTGAAAGAGACAAAACATACTGTTAGAAGGAGAGGCTTGTAATGCGACGCTGTGACAACGAATGAAAAAGTCTCTAAATGTATGAATCAGTCAGTTGTAGTTGTTTAAAATGTTACAAATTTTGTTTCTTTTTTACTTAAGAAGGGTGTTAATTTTTTTTTTTTAACGTTAATATTTTTTTATGATTATTGGCAAGTAGCGTTAAACGTATATTCATTTATTGTCGCGATTGTAAAGACACGCTGTATTTTGCCCATAATACACACTTCGCCTTGGGACTACATTAGAAAATATTTATACGAAATATTTATTAATTAATCTTAATACAGGATAGGCTCGGCGCGGCGCGTCACGGACGGCGTCGCGATGACGAACGGGGGAGTCCCCGAGCGGGGCAAGATGGCCGCCCGCCTCCTGCCCGGCCGCGGAGACCCCGACTTCGGCACGCCCGTCTGAGCCAGGCCGATCCAGGACTCCCCCGCCAAGGACAACCGTAGCCATAGACAAGCGGAGAAAACTCCATCGGAATCGTCCAAAGTCGCGCGATCTTATTGCTATGAAGTAGGTAGAATTTGTGTTGTTTCGTAGGGTTCCTAATGCGGTATAGGTTTCTGAAGACTAAGCAAGCGCTCGGCGGAATGCATTTGTTGGAGAGCGAAAATGCAATTTAGTGAGTATAGATTAATAAAATCAACATTCCGAATCAACAGGCCTGGGTTACCATTGAAATTTAGCATCGCTAATAGAGAGTACTGCGACGAGGTCAATTTAATAGGTGCGTTAAAAAGTTTTATTCTGTAACTTTTATATTCTACTTAAAATGAAACGAAAAGTATTCGAAGCTTTAAAATTGTTACTGTTAAATTGTTTTAAATGTACATTCACAATACTGCTGCAAAAATTTAAACATCACATGCTGTTTCGCAAAAACTAGCGAAAATGATTTTTCACACATTATACGACTGCACGTAGGTCGTCGCTCCAGCCATGACTTTAATGTTTTGACGACGTTTCTTTGATTTATCCACGTCACTACTAACTTATGAATTTAATCAACTATTTAAGATGAATTTCCTTACGTGTAACACTAAAAATTGTATATAACACCTGTTAATTATACGGCGTTTGTTAGCGATTATATTATGTGGGTAAGTTGAATGACCATTTTTTTAATATATTTTAGGAAGACATTCCGGTTAGTGCGACCCTTTGTTTCAGCCTGATTCAGAGCAATGCTCCCTTACGGTGGGAAATTATTAGACTTTCGCTACCATTATTATAAGATTAATATACATAAAATTTCAAATTTATAATATACAATCTCAGGCAATTTTTTTTCAATTTTTGAAATATAATAAGTAAAGCTTGTAAGGCTTTTTTATTCACGTATCACACTATTGCAACCGTTATTTATTCAAAACGAAATCGAAATTCCAATCGAATGCTCTTAATGAAAATAAATAAACATCCGTGTTATTATTATGAAGGTTAAACTGTGCGGAGGCAGCAGTTTATATAAGCCACAGCCATCGATCAGTGTTGATAGAGATTAGAGGCCCCTCGCTTCCTTCCGATAATCCATCGTAACACGGATACGACACATGGTTGCGGCGGTACATCACCTCATTTTATAACGCGGGTCAATTTTGTATATCACTTTTGTATTTCAATTGTTTTCAAAAGCCAACATCGACCGTGTATGGACTGGGCGTAGCTGGCATCACTGCCGCGCTCCGATGACTTTACGACTTACGTTAATGTCTTGGAGACGGTCAAAATGAACATTGTATCGGTTTTAATTAAAGCACGAACGTGTCGCTCGTTGGCAAGAACTCGCCACGCAAAAACGCGAAAGGAGAACTTTCGAGAATGTATTGCTAACGTGACCCTTTACAATGGTTATGAATTGGCGGTAATGAATGCACTGGACATTCGTTAACGCCAGCCATTTGAACGAACAAAGTAAAATTGAAGAAAATCTATCTTCAGATGGTTCCAATTTTTGCGAAAATATATTCGATATTCTATGATATAGTCGTGTATAGCCACTCGTATACTCAAAATGTGTAGACTACAATATAACCATACATTCGACCAACTTTTTACTTTTGACTTTTTAAAAATAAAATATTAAACATCATTAAACGTGATTTAGGAATTTAAGTCTATAATTTAGTAGATCTCATTTTTAAATGTAGAAAAAGACTTAGTAAACTGTGATTTCTCATTAATCAACGATTAAAAATTTCCCACTATATTATTTTTGTTTTACGTGAACCTGGTGAGAACTATTTACAAATAATATTTCTTGTAACATATTCGGGTAAACGTCCTAAGGCTTATGATTATTTTGTTGAAATTAAAAAAAAACAGTTCAAAAAAGAAACAGGTTAAATTTAATGCTGTGCGCAATACAAAACTTAAACAAGTTCTATTTAAAATATTATTTCTTAATAACATAATTAACCTCAAATGTTAAAAAATAAATTGTTTACAAAATATTCATAAATCGCACAATTGTATAACATCGATCGATTCGATCTACAGCAAAGGTAGTAATATAATAATTGGATGGAAACTAATGACAAATGTTTAAACGGTCAGTAAAGCATCGTAGTGGCTTATAGGCAACAGCTGTTTGGACCACCGCCAGATATATTTCCGACGTGGTATCACTTCAGGCATGTTTACAGACTTATTTGCGTTCACAATAGTCGTGTACATTGACCATTTAACGAAAATCGTATTATCACATGTTTACATATGTTGTAAAATGTCTGCTCGAAAGAACTCTCAGATTTGGCAACACTGTCGTATTATTTGTATATAATAATACGATTTATACAGTTCTTTGGAATTCTTCACATACTAATAACTTAATAATAAACTATATGTCTTTGAATGTTCTTAATAACTGCGCGCTATATTTATTCGTCTATATGTTTGTCATATTAGTTTGGCATTTGTAGTAGGAAGTAATTAATTATTAGTGAAACTTGTGGTATTTATTAAATACGTATTTATGTGTTATGAAAAGGTTACTAAGGGACGTTTCTGTATTTGTATTTATAATGTAATTTTATTAAAAGAGTATGTAAATATAAATTTATATATTTTGTATTATTTTCTAAAACCCGTCAATACAAGCCTGAGTTCAGGTAAGGCTTTTGTATATGGTTTAGCATTGATATAATGTGTGAACTTCATGCAAATATAATAAAATATCGGTTCACATTTCAATCACCGAAAGGCCATAAGTTGAGGTTATGCTGTTCATTCTTTAAATGAATCGGAGATCAAAAATAATGAGGGCACTTTTTTCCCACTCATTTAGAATTGCTTCGATGTCATAGCGGATTCGCCGCCTAGTAATAATTCTGTATCACGGAATAGAGAAATTGTTTTTTCTATTCTGTGTTCCGTATAGCATTATTATATGGATAGTTCTAACACTTATATGTAAACAGGTTAAGATATTTTATTATGTGGTGAATGTTTAAAGAAATGGTTAATATTAACCCGCTAAACAAGCTGGCACGGAACATTCCACGAGCATTGAATCTACATTTCTTTGCGCGATTCTGCAATTGCTTTAAATTTCAACTGGACAATATGCCTATGTACTATAATTATGTGAAATACATTTGTATTTAAATCCTTTGTCTTTCATTTTTGTCGTAAATAAATCAATAATTAATTAAAAGAAATTCTAACTGTGGTAAGAAAATGTAATTAAAAACAAGTTATGGCGCCAAAGATCGGCCATTTCTATTTTACTATATCTGTAAAACCCTAATACACAGTGACACTAAAGAAGAATCTAGCGACATATCAATCATCATTTAACTTTACCGCAGACGGCTAAAATACAACATCCAAGAAGTATGTTTTTACACCAATGAGAGGACAATTTCGGAGAATAACATCCCATTGAGATATTTAAGATCACTAAATTTTCAAGAATTTAAGTTCAAGACAGAGTCACTAAGAGAATTTGCAACATCGAGTGAATGATACTGTAGTAAATACCCGGCATGGTTGACCAGAGTGTAAACAGTACTATGTGTTAAAAGTATACGTAAATAAGATAAGTGGATATTGAAGAATAAAGAGATCTCTGATTACAATGATAATAATTGTTTGATTCACGAATGAAATAGAAAAGGGTGTTACTTCATCATCATCATTTCAGCCTGTTTGAGTCCACTGCTGAACATAGGCCTCCCCCATAGACTGCCACGAAGAACGATCCTGAGCCACCTGCATCCATCGACTTCCCGCACATTTGCACAGGTCGTCACTCCATCTAGTGGGGGGTCGTCCCACACTGCGATGGCCAGTACGAGGCTGCCACTCGAGAACCTTTCTTCCCCAACGGTTATCGGTTCTACGAGCAATATGGCCGGCCCACCGCCACTTCAGCTTGCTAATCCTTTGAGCTATGTCGGTCACCTTAGTTCTACTGCGGATGTCTTCGTTACGAACTCTATCACGCAGAGAAATACCGAGCATAGCCCGCTCCATAGCTCGCTGAGCGACTTTGAGCTTCCTCATACGGCCAGCAGTAAAGGACCACGTCTCGGTTCCGTAGGTCATCACTGTCAACACACATTGATTGAAGACTTTAGTCTTCAAACATTGAGGTATATTTGACGAGAAGATTTGCCGTAGTTTCCCGAACGCTGCCCATCCGAGTTGGATTCGTCGATTGACCTCTGCGTCGAAGTTGGACTTACCTAGCCGGACTAACTGTCCTAGGTAAATGTACTCGTCAACAACTTCGAGCTCAGTGCTCCCAACAACAACCGGTATTGGCGTGACATGGACATTAGACATGATCTTCGTCTTGTCCATGTTCATCTTAAGGCCCACCCGTTGGGAGACACTGTTGAGGTCATTGAGCATAGTACCAAGGTCCTCCAGCGATTCTGCCATGATGACTATATCGTCGGCAAATCGGAGGTGGGTGATGTATTCGCCATTGATGTTAATACCTCGTCCTTTCCAGTCCAGAAGCTTGAAAACATCTTCCAACGCAGCGGTGAAGAGTTTCGGGGATATGACATCACCCTGTCTTACACCTTTCTGCAGTTGGATAGGTTTTGTACTACTGGACTGTACTTGGACGGACATCGTAGCCTTGTTATGCAAACACCTCAGCACCTCGATATACCGACAGTCAATTTGGCACCGCTGTAGAGCCTGGAGTACCGCCCAAATTTCGACAGAATCGAAGGCTTTCTCATAGTCCACATACGCTAGGCACAAAAGCAGATTATACTCTTCGGTCTTCTGTATAATCTGCCGCAAGGTGTGTATGTGGTCTATGGTACTGAAGCCTTTTCGGAATCCGGCTTGTTCGGGAGGCTGGAAGTCGTCGAGTCTGGAAGCGAGACGATTCAAGATGACTCTTGAGAACAGCACATAGACGCGGCTCAGAAGGGATATCGGTCTATAGTTCTTCAAGAGAGCGTTATCGCCTTTCTTGAAGAACAGCACCACCACACTTCTGCTCCACGCCTCTGGTGTAGCACCACCTTGAAGGACGGAATTAAAGAGCCTCTGAAGGACTACAAGTACCGGTTCTCCACCCGCTTTCAGAAGCTCTGCTGTAATTCCGTCCTCTCCTGATGCTTTGCCATTCTCTTCTTTGTTACTTACTGTCACAATAAATAGGAATCATTAAGCGACGTTGGCATCACTTACTTGGCACACCGATTACATAAATTTAGTGTACGTATTTTTACAAAAGCTTACAATAATTGCATATTTTAATATCAAAGGTACTACTAACACATTTTTTTAATGTTAAATAGTAGTGATTCTTATTTAATTTTATGGCTACACAAAAATGTCAAAGTGAAATGACAGTTTCGTAGAGTAGTAATTATTATTACTCTAACAGATCGACTAATGGCCAAGCCTATTTTTCATTTTTAGTGTGTTTTGCACGTATTTTATAATATTATTTTAGAGCTAGTTGGTTTCTTTTAATCATGGTTGTCAAAGTATACATAAGCGGTATTTCCGGAAACAAGGAGGTACGTTTAATATTAGAAAATTCCTGGGTCAACCGGGAGTCTTTCGTGTCTTTTTTATTTAACTGAGTCATAAATTTTTGTTTTCGATTACGTGATAACGTTTTCTTATAGGTGAAAAAGAGGCAACAGCGAGTTTTGATGATACTTGATTCGAAAAATATAACATATGAGATCATTGACATTACGGAACCTGGTAAGGAAGTCGATAAGGACTTTATGCAAAATAATGCCAAGTCCAACGGAGGCACTGTGAGCGATCCAAATCCACGCTCTCCACTACCTCCACAGTTATTTAATGATGAAGAATACTGCGGGGTGAGTACAACTGATAATTTTTTTATAAAGTAATTTACATTATTAAAATAAAATTCAGTGATTGTTATTATGATTACCAGTTTCTTACTGTCTTGTACTACTACTATTAAAATTGGTTACGCAAGCCACACTAGAGCAACATAAATGCCAAAACATCAGAGCTGAAGCAGTCACCGTGACTGTCAGTCCGTAGAGACCAAATGGTAGTGAAGTAGTATAAAGTATATAGTGTAATAGTACTAACTATTAGTATATTAGAAAATTATGATATATTTACAATGGAATCTTGTTCAGTAAGATTTGCCTGTGGCTGACTAATATTTCTAAGATATATAGTCAATTTTACTAAATAGCGATAGCAATTAATAACTCTTTTGAGTTTGAAATCACAGGTAATTCATCTGATGCTAGGTCACTCATGGATGTTGTCACTTGTGGGATTAGAAATACATTGCCAATCTTTGAAAAAGTAGCCTCTATGATGCTATCAATACTTCCAATTACTTTACACTATGCTGAGGAAATGGAACTTCCTCAAACTAGCCTGCATGTTTGTGCAACTGCAGAAGTTGTGCGTGGAATGCTGCAATGTTAAAACTTTTATTATTGAAATCTTACTAACATGGGGATATCTCTATTAGCCTTTATGGCCCAGCTATCTATAGTCAGTGAGTCAAGTTATGTAGATTCTTTCTTACTGAATAAATAATATGTAGATAAAATTATTTGTTCATTGCACTCATTAATTATGCATCGATAACCATAATAGTTCAAGATCATGCATCGTCACAAATCTGTTGGGCAGGTATTTGTCCACCTGTGGAGTCTAACAGGCTGAATGATGATTATGAACCATAATAAAGATCAAAAAAAATTGAATCCTAATATAATTGTCTTCTCCAGTTTTTAACAATCTGAATTGGCATTGTGCATTTACTATTTGAACTATACATATAAATAAGTTGGGTAAAATAAGTTTTATGTAAATATGGCAAATAAATAATATGCTATTTAACAAAACAGGATTATGATCAATTTGATTTGGCAAATGAAATTGATACACTAGAGCAGTTTCTAAAATTGGAACTTCCACCAGAGGACCCACCACAAGCTGATAAGGTAATATCTTCAGCAATCTTTAGCAAAATTTAAAACCTATTTGTGCAATATTAATTATAAATGATTACCATTTTGAGATTACCAGCTTGAGATTATTTCTTGTGTTATTGATCCAATATGACAATTTAAAAATTTATTTAATGATTTACCATAATTAGTATAGTATTATAAAAGAGTAAAAATGATGGTTTAAGGTGAATGCAGTTAATGGTGATATAGATGGAGATAAGGACAGCAAACAATCAAAAGAGAACTCCCAAGAGAAAGAAACAATTGTTTCCAATGAAAATGGTGAAAAGGAGCCTTCACCTGCTAAAGAAGGCTCTCTTCCAAAACAGAGTTTACCCTCGAGAGAAGCTTCACCAGTTAAGGAAGAAACTTCTAATGAAGCACCAACATTAGATAAAAGTCCTGAAGATAATATTGAAGTTGAAGCAGATTCTACAGTGAATGAATCTTCTCAAGAAAAAGAGAAATCACCTGAGAGGCAAAAGTCTGTTGATAAAAATCAATCACCTGTAAGAGAAGAAGCACATAAACTGGCAGAAAACGAAGAGGTCATAAATGGTGCAGTTAGCTCTCGTGAGCAATCTGAAGAGAAAGATGAAGAACAAACAGGTAAAGCTGAAAGAAAACCGGATGATCCATCCTTAGCCCTTATTCAAAATGAGCAAGCCGCTGCAGAATAATGGACTGGGTCACATTACTGTGCTTCTCAGCTCAAATCTATATCCCTTAGTACTAAGCAAGCACTCTTCATTAAATTCACTCTGTTATTTATATTGCATCTTCATTCACTTCTTTGACATATTTAGTCATTGTATATAATGCAAAGAAGTATTTGTTGAGAATTAATGTTATGTGGCGATGTACATTTACGTCTGTCTATGAAGTGGCCTATTATCAATTTAATTAGAATTTAATATTAATCAAATTTTTTATGAAGTTCCCGATTAAGCAATCTATTTAACAATTTTATACCGTCATTAAGGCTTTGTATTATTTTAAAGTATTAATATTCATTTTATATTTTGCAAAAATTAAATTAATATTTTAAATCGAGATGAACTTATAGTTAAGTCTACAAATAATTTATTTTTTATGTGTAAGTTGGTTGCTTCTAAGAGTGCTCTATTTTCTATATTGTTTAAGGAGAACATGACAATTATTTGAAATGTCATTTTTTAGTTATATACTCTGATCTGAGGTGCTTACAGTATTTAATATAGCTCAAAAACAATACATGTATGAGCATTCTTAAATGTTAACTACACTGCTAATAATTTGTTTTGTATCAGTTGATCTTTTTTATCATTTATTAATATAACTATTAAAGACAGATTTTTTAACTAATTTTTCATATGAATTATATAAAATGCCATATAATTTTAATTCTTTTATTTGGAGTATATTGCTTAGTTTGAGAAGAATAGTGCTAATAATTTTTTGGCAATGCGTAGCTAGCATTTATTTTGGAAATTTATTCATTAGAGATAGCTAAAAAAAAATCAAAAATAATGATATTTAAAATCCATAATCATGAATCACAAAAAATATCATAATAGAAAAACTGTTTCACAACAAGTTTCACTGCTCGGAATATTTTAAGTAAAAAGATGCTCAGGTTAGCCGGAATTGTTAGCTTAACATAATTTGTGGATTGCTTTAAAGGCATTTCTGTTAGTTTTCATTTTACTTACATATATACTCGCCTTTTTAACTTCCTAAATTATATAAAAATTAAAAAGCCAGGTTTTAATATATTATATACTGATATATCATATAAAGTTAAAATGGTTTCAATGTCAAATGCTACTTTTTTACATATTAATTTTAAACAACTTAACAATATACTAGAGTAACCCGCGTTCGATCCAGGTGCTTATCGGTGAAGGGTAACATATTTGTGTATAAGTGAAGGGCAAACCTGCATATTTTCGAAATAATTACAAAAAATATTTCGAAGATATTTGAAGTCAATTCGCAGAGCGGTAATATCAGAGCAGGGTACCTAATACAGAGGTACAAAAGCAGGCCTTTGCTCAGTGATGGGACATAATTATATAGGCTTTACTTTTTTCTGTAGTTAATTTTTATATGAAAAGTTAACAAACAAGCTGTTCACATGATACTATGTGATTACTACCGCACATTGTCGTCTAAATCACCCTACAAGTTGCAGGTGCGTTACCAACCTTCTAAAGTGGGCTCCGGTTTAGGGATGCCGAAAGTGAAGAAATACATCGATATTTATAAAATATCAATATCGGCCTTGACATATCGAAGAGAAAACATTGAAATATCGGATACAGCCCTAGACCAAAATAAAAAGCTGTCAAGTATAGTTGTTTGACCTACAGAATCTGTGCCGGAATATTTTTCATACAATTTTCGATATTGAATATTTGGTCAATAATATTACGATTACCTTATAATACGGATCCAAATATAGAATAAAAAATATCGATATATCAACACTTTTTGAAATACCTACTCCGGTCGCCTGGCCCACCAGTCAAAATTTAAAAGTATAACACTTCCAGTCCACGCCGGTCTATTGTGAGGGATGAGCCTGGCAATTTTTCTATTCATTGATAAACTGAAGAAAAAATAGTTTGTATTCGGTCACGGAAATCATGGCAGCAGTCCACTGATGGACAAGGGACTTTTAAAAGACCTTGGTAGGTCTTTGCTACACCAGATCTTTGCTTTGTGGAACCGTCATTTTTGGCTTCGACTAGGGGACGCCCTGCCCTATTCTGCTTTCGCTTGGGCCCGGTTAAACACTCACCGAAACTATTGCGTAAAAAAGTAAATTCTGCTCAAAATAAAAACAGTAATCAACTCATTTTAAATCTTATACATTAAAGAGATGGCGAACAATTTTCTTCATTGCTTTAAGTGATTTTTAATATTTGGAAATAGTCTTAAAATTAAATTAATCAGAAGATAATAGATACTTTGAAAAAAAAAAATGTCTAGTTTTCATTCTAATGTGATGTAAACAGTGAAAACTTTTACTTATTATAATTGTAGCTTTTAGAAAAGAGGTAGCGGTAATGAAGTACTTCAAAAGCTGGAACGTCAAAACATTTAAAGAAGTGAGATGCATTTCTCTATTAACCTATATATCAATTATGCTAAAATAATATTTGTTTTAAGACAAAAAAGGTAAACATTTTACCTAATGGTGATTAAAACATAGTATTGCATAATCACAATTTATTTTTAAGGCCATTTCATTTCACTACAAGTTCAAATCTGATGCTCTCTAGAGCTATCAAATAGAAAAATTGTAGTGAAAATTAATTCGTTTTTGAGCTTAAATAATGACGACCACATCGAAAATATGCATCATCAATGGACATTCTTAGGCTATATAATAAATTTATTTTGCATATACATATTTACGTAAAACGCGAGTCATTAGTAGGTATTATATTTGCTAAATAGGCAGAGTAGATAAAATAACTAGTTATGTAGATTGTTAAAGCTTAAATAATTGCAATAAATTGTAACATTATGTATAGTTGTGACGCAACTCCTGATATTTGCGTTTAATTGGCAAAACAATAATAATACGAAGTTATAGCTAATTTTTCATCAATGCTTACTGAATTTGTTAATAATAGTTGGTTACTCTCCTCTGCTTAAGAACAATGCTAAAGAAATTTACAGGTCAGATTAAAATTTTATTATTTTTGACATAATTTGATGTGCAGTAATAAATTTGTACTTAATTTTCGTGTTATCTTTAAAATTTTTTGAATAATAATAAACGCTATAGTTAATTTATTATTACCCATTGGCACGTACAAGGTACTTAGAAATTGATTGCTCTATACTGTTTGACAACGATTTTTGCAGTTACGATTTCATTGTAAAACCGCACTCGTGTTCAATAGGCTTATCTGTTATCGATAACTACACAGGTATTAAGAGATAAGTAACCGCCAACATTAACAGTCCAGTCTTAGAATAATATTTAGGACAGACAATTATAATGTTAGACTGGTGAAATACGGAAATTTTATTTTATTTGATCTAACATTTTTGGATAACACTGCATCATTTCTTATACCTCAGTATTGTCAAAGTTAAAATACATACTAAATATTTCGCGTACGCAGATTTTTATTTATATAGATATAAAAATAATAAAAAGGTATACTTATGTACGCATGTAAGAAGTGTTATACTGCTGTAGTTAACAAACAAACAACGAATAACAACTACAAAAATGTATTCCGTGTCGGGAGTTACTTTTACTAGTAGAATTTAAATGTCAATAACTAGTATTGGTTGCCATGGTAACTCCATAAAGTTGGTGTCGCGCATCACAAAAATTAAAAAAAAAAAATAAAAACAACTAACTTTACGTATATTTGTTTAACGTTAGAAATCTAAATTTCGAATCTGAATAATGGGAGTCGGTGTAGTGCGTCAATGCTAGCTAGATCCGCCAAGCTGATTCTTGTGGAGGGTCGACATGTCGCGAGACGCCCGCTTTGCAGCGTCGTGCACCGCGCTGGCGCTGGCGTTGGCGCGGTGGCCCGCCTGGCTGCTGGCCGGCCTCGCCGCCTGTACACTCGGCGCCGCACGCGACCTGCCCGCGCTGCGGAGGGTACTCGACGCGTGCGCCCTCTCGTGGCGGCGCACGGAATAAACGCACACCACTGGGCGTTCGGATGTTTATTCACGATTGTTTTGAGCAAATAAATCATCTTAAATAATTTAATTTACACATTTAACTTAGCGATAGGGGGAGAAATAACATTTATATAAAATATATAATGGTAATGTGGAACGTTCAGGTATCTAGATCACACGACGTAGCTTACGTGTATGTGATAACGCAAACTACAGTAGCCTCTGGTTAGTGGTGCTTCATATTCTCTTCTTGACCGGCGACGGGGGTTCCCTGAAGTCGGGCAGGACCCCCTCGGCGGCCAGCCCGGGGATGTTCCTATGACGCAGTTCGTTGTCCGGGAGCTCTTCGAGCATGGAGGCCTGCACGTTCTTGTCCAGCGTCACCAGGCGCTGGCGGGAGTTCTTGTACTCCTCGATGAGGCTGAGGTTCCTCTTTATGCCGTCGACCAGTTTCACCACGGAGTACTCGCCCATCGCGGCGCCCTCCTGCAGCTTGGTGCCGGCGACCTTGGCCATGGACGAGGTCTTCACGTCGGACACCAGCTGCACCAGGTTCCGCTTAAGGTTGTTCAGAATGGTCATGGGCCCCTCGTACTCGTTCGGCACGATGCCGTCCACTTCGGATTCGAAGAACGAGAGCAACGGGAACCATATCCTGGTTCTGAAATATACAATAAACATGCTTATGTCCGTAGGTATAAATAATTTTGACAGTGTATGTGATAACAGTGTATGCGGTTTTGCTATTCTTTATTTTGAATTATATTTGACTTTAAACAATGGAATTTTAGAATTTATCAATTTTTATATCGTTTAAACCTGCCCATTATACCACTGTGCAAGAAAAACAATGTTTTCTTTTAAAATACGTCATATATATTATCACATCAATGTAAATATAACAAAAATTATAGAAATTAATAATGTCTGGCGCTTAAAGCAATTACGATTAAACACGAACAATGCTAGAGAAAAAGGGAGCATCGTGACAATTAAAATTTTCAGAATACAAAAATTATTTTTATTGAATCATGCTTTAACTTAATAACAGCTAATTAAAAGTGTGAATTTTATATACATTTTAGGGCAGAAATTATCAACGTCTTTACATATAGTACTTATAAAGTACTTAGAGATATTTCTGTCCTGTGTCATTATTTACTCCCGGTGGTTAATGTTTTAAAAAATGTTGGTTACTGATTTAAATACTTTATAAAAACCATGCCTTGTTAGTTTTTATTTCAACAACCTTGCCACCATGTGCTCAACTGAGTAAGCTAGACTACAACAAAAAATTTAGCTTTTTTATTTATTAAGTACTCCATGTTTTTACGATTCAGATACACTAACCCCATTTTAATCTCATGTAGTTGTTTGTTGAAATTTAAATTTGCGAAAGTCCCTTCACCGTGCTTTACGTAACCGGCGTAGGTCAATTAAAGAGTTGAAGAAAAACATGTTAGTAACACGCAAATGTATAATAATTAACGTCTAAAAATGTACCTCACATTACCTCACTTTAAACAGTAATTTAAATGTTTTGTGGTGTATCAGAGAATTGGCTATGTTGGAGTGAAATAAAACTAAGGTTAAAATATTTCAAAATAACATTACTTACGTCACGAAGTCGTAAATAGATAATCACGTCTACTTCTGTGACCTCAGTATATTCAGACAGTTCTCGTAGATTATAGTTACGAAATAAAATTAATGATTCAGTCCCAAGTTTCTGAACACTAAAAACTCTTAAAATAAAAGAACAAACTCTCTAACAATGTTCTTGTCATTATAGTGGGATTATTTTTCATTATTTTCAGGTTGAAAAATACGGTTACAGTATCTAACCTTGTTGATATTGACGACGATATACAATTAAAAAATTGCAGTTTACAAGGTTATTCCTTATAAACTGCAATCAGTAGATCAGTAATAAATTATAAAATCAGTGGTGCCAGTACCGTACACTAATTTCTAAAATCATTTATTTCACCTAACACGATTTCTCCTCACGCCCCGGGTTGACTGGTAGAGAATGCCAATAGACATTAAGTTCGCGCTTTGTAACCCTTTTTGAGGTGTTTTAAATAAAGAATTTGGGATCGGCAGTTTTTAAAACCCGCTTTATAAGTAGCGTGTTTGTACCGCATATTTAACAAACTATAAAAAGAAAACTTTCGTTTGTAATGAGCGGTTAAGACGCAAACACGTTATCGCTGATCGTCAACTAATTCAAGGCCAGAACAAAAATAATCTCGACGAAAACTATGAAATTGAAATACGATATTATATAGTGCCCATCGATATTAATTATATAGATTGTTGATGGGACCTTGTTTGTGGCTTGCAACTGGCAACTTTACTCAGTTTACTATCATACCAATTTCTTTAGTCAGTATTTTAATGGAATAGAAGATACATATATAATTTTATAATTCAATAAGATAAAAGTAAAACAATAAATAGTCAGATGCATTAAGTACGTAATTTATTTCGAAGGTTTGATGAATATTTTTTATAAGATTGTCGAAAAGAATTACTACTATAATTATTTATAAACGAATAGGTGTAACTAGAACTACGTATTATTATTTTTTTATTAAAAAAAAGCTCGTGATATATTCAGATATCTCACGCGGCCGAATTCTTTGCATGCATAAATAAGTGAAACTTAATTTCCAATTACCATAGATTTCGGGCACGGAAATCCGTCGAGGAGTTCGACGTAATTGGGGCGCTGAGAGCAATTTGGACCGATTAAATTTCGCCGCCTCTCAATATCAAGTAATTAATATCGTCACATACTTTAGCGTAGCAAAATCAATTTGAGGTGAACTGTATTACGGTTAAATCAATTAACGAGATGATAATAAATATATCGGAACGTAAACCATTAATGGGATTGGTGGGATTTGGAACAAAATTCTTAAATTCCAATGTAAAATATTCAAACAACTAAGCAGGCCTCTCTTTCTGGTAATCAGTACAGAGGTAAACTGGAAGTTTTTAACACCAATAGTTAAGTCAGTCTGCCTATGTCAGCCTAAGCCTATGTCAGTCTATTGCTGCGTTCCACAGTGACTTGTGACGCCGTCGACAGGAAGAATGAAGAAGCCGTCCACCTATCGCTACCATCATCTTTATATCACGTCACAAAGAACCAATCATCGGCAGCAGTTATTATGTAATTTTTTTTCTTGAACCAATTATACGCTCGTGCAAATTGCTTCTTTGATACCCGACGGAGACATCCTTAACGATCTGAATCCCAGTCAAGGCGTTAATTCTTCGTCATCGTTGTCATTTCTTTACACTGGACAATGCTAATGGAAGAATGTAAACATAAACAATGCTCTTACGATATTCAGTTTACCTGGACGAGTCATTTTGCATGAGCGCCTGGTTGTTGGACAGCGTGTGGTAGTAGAGGAAGAGCCTGGAAGTTATGTAGAACGCGATGAACACGTCTATGGAGTAGTGCTCGTGGGCCGCGAGAATGAAGAAGATGCCGAACATGTTCATCACCCACGTCAATATGTGCAGCAGGTACAGGCTGCGTGATGTGTCTACAACAATAAATACAGCTTTTTCATAGAATATCACATAGTGGTGCTTCTAAGCTTGTTGAATGCTTAGCCCCATGGAAATCTATAACAAAACTTTAACGGGGCTGCGGTTGATCTGCAACCTTAACCTTTTGGAGAAAAGGCCCCGATTACCATTAGCACTAGTCGTCACACGAAATTAAAACAATGAATAATAATAAAATTTCAGGACACAACGATTTTACGAAACTTTCTCTGGTCCCGAACTAAGCAACGCTTGTAATGTGGATACAACAGATAAACATACTTAAACAGTAATCAACAAAATTAATACATATTATAAATATTATTAACACCCACACGCTGGAAAACTATGTTCATCACACAATATTCTTCCAGTAGTGTGGATCGAACCCACAACCTCTGATGCATGTTCTTTAAACTTCCCCGGGCGAGCTGAAAGCAGATGCTGCAGAGTAGCTACACCACAGTAAAGTTTTTGTTATTGTCATACTTCATTCGGGCTCTACTCTGCTATACTCTATACTCTGAACGCGGGCTTTACTTCTTAGTCAGTCTTCCTCTTTTAACGGTGGTAGGGCCGCAACAGTGTACGCAAAAGTGTTCGCTGTTGCACGAATGAGCTGGTCCGTCAATCCGGGCTAGTACCACAAACTCACAGAAGACCGGCGTAAAGTAGAAGTGTTGCACTTCTGCGTTTCGTCTGGTGAGTGAGGTAGCCGGAGCCCACATTATTAAGAGGTGGCAACGCATCTGTATCCCTACGGGTGTTGCAAATGTCCATGGGCAGGCGGGTATTACTTAACATCAGGTGAACCACCAGCTCGTTAAAAATTAAAAAAAAAATCTTTCTTTTGTGCTCTTAACCTACCGATGTCGGCGCAACATGTGAATCATGTTGTTCAATGTACTGGCTAGTTTTTTTACGACCGACCGTCTGTCTAACGTCAGTCATCAACCCTCCTTACCAACAAATACCCAGATTATTCCCAGAGGGAACAATTAGATGGGGATCATGCAAATACTTCTCACGTGTGCGAATCAAAGCCGAGTCATCATGACATCCAACGCGTCGTAATTTGATTCTTAGTCAGTATGACTAGTATAAGTAATTTCATTCTTAATCAATATGACTAAGAATGCAATTATGCCCTATGAAAGTCCGGCCTCAGCAATACGATAAAGTTAATCACATCTTTATCGTCTAATTTTTCTTCGAACTTTTTATTTTGGGGTTTTTTGTTCATTTTGGTACTAGCCATTACTTATAAGTTAAAACAAACAAAAAAAATTTAACGATAGCAAAACTAAACTCGATAATCTTATCAAAATATTATTCTGGTCATTATTCTTCAAATCTTATCAACTGAATGAATTCAACCGTTTTTTTTTATGATGACATAAAAAATAGCGTAGCGCGGCACAATCATTTATTAATTTCTAATAATAATATATGCGATTTTAACACCCCATGACGACTCCGTTTTTGTTTTTATAAATCTTATTTTTTATCTACCGAAACAAACCAAAGCGAGTTCAAGGTATGTACGCAAATATTCATTATATTTGAAATATTATTCATTAAAGGAATAATACACTGAACTTTTATATTAATTATACATAAGGAAATGTAAATAATTTAAAAATGTTCAACACTTATGCAAGCGAGTATGTCATTTAAGATGAAGTGAGATTTTGCGATAAAAAAGGTTTTACGCAAATAAAACCTATTACTAAAAAACTGGTAAAGTAAGCCAAGGTGAGTGCGTTCTAAGGGAAAATAAATTGACGACATTGTCTATTGATAACAACATTAGTCTTTGTTCGGTGCGTGTGACGTGAAACAAAATACGTTAGGACTTTGACCAACATCGACACACAGGGGTGTTACATTTGCGAACATAGTAGGGAACAGGCCCTTTTAATTGCAAATTTTTTTTTATTTCGCTTCACGGATGGCAAAGCGGCTTTTAATGGTCCCCTCGCTAAATGTTAGATTGCAGTGTTTCTGTTTGATCTCCACAGGGTACAAACAATGTATATTAATCAAAACTAGTACGGAGCCACAAGTTTATGCGCGCTTTTTCATTATTTCATATTTATTAAATCACAGGCGAACTGAGTATCAATATAACTTTACACAAAAACATTAAGCCGAAATAAGATTAGTTTATCTATTGAATCATTTCAAATCTCGAGTAAGTTATGTTAGGATAACTATTGCACGAATGGGCCAAATTGTTCGAGGTAGTAGAGGTAGCCTCACAGAAGACCATCGTGATGTACTTTTGGCAGGTTGGTAACGCATTTGCCTTCAAACCCTCAGGTGTCGAAAACCTCCATGGGCGACATTAATAACTAAACATCAGGTGAACTCGCTTTTTTTTATGCGAAAAGATGTCAAACGAGCAGACGGTTCACCTGATGTTAAGTGAATACCGCCGCCCATGAACATCTGCTACACCCGAGGGTTACAGATGCGTTGACAACCTTTCGAAAATTGCGCTCCGGCCACCTCACTCACCAGACGAAACGCGAAAGTATTTGTCATACTTCCACTTTACGCTGGTCTTCTGTGAGGTCGTGGCTGGCCCATTCGTGCAACAGCCGAGGCTATTGCGTGGCCCTACCACCGTAAAATCTTTCAGCTTTCTTCAAGCTTCAGCTTTTCATCAAGTTACTTTTATATTGACACTGAGCCGTGATAGCTCAGTGTCCGGGCGCTCGCCTTTAATTTAATATACTCGAGCAACCTAAGTTCGATCCCCGGTGCCGACACGAAAGAAGTTTTTAACTTTAAGTGCTGACTTATTACGTGCTCCGCGGTGAAGGAAAACATCGTGAGGAAACCTGCATATTTTCGAAATAATAACAAAAAAAAATCGGAGATATGTGAAGTCCGCCAACCCGCAGTGGGGCCGCGTGGTGGACTATGCCCTGATAACCTCTGTATAGTGGAGGCCTTTGCCCAGCAAGTGGGACATGTATAGTAACAGCCTATACATGTCCCACTTGCTCGGCAAAAGCCTCCTTTATACTTTACTTTACTTTTATATTAGTTGCCTAATCTCATAGTATATTAACTTCGTTTTATTTCGTGTATACACAAAATGAATTTTTCGTACTTTACACACAAATACAACTCTATCGATTTATACTTATCACCTACGGGGCAAACTCGTTCGAGATAAAAGCGCGTAAATATTAAACAAACTACGCAATGTTTATTTTGCTTCCTTGTTATTCTTCTATATCTTCGAGTGTCCAGAGGGTCAGATAGGAAAATTCTCGCAAAACGTGACGATTCTAAATTGTACTTTGAACTTTTTCCAAAGGACTTCTTAACGCCGAACAAATAAAAATATAAGCATATTTTATATATAAGAAAATATGAGAATATGATTTATATCGAATCGTCTTTATTAAATGTTAACTGTTTTATAAAACTATCTTTATTACACTTTGAAGGTACAAATAGACAGTTGAATAAAAATAAGAAATGAATGATCTTCTTAATGATCAGAATAATCAATTTAAATAGTTTAACCATCCTTTTGACAACTTAAATAACATTTTCCAATTGACAGCAGCCATTGACACCATGCCATTTGACAGCTGATTAGTTGCCTTCTACGATATACTAGTAGGTCTAGAAAACCGCCAAGAAAGAAAAGAAAAAGCAGTAGTTTTAGTAGATCCGACGTCGTTACCGTTACGATAAATATTTTAAAGCACAAAATATTCAACATTAGGTTTAAAATGTACACCACTATAAATAATATTATAAGAAACCACAGAAGTTTACAAACATTAATTATTGTGCTATAGCATCGCTTTGAAACTTGATTGCGCGTATTAGGTTCTTCATAGTCTACAACATTGTTCGAAACAACGACAGCAATATAAAACGAAGCAGTAAAATATGCAATTGTAATGATATTTATAACAGAACCTGGTTTACTATGGACAATTAAACAGTCGACGTTAATGTATGAAAAAATATGTGTCAGTGACAAATTCATCCATGCATTACGATTCTTAATGGCAACAAAAAAGTCGCGAGAAAGATATATTATTCATTTCATGAATATTTATTCATTTGTATTTTACATTATACAATATCTGTTTAATATCAATTTGACAATACATAGTTTATGAGAGTACTAAAAGTTTTATTATTCATTAAATTCCGTTATAAAAGATTTTCGAATTGATTTCGTTGACGTATTCGCTCGTATCAAGCGTCGACCTGAAATAGTGCCATTGAACTATAAACGTATGAAAACGCTCGGTGAATTTGCAACAAAGAAAAGACAAAGAGAATATTGGCAGACGGAAGTGTGCAAGCAAATATCACGAGCGTAACAGATACTCTCGGTCCTCTGATGACTCAGCTATCAGGCAGTCCACGAATGATACGAAGTATCGACTTTGTTCAACGTAACGTGTTTCATACATAACTCAACCATTTTAGAGCCACGCAACAGTATTCACTGTTGCACGAATGGGCAGGTCCGTCCGGATAAGTACTGCGACCTCACGGAAGACCGGCGTAAAGAAGTGTTACACTTCTGCGTTACCATTTGTAAGATGGCAACGCATTTGCAACCCTACGGGTGTTGCAAATGTCCATGGGCGGCGGTTATCACTTAACATCAGGTGAACAACCAGCTCACTTGCCACTTTATCACATAATATATATATATATATATATATTATTAAGGTTAACTGCAGGTTGAATAGTCACCCGCAAATGCTCAAGAAAAATTGAACCATAACAAACATTTTTAATTACTTCAAGAATAAAGTGTGTCAGTTTGCAATAGATATTTTTCTTGTATATAGCACTATTTTTTTAAATTATTAGGTTAACTATAGGTTAAATAGTTAAAGGTATCACACAAAACAACGAATAAAAAAAATTGATAATTTTTCCGCTATTTTTATTATTCGTTCAGGGCAAAAACTATTTACCTATGCAAATTTTAATGTGCACATACGAATGTGCCAAAAACTTCCACTCCATTTGCCAACAATAGATCGTTTCAATTTTCTACTTCACATTCTTTATTAATATGGCAAAATATTTATGTTAGAACCATTATACTGTGTTATGTTTATTTTATTTTTCAAATTGGCTTATTATGTCATGCTTTTATGTGCTTCGAACAATCTATAAAAATAAATGTACTTTGTTTTAATATTATATGAGGAATGAGCATCATTTATTTATTAAGTCCGATTAATTGATTAAAACCTTTTTGCTTATGATATAAAGGAAGACGGAGACATCTGTTCGATAACGAATGTTCCATAATATGTATTAGACATTTCTATGTCGATGAATGCAAAAACGAATTTGAAAAATAAAAGATTATAGTAAATTATTCAGCGTTTTCATATCAATGCAGCATTATTAAAACGGAACAAACGGTTATTATTACAGAAAAAAAAAACAAGTAAACAAACAAAGAACGAAAAAACGAACGCGACAAATTATTTCACAAAAATAACATTTTGCATTCTGAGTAAAACACCTATTCTTGACGCAGACAGATTATAAGAATGGTTACGTGCACATAAATGTATAATGGAGGAACGAATAAGATAAGCATCAGTTGGAAAATGGACAATTTCATTTCACGAGGACAACAAAATATTCCTATGTTATGTAACGAGACTCATAACACGTTTCGTAAAAAATATCTTTATCTTAACATACTCGGAAGAACTCGGGGAAAGTTGGCGATTTATTGTGATGTTTTGAATTGTAGTGGTATATCTAAATATTTTACGTATACTCATTTCCGAAAACTATTTAGATATAGTTGTTATTATCAAACTATGCGAAACTTTTCATATCTTCGATTCCTTATAATCCGATACGAGAATCTCGGTTGTAAGCTAAACAGAATATCGGATCTGATTCGAGAGACCCTTTATCCAGACAAAAGATCCTATAGAAACTAAAAAACTCAAGTCAATTGTAAGAAAAGAAGAATTTATGGGCCTTAATTTTCTCACAATGGAAGTCATATTAAATAAGTATTACAGGCATATCAGAAATCGGATTAATTTAATTAGTCTTATGTTTCTTAATGTACTATATTAAATAATATATACTAAGTATATAAATAAAAACGCAGGATTGCTGTGTAAATGCACGGAATCAAAGATACTCATACTTCGAAAAGCCCTAAAGCTCTACAACAGCACTGCGTTCCCCGATAAATGCACTTAACGAATTGTTTGAATTTCGTATCTATTCTTAAGACACTATTCCAACATAGTTAATAGTATCGGTATAGTGATACGATTGCTGCTATTCTATACTATACTCAGTGTTAGTATTGTTTTATCTACTGCGCGACTACGCAAACTTTAAAAAAATCCACATGTGCCGACCTAGATGAAGGTTAAAGAAGGGGAGGAGAATGACGATGATTTATGAACTCTACGTGTTTAGAAATTGCAAACGAAAAAAAATTTAATTTTTACTGCAAGGCGTATTTGTGGAATGATACGTATATGTATTAGACAGACGATAGAGCGTCTTTTAGTATACATAATTATGTAATAAATCAGTTACTAACCATAACTATCTTATGACATTATTTTGCAGACTTCAGATATAATCGATACATTTTTTCATGATAATATTTTGAAAATATGCAGTTTCCTCAAGATGTGTTACACATGATGAGAGGAGCATGTTGTAAGTCAGCACTTAAAATTGCAATCAACCACCGGGATTTTAACTAGAGTTGCTAGAGTATATTGAATCAAAAGATACACCCGGACAATGGGCTATAACCGTATCATCGAATAGCGCTAAAAATTAATCACATGACAAGGAATGCTCACATTCGGTGATGAAGAAATTCAGCAACGTCAAAGCGACGGTGTGCCCGGAGAACATGTAGTCACCACACGTCCGCACCCCGCGCACGGACATTCCTGCGCCGCTCCATATGTCATAGGCCTGCCTGAGCCGCCGGCCCCACACCGTTAGGTCGTCCGCCGGCGGGTAGAAGCGGGGCTCGCACTTCAGATGCGAACCCGGCACCGACAGCGACGTTATTAGCATAGTGAAGCAACGCAGCAGGAACACTGTGCCGGCCAGCGCGAAGAAACGACGCAGAATTATAAACCTAACGGAACAAGATAGATGCATGTTAATAACACCGTCATGCATTACATTGCTCACTTCTGTATTGTGTTCCCTTTGTATTAAAATATAGGCCCACCATGGGACTCTAATGTAAAAAATAAAAAATAAGATTTGACATTGGAGATTAGAAGCTTACTAATCCACTGAGTAACAGTATTGCTATAGAATTTTTTATTGCTGTGTAATTTCTTAATAGTTATTGTACTTTATATTTGTAATTTTTATATTTGTAATATTAGAATTTGTCAATTTGAACACATAGAAAGAGAATTTTCGGTTCGCATGCATAAAGTGTTTGACAGGTTACACAGACACAGTTGACAGGTTGACAGGAACAGTTTGTATGGGAAAATAAAATTGTTGCTATTTGATTTTCCATGTTTCCTTATTGTTTAAACCTTCCCTGGACTGCCACAAATATTTCAAAACCAGAATTAGCTAAATTGGTCCAGCCGTTCTCGAGTTTTCAGCCGTGCTAGACTAACAAACAACAATTCATTTTTATATATGTAGACTATGTATTAAGTAACTGATAATTATACTTTTCTTTTTTAAATAATATAGTCTTTGAAAAAAATATCAATTTTTTTTTGCACCCAACCCAGTGGCAACACTATCAAATGACAGTTCACAAAAGAAAGTTCACTATCAAATGTTTATAAAAAAGAAAAACAAATCAAAACTATCAGTGGATGAACAATAAGAATATGAAACCTAAAATAAAAGTTATTTGAACTAAAACTAAACTAGTTTTATTTTTGATTTTAATTATTTCCTTTGTAAGTCTCCGAATTGTTATATAACACATTCAATTATTAAATGATAAAGGTTGTTTATGACTTGTGTGGTGATCAAAATAAAATAACATACATACATATACAGTCTTGGACCCAACTATATATATGTAGTAGATTAGGTGCATATTTATTAATTGCTCCCCTTTACCTTTTGATAGTAAAGATCATAACTTGTAGTTATTTATTTTATTATTATAGTTAAAATATATTTACTGAGACATGTTTATCATATCGACAAAAGTTTTATGTATTAATAAAATGATTTGCTGAATCACGTGTTCAATCAATGTATGAGTCATATCTTCATTTATATATAAAGAAATAAATGTGAAAAAAAAAACTAACTAGGTACATCAGTAGGAAAAAATCTAGATTCAGAATAGTAAAAAACATAACAAATGCCGATTCAATCACTCTTAAGAGAAATGTTTTTTTTCTTTTATATGAATGCAATATAATTATGTATAAATGAGAGATTTGATTTCAAAACAAAATTTAAATCACATTTAAATTTAGGATTATTGAATTTTTGGGTAGTCCAAAACTACTAGGCTTTGCTTATGAAGTTGGTGAAATACCATTGTGGACAAAAATTTTCTTACACACAGGAGAGATAAGAGTTTTAATTCCATTTTTGTGAAACTATTACAAGTATACTCACCTATGCTTATGGAAGAACAACACGACCAACCAAATAGCCATCAATAGAGATCCTGTAATCTCACACATATCAAAAGCCCATGGTATATGAGGTACATTATCAAGGAAGAGATCTGGCAATGGAGGATACTTCTTCATATCTGGCACTTTATCGTGTACTATTACCATAACAACAGCTGTAACCCACGTTACTAGAAATACATAGCCTATAAAAGGGAACAAAATATTAAACATGTGAAAGCTAGTGTTCTTTATCAAACAAAAAATTCATGCTACATATTATAATTGTAACATACACACCCATAGCAATACAAGTCTTCCATACTTCGGGTTTTAATTTAGAGGCTTTTACATCAGGTGTGAAGTTTGAAATGCAATCTGTATTTTTACTATATGCAAGTTCATTTTGCAATTGGTTATGTAGGTTATAACTTAAATGTGATAAATTAGTGCCCAAAAAATTTATGTTAGTAGCTGGATTATTAAAAATAGGATCATCACAAAGTCCAAGTTCGTACATAGCTGCTCGATTTTTGCGTTGCAATCTTTTCACCAACAAAATAAACCTCTTCCTTTCACCAAGTTTAAGTTGATCAAATGGATATTCATAAAAATCCCGATCAACAAATGATAGAAGACATTGTCCATCTATGTCTTGGGATTTGCATATTTCGATTATATGACTGGAAATTTTGTCTCTTTGTAATAAATCTAAGACTTCTTTGTTGTTCCATTTTATTATCTCCAATTCCATTTTTACGCACCACTTATGATTTCCAAGCTGTTTGTTTTTATACAATTTAATAACACATTTCCATTAATAATACTAGTAATTTATTTGTGGGTTTAATTGTGAAACTGAACAAGAATAAATCGGTCCGAAACATTGTTTTTAAGATGTCACAAATTTAATTTAGCGCACATAAATACAAGACAAGTCAATTCTTTCATCTATAAAGCAAATATAGAGAAACTTGTCAAATTTCTTTCACAAGAACTATCATGTCACTAAACCGCTGAAAGCGCTGTATTTACGCTTTTATTTTAATAGTATTGCCAGTATTTATAATTTAAATTAATCGATATCAAAACATCGATTATTTAATGTTTACCGTTTGTTTGTAGTGTAGTTTGGTGTTAGGCCGACGGCAGTGAATCATAAGGCCAAAAAAAGGAAATCAAAAAAAAGGCCATAAGTATTTATTTTTTACTATTTTAATATACCGAGTGTTACTCAACCAATAAAGATAAATCTTGGTACATAATTATTGTTTATCAATATCAGTTCAGCCGATTAGCAATTACGAACGTGGGAACATAGGGACGAACAAACATTTCTTCAAAAATTGATCTTATCCACAAGGAGACTGCGTAGATCTTTAATGGGATAAACGCCCGGTTTCTGAAACACTGATCATCGTCGAAGTCACAGACTACTAAGATGATATGCATGGTCATGATATGGACGAAGTCAAATAATGAGCTGTCAAATGATATTTGAGTCTTAGTAAACGTAGTGATTAACATTCTCTTTGATTTGAGTTTCCAAAAGGATGGTTAAACTCTCTGAATTGATCAAAATGATATTTTTAATGATCAGAATGTGAAAAAAAATTGTTAAAAAACGTTTGTGTGTTAAAGGCTATTATAATATTAATGATTATTTAAATAATAACACTCTGGTAATCAATTGATCGCTCCAGGCTCTTTCATCGGGCTTCTTATAATGTATTTAATATATTCATGTCACACAATTTAAAACATGTTCACACTGAGTTTCTTTCGCCAGTTCTTCACAGGTCAGTGTCTTTTTTTCCGAACCGGTAGTAGTGTTTTTTGACATTCAATAAGTAAGTGTGATACTTCTTATGTTGAATAAAGTTATTTGAATTTGATTTTCATCCCCTCATGTGCCTGGCCGCGTCTAAATGCTTACGTAGTGTTGTTATTGTTAATTAATAGCAAGTATATACACGATCTTTTGCTCGTTACGTAATTAATTATAAAACTTGGAGTATGAATAATTTTTGTGAATAATTTATGTGTGAAAAATTTTTGGTGTGAATGCTTTCACGAATTGCTTATTTCTGTTTGGTGTTAAAGCAAATAAAGAAATTCTTAAAAACAAATAGTTTTCATAATGAATTGCAAAATAATAAATATGATGAACGTAAGCGGTAGTTGGACCAATTCGATTAATTCACCTTTTCGACCTTATTCTTCTGGGTAAGTCCCTGTCAAATGCGATCCAAGGCGAGGTTCAAATCTTCATCCGAGAGGATTCGATGGTCTCTTGTTAGCATGGTATTGCGGATTTCCCCTCCGACTGGATTTCCGCTTTGACGTGGCGGAGGGACTTAGTAGAAGTGCTTGGTCACCCACGGTGAAGCCAAGAGGAACCCGCGCTTGACGAGCGGGACACTCCGATTGGGCTTATTGAGCCCACTTTGGATACGTCGAGGCTCGTAGGAGGAGCCACTCTCTGTCTTGTACAACCGATGTGGAGTGGCGCAAGAAGAGGGGTGTCGGCATTTCGCACTCCTCATCCTCCGCGACTCGGCAGGGCTGCACCGAGGATGTAGTAATGAAGGGGTCGTGGGAGGAGAGTAGTGTCGGCATTACGATTGCAGTTGGTATTACTATACGCCTTTTTTCCTATCCTTGGCGGAGATACAAACCAGAAGCTGCTGAGTTAAATTTTAATGTACAAAAATATGTCTTTTGCGAGGACGTCAATTGTTAACGTTTGTTCATATTTCAGTTTTCATGGTACCGTACACGCACTACAAAAACAACTAGACTCCGCGCCGCGCCTATCAAAAATGAAGCGTAGTATAAGTAACTCGGACCATTTATAAATACCTACACGACGCTTCATGTACATCATAGTAATGTAAATCTTCTTTAAACGATAAGTAGGAAAAAAATAATAGGTACATCTTGTGTTTTGAAATGATGTATAAATAGATATCCCAAGAAGATAGAAAAAGTGACAAACAACCCAGTAACACACTAATTTAAATTATTTATTTATTATATTTTTTACGTTTTAAAATCATTATTTTCGGAACAAAACCATAACAATTGTATGTAATGTCAGGAAATAAATGGGTAATTTTCCCGACAGATTGGGTAAACCATTTCATTGTATTCTTTGTATTTAATTGCATTGATTTTTTGTCTTAAGATAATATTTATAGGTTCCTTACAGCAAATCAAACATTGAATGTGTTTGGAAAAAATTATAATCTATACCGATTAATAAAATTGGAGTGTCTGTTTGTAATATTAAAATAGCCGCTTTATACTAAATGCATATGTCTGTTTGTTCCGGCTAATCTCTGAAACGGCTGTACCGATTTGGATGGGACTTTCACTGGCAGATAGCTGATGTAATAAGGAGCAACTTAGGGTACTTTTATTTTCGAATTTTTTTATTTTAAATTCCACGCGGACGAAGTCGCGGGCACAGCTAGTCAAAAATGAACTTGATACGTAGTACACAGTGCAACCTCGATATAACGAAAGTCAAGGTGATACCATATTTTATTTATACACTTAAATATCTACGAAGTACAATACTTTGTACATATCTTGGAGTTATTATTCACTTTACTTTTAAAAGCTTTTTATTGTAAACATGAGGCGTTGCCTCGTGTACTGTGTTTTTGGCGTTGTGCCCATATATGTTCCGCATTATTAGTTGTTTAAATATAAGTTGTTACTGACTTCGTTTATAAATAAAAAGGAGTATATCATTTATATGCTACTCCTGGATCTTTGATTTACATGAAAGAGAAGAGTTCCGTTCTGGGGAAGTAGCAAAGAGAATGTAATCACTACGTTGAAGTAACTGAGTGGGTTCAGCGATTTTCAATTTTTGTGAAGGTTTTGAAAAAGCCGTGATAGCTCAGTGTCCGGTCGCTCGCCTTTAATTCAATATACTCGAGCAACCTGAGTTCGATCCCCGGTGCCGGCACCAATGAAGTTTTCAACTTTAAGTGCTGACTTATCACGTGCACCGCGGTGAAGGAAAACATCGCGAGGAAACCTGTATACTTCGAAATAACAACAAAAAAAAATATTTTTCGAAGATATGTGCATTCCGCCAATCCGCAGTGGGGACTATGCCCTGATAGCATCTGTATACAGGCGGCCTTTGCCCAGTAATGGAACATATATAACAAATAATACAAGCCTTGAGCTTAGTTTTGGTGCTTCAGTCTCCCACAATATGAAAATTAATTTTTTGAAATGCTATTGTGATACATACTGTGGTGAGAAAATAAAGAATTATTATTATCTTGGGGGGATATTCATTTGTTTTCTCGTCTGGTTGGGTTTATAAATAAAAATAAAAATATAGATATATATTGCATATATAAAATAAATATTATGGATAAAAAATATTATTTATATAATATTTTATATAATACATATATAAATAGGACCCAACCAGACGGAAGCCCTCGGCAGGGGAGACCAAACGGCCGAGGGTTAGGGCGAAAGAGAGAGAAACCGGCGGACGATGCGGGCGGTATCGAGGAGCACCGCCTTCTGCATTTGAGCCTGGCGCGGTCATTTTCGAGCACGGCCTCCGGAGAGTACTTATAATACGGCAGTTTCCGTTCCACGAGGCCGTATTTCAGAGCGAGCTCCTGGTGTAGGATTCTGGCTACTAGGTTGTGTCTATGCAGATACTCAGAGTTAGAAAGCATGGAACAACCGGAGATAACATGCCGAAGCGACTCCCCGGGATGGCGACAAGCTCGACAGATGTCGACGGTGCCATCCTTTAGGATGTATCTCCGATAGTTGTTCGTCTTAATAACCTGATCCTGTATCGCACAGACAAAACCTTCGGTTTCCCCAAAGAGGTCACCGAAACGTAGCCAGTTAAGGGAGGCAACAGTATCTACGAAAGGCTCGTGTAGAGCCTTGTAGAACCTCTCGTGGAGCTCTTTCTCCTTCCATACGGCCTCTCGGTCGGAAACGCTCAGTACTCCCGGGTCCTGCCATTGCTCGTTGGCTAAGGATAGAGGGGTAAGTCCTTTATCACAACTAATGACGTCCGTGTAGATTGACTCATCCGATCTCGCCAGGAAGTAGTTGCGGAGGCTGCACACCTCGCGATTGTGCATGGTAAGGGCGCTCAAAAAGCCCCCCCCCGCCATGCTTCCGCGGCAGGTACAGCCTCATCACTGACGATCTCGGATGATGCATTCTGTGGGACGTCATAGTTGTGCGGACTTTTCGGTCCAGGGCATTGAGCTCAGTTTGAGTCCACCTGAGTATGCCAAAGGTATACATGAGGACTGGCATGACCCAGCCGTTAAATGCGCGTGCCTTGTTCACGCCTGACAAATGGCTGTTAAACACCTTTGTCAGGCGTGCAAAAAACACGTCACGAACTGACTGTTTCATGCCAGCCTCATCGATACACATGTTTTGTGACATACCCAGGTATCGGTATGTTTCAGCCTCAGAGAGGGTCCTTATGTTAACGGGCATAGATAAGTCTATGCCCGCCGTATTAGTGACCTTACCCCTTTCGACATGAAGGACCGCACACTTATCCGTCCCGAGCTCCATTTTGATAGAATTGCTGAAATCACAAGTGACTTTAAGCAATTCCATCAAATGGGAGCGATTGGAGGTGAATAACTTGAGGTCATCCATGTAGAAAAGGTGGGTCACTTTTGTCCCTCCTCTCCGAAGCTGAAATCTTCCCCCCGAGCCCTCCAGTAATACGCTGAGAGGATTCAGGGAGAGGCAAAACCATATTGGACTCAAACAGTCGCCCTGGAAAATACCCCGTCGTATCCTTATCCGGTATTCCGCAGCCGTCATCCGTTCGCCTAGATGACAAAGGATCGTACTCCATTGCCCCATACAGTGCTCCAGGAAGTCTCGTACTGTACAGTCTACTTTGTACAGTTCGAGGACCCTCTTTAGCCATGTATGGGGCACCGAGTCGAATGCCTTTTTATAGTCTATCCAGGCGGCGGAGAGGTTCCGACGGTTGCGTTTAACCATTTTACCAATGGCCGCGTCGATGAGAAGCGGTTTCTTGGTTCCACGACCGCCGCCCCGACATCCATTCTGAGTACGAGACATAATCCAATTCACATTAATATGCCGGGTGATTCTCATACTCAGAATAGATGTCAGTGTCTTATAGATGGTAGGTAGACACGTAATGGGGCGGTACTTACTCGGGTCTGTGGTAACCTGATCTTTAGGAACCAAATGAGTGATCCCAGTAGTAAAGAGGCTCGGGAGCGACCTCTGATCGAGAGCCTCTTGGAACTGTCGGGCGAGCACAGCACGACACACCACGAACCCCTTCAGCCAGTAGTGATGCAGCCCGTCGAGTCCCGGACTTTTCCAGTTCGGGGCTCTACGGATTGCCTCAGATACGTCGTCGGGTGTTATGACGACGGGGTCCATGGGTGTAATGTCTGCACATTGGCTCGCCACGACTTGTGTCCAAGGGCCCTCACTTATTATTATTATTATTATTATATATAGACTGTTACTTTAGTTTTGAACAGCTTTTTAAACAAATTAATAATGAAGTTGCAAATGATAACACTTATGTAAGAACTAATATTTTAATAAGTACATACAATTAATATAATTTTAAGGCTATATCACGTGATTATAGATTAGAGGTATCAAAGATATTTTTAATTAATAATCACAAAAGTATCTTAAAAATGAATCAATTACACAATAAAACAAACAGTTAGAAACAATTATTAATGTAATGAGATTTTGTAACTGACAAAGAGAAAATAGTCAATACTTAAGTGGTAAACATGTCTTTATCATTATTAATAATGGTAACATCTATCTGGTAATATCTTAAGACAAAAATAAATCAAACAGAACGATTGTTTCACATATACCTAAAATAATTTTTAGGCAACCAGGTCACTTCAGTACTTGTAATTAAACTTCATCTGCAACAGGTACTTGACTTTTACTTGAGCGACATCATACACAATGAACCTGTAATGATTTGTGCTAAGGAAATTTTATTACATAAATAAACCTTTATTATTATAATGCGATTCAAATAAGAATAGGACTGACATTACGCCAGCATGTCACGTCATAGTTGTCAATTTAAACTAGATAGAAGAGTGAGCAATTTTTTAAATAATATTTATTTACAAGTAAATTTTTTATTTAAAGTATAAAAGAAAAAGTTTGGAATGAAGCACTTGTCAAATGACAGAAAGTTGACAGATCGCTGTCATTTGAGAGTTAAATTATTTAATTTAATTATGTGTGTGTGTGTGTGTACGCGTCATCATTTCAGCCTGTTAAGAGTCCACTGCTGACATAGGCCTCTCCGTCAGACTGCCACGAAGTACGATCCTAAGCCACCTGCATCCAAAATTCCCGTTCTGTATGTAGTGGGTTCGACGTTTGGATTTACGTACGTATAGGAAATTATTTAGTTCATTACTTAAAGTGGTTTCCACCAATAAAAAATGTAGAGGAGACTAGTGCCGTAAAGCGAATTTGGAATAATTAATCAGGCGCGCACTTTCATGGAGGGTTATACGAGCTTATACCAGATATAATTATTTTTAGTTTCTTAAAAATATTACAATAACTTTTACCTGAAAGAATAAAGATAAATTTTCATGATGCGTAATACTGAATTTTTATAGAAAATTATTAAGTATTACGCATCCCATATATTTTTTCCGATTAATTGAAAAAAATCGATTTGACTGAAGATGAAAATTTGATTTTTTTAGCTACATAATACGACTGTATACTTTGTCTAAAAAATCACGTTTAGATGCAAAGGAACTCTTCCGTATTTAACGGTCGAGGCCTAATCAATAGTGATATAGGCCGGGCGTTTTGAGTTTGGTTAAAGGTTAATTCGTGCGGAAGGGCTTGAGTAGTAAGTCCCAACGACTTTGATGTAGGGCCACGTAACAGTTCGCTGTTGCACGAATGGGCAGTTCCGTCCGTGGAAGGACCACGACCTCACAGAAGACCGGCGTGAAGTGGAAGTTATTATGCTACTGTCGTGGCGCACTCTATTTAAAGGCTGCGACGCACCTGCGACCCTACGGGTGTTGCAAATGTTTGGTTATCGCTTAACATGAGGCGAGCCGCCAGCTCATTTACCACCATTAGCGAGCACTGCAAGGCCTGGACGGTCCGCGGTGGCGTGGTGAAAAGGATACTCGTTGTAGAGCAGCGAGGTGTCCTTGGCGGCGGGGCGGGGCGGGCCGAGCGGCACCAGCGTGCCGTCGGGCAGCGTGCGCGCCATCGCCTCGTCGGGCGCGGTGCGGCCCACGCCCCACGTCGAGTGCAGCCCGCTCGGCAGCTTCGTTATGTACTCCGCCGAGTGGCACTTCTTCCTGCGGTTAATGGCATTTTGTTAATGTCGCTTTTTTACAAACGAGCGCGGGTAGGCGGTGATGCAGCTAGGGTGGCCAACTGTTTTTGAAAAGAAGGACAACAGGTTTTTTTAAGTGGGGAAACTACTTTTATATATAAATAAAACAGAAATAATAACAACTACATATAACTACACTAACAAGTAATAATAACAACAAAGGAATAACTTTTATATAAATATACAAAAGTACTTTTTAATTATCTCTCCTCTCGAAGACACATATTCGTGAGCTTCTAGCATATTGACAGTTTTTCATTATTCTTAAATAGAGGACTTAAGAATAATGAAAAACTATCCGAAATAGGGTATTTTCACATACTTCATTTTTATGCATAAGTGTAAAGTATATTAATATAAGCCAAAAATAAAGTAGAATAAGGTATGGTTCGCAACCCAAGATGCAGTAGCCTGAATGTGTTACATACAGGTCTCGCAACTCAGCACAGTAGTGCAATTTTTTAAGGAAAATCGATATAGTACTGCGATCAAAGTTAGAACAAGACACTTAATTCAGGTCTTAATGGACGACGGAGGTTTATTGAAGACGGGCGATATAGTAACCGATACAAAGTATTATGGCGTAGCGACCTCTATAAGATTTTAACCTCAAATACTAAAAGATGCCATCTATGTTTTTGCATGTCTGATTAGGTTTTTTACTTACATATCGCCAAGCGCGACTTCGCAAAGCATCATGATACCGATGGGATTGGCCTTGTTGGTGCAGCAGTAGTTGGCCGATTTCGACACCATGTCCGCAAAGTATATGCCTTTGCCAAACATGTAACCTGTCACTGGCGCTTCGGGCGGTGCAATGCGGAGACCTGCAAGAAAAAACTCGTAAATACTATGACTTTTGAGAATACTACTAATAAATGATGAGAATAAGAATCCGTATGAAACGGCCCCAGGTTTTAATTAGCACTTAACTAGCCTAAAAAGATTCGGCGTGATAGGAGTTAATCGTGCATATGTTCAAGTTCCACCTGGGACAATTATCTGAATAATTACAGATAATTCTGGATATGGGTATTTGTGGATTGTTAGTAAAGTCTCTAGAACACAGAATTATGTTATAGTAGTTGTTCATTTGAGTTTTGGTCATAGGAAATAAATACTCCACTTGACAATACATATCTTACTTTAAACATTTAGGAGTTAAACAATAGTAACTCATTTCAATATATCGTAATATAATGTAAATATAAGCTATATCAAACCATAAAGAAACGAAACTAACCTTGCGAGAGGATGCCAGCAAAATTGGTGACTCGAGACCCGTGCCAAAGTAGCCGCCTGTTGTGGAGTTTTTTGAACGGCTTGTATCGTTTGTCTTCACCATCGCGTACCACTTTGAACACCTTAGATTTGAAAATAGATTGAATTAAATGATTGATTTGAAAGTAGTTGTTATACACTCTTCAGCATACATTTTATACGTCGTTTTTAATAATGAGTATGTGGCGCCGCATTGTTAGCGAATTTTCTAGTGGTTAGCCAGAAATAAACATCTAGATCACCTCAGTGCAATGGCGGCGTATTAAGTGACGGCGAACTTTCGATGACTCTATGATGCAGTGCTAGGGTACTGGCTTTAGCGCCTGCAGTCGTGAATTCGATTACCACACGAGACAACCATTTATGTGACCCGCAACTAATTGTTCTTGACCTGGGTATTTTTCCCACGGACGATTGGCGTTGTGATTGAAAAATCCCTAGGTCATGTGAGATATGAGCAAGGAAAGAAGATTTTGAGAAGATCTAAGCGAGCGACATAAAAAGTACTGCGTTGTAGATACACTTGGGTCCACGTCATTGCGCGGTAAACGCTCGATTGACATTGGAATTATCGGTATTCGGATTTATGAACATATTTTTTTTTTCATTTATTTTGGCGATCCAGTAATAAGTATCAGCTTGACGAGAGGCGCTGTAGTCTTTGCCAACCTGTTGCACGTCCAGCGTGTAGGAGGAATGGGTGGCGGCGTGCGTGTTCTTCACGTACTCCATGATCATCTCGAATTCTGGCGAGTTCCTGTCCAACGGTGCGATGTCCGTCTTCAGCTTCTTGTAATGGGCCTCGATGGGACTTACGGAATCGTCTTTTTCTGTAACATATCGAACATCAAGCTTTGTAATGTGAAAACTTAATTAGTTATTGCTAGGAATAAGCCGTACAACATTAGGTATAAAGCCCTCATACTTTTTACACGCAATAAATTAGGTTCACATAATGACGCCCATTTCTAAATAGGACAACTCTGGATAGGACAAAGGATTATATCGCGTGAAACTCCTTTTCAATAGTCACATTTTACATCATCCGACGGACTGATGTGTTTTAACATTCCAATGTCACAATGCTACCACAAATTACCCACGACTCTACACTGGAACTCTACACTTCAAAACCAAGATACCTATGTAGATGTAAGCAGCTGATTTATATTTCGGACCACGGATAAAAAGTCGAAATAATCGGAAAAATTTCGAAAACGCAATAGTTTAACTTTGTAAAAAATATAAGAATAAGAATTTAAAATGCGTGGTCTTTAATAGTTACAGTTAAAAGGAATTACAGTTGCTACATGCAACATTTGATTTCAACTATCCTTACGGCATGTTGTTTAGTATTGAATATTCCTCGAAGGTGGACAATACAATGTTTGTACAACATCCGAATCACACTACTAGTGTAAAAAATATTTATAATTTTTTCTCAACATACAGAGCAATAGTTAATCTTACCGTCACTTAGCATGCTATAAGCAATTTCAATCTCGAGCAGGTTATCCAGCATCTCCGTTTTGGTCTTAATGAGTTCCATATTGTCGAGGAGTGGAGGGTTTTCCATGCCAAAGCTATGTGGTACTAATGTGTAGAATCTGAAAGAAATTTGTTAATTATGAATCCCTTAATAATTTTCACTATTTTTTTTTATGCGAAAAGTTGTCAAACGAGCAGACGGTTCACCTGATGTTAAGTGAATACCGCCGCCCATGGACATCTACCACACCCGTGGGTTACAGATGCGTTGACAACCTTTTGAAAATTGGGCTCCGGCTACCCCACTCACCAGACGAAACGCGAAAGTATTTGTCATACTTCCACTTTACGCTGGTCTTCTGTGAGGTCGTGGTACTTACCCGGACGGGCCTGTCGCGCAACAGCCGTGGCTGCTGCGCGGCCCTACCACCGTTAAACTTAATAATTTTCGCTATAATTTTAAATTAAAATATGACTAGTTTTAACAATCCAGTATCCACTCCACATGCATTTTTTAAGATTTGAGCGAAAGTTAAAGGTCATACAGTCAGACAATCACAGCATTCCTGCAAAACTACCAATGAACATAATCGGTGACTTTGCGGTGACTGATACAGCTGCATTTCTGAATTATTTCGCGGCGAAAACTTAATTTCTATAATAGTACAGCGCGCCACCATTCGCGTAAATATTTCTTACGAGCTGCCGTCGATGTTTGATGGTTGTAAGTATATTTTTAATGTTTTTTGCTATTGAAATGAGATGTATTATTAAGTTTAATTATTAATATCTTAAGTGATTGTTTTTACAGTATAATAGACTCGTGAGGCATGGAAGGTAGAACTATATCTATATGGTTGGAAGACGAATGTTCTGGTTTCGATGATATAGAAAGCGATTTTGAAGTCGAAGACTTTTTATTAGAATTGGTACACAATACGCATACGGAACAGGAAGGAAGTTCCAAAAATTTACTCGAAAAATAACGCACAACACTTGGTATAGACTAGTAACTTCAATAAAATCAATGCTGTACAACCAAAAATGATAACATGTGAAGGAAATATCCCTATCCTAGTACAAGAACTCATGCACAGAAGAATTGAAGTTTAAAGACAAATAATGGCCAATTTATTTTAAGTTTTTCAAGAAGGCTGTTGATAGTTCCCATTTTTCTCTAAGAAGAATGTATCGTTTGATAATAAAGATTTATGAACTTAAGACAAACGTATTTTAATACATAAATGTTTCGTTTAAAATACCATATATTAAAAGTGCTGTACATAAGTAGAACACACAAGCACCAACGTTATAAGTAGAGGCGCGCCTACTGGAGTGTTAAATACAATGTAGAGATGTAAAATATTGGATTATATATATCTTTAAATGTATATAATATTGTTACAAATATTTCGATAACAGTATATCGTTCTATATTGATTTAGATTACGGTTACTACATTAATTATTAATTGGTTGTTTAACCTGTTAGTTGCATCCACAACTTTATTTGTGTTGACTTTACCATCTTTAAGGTATTTCAGTAGCTCTGATAAGACGTTGTAACCCATCTTGATTTGCTTCTTAGACAGCTTCCCAAGTGGCATTTTATCAGTGTCAAGCTAGGAAGAACAATTATGTGATATTGAATGGATTTGAATTAAAGAAAAACCAGCTATTATTTTGTTTCAACCTACATATCGTATAGTTTTTAACTTTGACTTTAACTATGTGTGTTCACCTCACAGTAATAGCTAAATTTGTGGGTCTCAACATAAACTTGCAATAAATGTGAAGTGGTGATTATTGCACTAATGATGTCCAAAACTTGGATTCAAACCTTAAAAATAAGCATGGATTCAATATTCAGTTTAGGCCATCACTATTTTGTATGTTTAATGAAATACATAGTTTTCTATTTATTAAGGCACAATTCTATTTATTTTTATTTATTTAATCTTTATTGCCAACCTTCAGTAAAACAATTGAATTGTGCATTTTTAAGGGACCGCCTATTATCTTCATTAAAAATAGTTTCAACTCAGGGCTAATTTTAGGTAAATTACCCTTATCATTCTCCTGTGCAAATAAATTTTGCAGCGGTTTCACACAATAGAAATATTTGATGTGAGATTATTAGATATCCAGGCAGAGTTGTGACACTGTATTGCATAAAGCAAAACCTTACCTCAAACTCCATTAGAGTTTGTTTCATGACGTTGATATCAAATATCTTCATTATTAATTGCTGTACGGAGACGTCTAGCTTACACTTTTCGTCCACTTTGAGTGCTACGGCAGATGACGGTTCATCGCCATAATCCACGTCAATCGGATAGTATGCACCGGGAATCTGGCAAAAATAGCATTCACTGCAAAAATCGTCATCATCCTCCTCCTGCCCTTATCCCATCTAGGTGGGAATGGCAAAACATCCTCTGGGAAACAAACACGCAGACCCGATCAACTATCCGTGGGTTTGGGAAATTTCATATTCCTCCGTCTGCGCTATTTTCGCAAAAATGGGTATAAAGTTATTGCTTCACGTATTAATATATAGATAATACATGTAAATGAATTTCATTCAATATTCTCGAGCAAACTAAATCCAAATCCTGGTACTAGCACCAATGAAATAGTTGATTGCAATTTTAAGTTCTGGCTCACCACATCGTCAGCGGTGAAGGAATACATCTTGAGGAAACCTGCATATTTTCCAAATAAAATAAAAATATTTCGATGATAATAATATTGAAGTCCGTAAATTGCGGATTAACGGAATTCGCGGTAGGGTCGCATGGTGGAATATGCCCCAATATCCTGTGCAGAGAAGGCCTGGTATTGGGAAATATAGAGGCCGGTAATTTTCATTACTTATAGATATAAACGACGCCCATGATAGCTCAGCAGTCGGGCGATCGTTTATCGAGCAATAAATTGGTCCATTAAAATTTTAAGAATGACGACATACTCGGTGAAGGAAAACAATGAATAAAATAACTGAGAATAATTAATTTAATTTAAAAATATTCGGAAGATTGAATAAGTCCCCTAATTTTACTTAACATTGAAGTAGTGTTTCGGTCTTTACACGAATACCATCTGTTAAGAGCAAATGATGGCCGAGCAATTGATATGCTTTGTTTTTTATATATTATATATAAAGTAATAAAATCTCAACAATCTTGTTGCAGTGTCTTACAATAAAGCTGAAACATTATTTTTTACCTTTACAAAGTTGGCCCTTGTATCCCATGGGTTTTGCGTTCTCTCCATATACAATCCTTCGAACTTGTTTATGGCGTCCATAAGGGAGGTACAATTTTCGACCTTATTGCCACCAATGGGAGTACCAATACGGCCCCATGATCTGAAGATCCAATACCTTAAAAAAAGTGGTTTCTTCAGGATCATTTTGATCGATTCATAGTGTAGCGATTTTAAATGCAGTTACGTGAAATTGCGGTCTATTACGGGATCATATTAACATAAAAAACGTCGCATAATTGTAAGAAAAAAAATAAGTTTGCTGCATAATGTCGCTTATATACCGCAAAAATTAATTGACGATATTCGGATTTGCGGACATGTCCTTGTTTTATTCGACTAAGCGATTAGTTTATAGCTATCAGTCAAGATAGTGGTTACTAATCAACTAACAAAGACAACTTCACTGAGAAGCATTTAATCTTCCCCCGGCATATGCATTTATCTTTAAAAAATAAATGATGGAACATGAAAAAATATTTCGTACTTCTTATTTTTGTCAGCCTCCAACAGTTGTATCTTGTAATATGAATTCTTTTGCTCGACAACATCGGTCTTGCAAAGAACAACTGTGTATTTTGTACCGCTTTCGTCTCTGTACACGTGTGCCTCGTCCTCTAGACCAGAGTCCGGATCGATTGCTGTACCACCTGTTCAAAAATTGTTTATTGTTTGAAAACACTTAGTAATTTAGACGTAAATATTTTTTATTGAAAAAGAAAAAAACTGACAGCACAAGATTTTTACTCCAATTAAAACGCCCTCTCAGTGTAAGTATAGTGAATTCATTGTTAAAACAAAATACGAGGAAGATATTCAAACATAATTAGTTATAATAATTAAATACAATATAGTGAGACCAATTTAAAGAAAAATTCAAAAAATTGATACAAAAAGATCTTGGCAAAGGGGCAAGCAAAATTGTGATGATGACATCTTATCAAATAAAAATGTTTGGTATACAAAAGTAAGTTATCTCCTTTATAAAGCCATTGTAATGATAATAAAGCTAATTAATGGTATCTAGATGAGTACCTTTGACTTTCAGTTTGGTAACACCAGATTTTGACTTAACATATTGACTGCCTGATTTTTGGATTGATTTTCCATCAAGAACGTCTTGCGGTATCCGCTTACTTGGCTGTGCAAAGAAAAATATCGAAAACAAAAATAAAAAAAATAGGAAAAAATACTTTGATATGACCATAAATATTTTCAAGTATAATACTTGATGAAAAAAGAAAAAATCCTATATGCCTACATAAGACAGTTAGAAAGGCGAATATCTTTGCCTCTCGTTGCCATCTGCACGGACGGTCCTTCGGCGAAGACAAAAGAGGGGAAATAAGCAAGCTAGCTTAGTGTATCGGCGAATACTTTTCGCTTCCCTTTATTCGGTCGGTATGTACCCGGCATAACAGCAAGAGATTTATTCACCAAATCGTTAAATAAATGATAAAAAGTACAAAGCTGAGTATTTAAACTTTTTTATAACACTCACTCAACTAGTTGTTTTTCTATTTGATATTAGAAATTTGTTAATAATGAAACTTTCATTTGTAAATGAAAGTTTCATTATTAACAAATTTCTAGCTGTAACAAACACTAGCTACTATTGCGCCTTATTAATACATTCATTACAGCCTATTAGAGTGCATTGCTGAACAAAGGCCTCATTTATATGCAATGAAAGTGAAAGATTAAACAGCGTGTGGGCGCAATGTTTACATCAATTCACATTAACGTTTTTCTATATTCTCGGGCGTAATAAAAATTGGATTGTTGTATCGCCATATTAAGTGTAGTATAAAAAAAAACTATTTTTAATATATTTTATATCCTTACTAAAATTTGTAGCCTTCATTTATTTATATTTCCCTTTCCAATTAAAACAATTAATACTTTTGAATCTAATTACACAATTACCAAACTTACATCAGAGCCCCAATCAGCAATATTGTTTTCTCTTATCAACCGTAATGTTTCCGAGATTGTGCCCTCTTTGGCATCAATCAAATCAAAGAATGAATCTTCGATAACCTGTGAACAATAAATTGTAATTATATACCAGAAGTAATAGTATAATAGCAAATTTTACTAAGAACCAATAAGAATTGATAGATAAGATTTTTTGTATAATAGCGGGCACATGCACAATCCTATATACATTCCTGATATGTTCAAGCAACCCCTTGTGCTCGGCCTGTATGAAGCAAAAATGCATGGAATTAGCATTCCTTTGTGCACTTAAAACAGCTATATGATTAATCCATCTACATCGCAAATTATCTATGAAAAATATATTTTAATCTATCTTAATTAATATATAAATCTATACACACATACAAACACATTTATAATAAAAGTAATGAGAAATGAATAAACGAAATAACTGACAAAAAACAAAGACCACAGTCTGATCCCAAACTAGGAAGGTGTACAATTTGAGTCCCCAATTTGGATGAAGCTTTAAAAAAAGGAAATGAAGATAAAATTTCAGGTGAATTTTGTCTACGGTTTTAATTATTTGTAATATTCTATTTCTGCAATTTTTTTTCTTCTGAGCGCGGATTCTAGTTCAAGTAACATTCAATAATTAGCTTTATTAAGAAGCAGGGTGTTCAAACTACCGCTCCCGATGGACATCAATAACGCTTGTAGGACTAGGATCACAGATGCGTTGCAAAACTTTGAAAAAGTAAGTCTCCGTTACCTCACGATTCGCGCAACAGACGCTAACGTAAAACTATTTCTTTTTCTTTTTTATTCTTACACACCTAATTCGTCACTGTACCAGGATTCAATAAAAATAGATCGCGCCTAGAGTATACCCTTCTTACTCGGGCAACAGTCTAAATCACTTCGCCCCCACTAAACGGCGGTGTATTCACGAGTAATTTTGCTAGTGCGTTTTTAAACATACTTTTCGTTTAGGCGTTAAGTTGTTCAAGTTTTATAGTATACATGTAATTTGCAAGCGTATATTAAGCGTATGTTATATATGACTAAAATGTCATCCATCAATTATTTTCCCTTATTGTATATAAGTTCAGAAATATACTCAACTGTTAAAACAATAACTATTAAATCAATTATACCTCTATTTCCTTATTCTTTATGTCCTCCATTTTCGAAGACATTTTCTCTATCTCGTTCTTCGTAGACACGACGGCCGCAGTGGTATCTGTAATTTTCGATACGACGAGACCTCCGAGCTTCAAGATGCGGACTTTGACCTCCTCTTTCGGTTTCTTAGATTTACCAAGGAGGAAAAACTGTAGATTTTTCAATGGAGGTATTGGTTTTTGGGTAGAATCCCTGTGAAATATAACCAGATGGTGACTAAAAGCAAAACTAATGTAATTGATATTGTTAAGAACAAATTGTATTTCTGTTTTGAGAAAAATCTAGACAATGATTGTCATTGTGGTTGAAGTACCAATTCACGTGTATAATATAATGTTTTGCTTCAATTTTATTTCTTTTAGCTCAAAAAATATTCACCTCATCAATTTGGCTATGTATAAACTACAGCTATAAGCTATGATGATTTTTCATTAAAAGATGTATATCAATGGTAAATGATATAATGTGTGTCCAACTAATATAATAATTTATTAATCTTTGTTTCATGCGTAGAAATAATTATAAATATAAACAAAAGAAAGAATTGTAAAGGCCAACTTTGTCGTGATAGCCACGCAGCAAATTTTGCTTTTCCTCGGCCTCCTAGAAGAACAATGTGAATCAGAAGTATTACAATTTCACGTTTCGTGAGTGTACTGAGGGAGTCTCTACTGCAACCTCTGAGGTGTTCAGTATGTCAATGGACGGCCCTAATCTCTAATATCATTAAAAGTTTCATATACTTGTTTCGTTTTACTTTTTTCCACACAAAACGCCAAATTACAACTAATCAAAATCACTAGTATTATAATTTCGGGCCATCCTCATCCCCCCGGCTCAGAGGCGATTTCTACGAAAGACGTGTTTTTATAATGTTTGTAAGCTACTGGTAACACTTCTATTATTGGGTTCAATACATCTGTAGATTGGTTCGTACAGTTTTTTTAACGAATACGCGACTCACATGGTGATAAGCGCGAGCGCATCACCGAAAAGGTTATAAATGCGTGGTCCGCCTTTATGAAAGGGATATCGTCTCTTGATCACTGATTAAGCATATTAAGTTAACTAAATTTCAAATTAATTCATGTATATAGTCCAGTTAAATTGTTGGGCGGGGCCTGTGTACATGCACTATTTAATATAATTAAAACATTGCTCACTTGATTTGTTAGGAGATTTTTTGTGGATCCCTAAGTTTCATCTGCCGTTTTCGCCTTTTCTTCTTTAAAATCTATTTTAATACTAATTTTATTATGAATTCTGTTTGAGTACTAATTTACCACTTTTAAGCTATTGTTGGTTGGTCATCTTAGACAAACTAAAGAGCTTGACCGCATTTTTGTGCAAGGTACATGTGGACAGTCTCTTAAAATCCAGTTTGAACTAAGAAACTATTTCATACATGCGAATCGGGCATGACGTTTTAAAGTGAGGATGTATTCGTTGATGATAACAAAATTATATATTATTTTTAATGCTAATCTCTGCACTTAAGATCGATCGACGAAAATCTCAAATCTTCGACGAGATTTTCGACAATGTGGCAATCAGACGTTTAGCTTAGTCATTAAAGCGTCTATAGTAAACTTTTTTCTACAAATTTTAAAGCTATATACTAACTCCGGGGACTCTTCCTTTTTAATAGTAATCGGCGGTGGTGGGGGCTCACTCTCGAATATACGTGTTGTCACTTTCGGTTTATATTTCAGGAACGCGGCGTGTTTCTTATACGCCGACGGCACCACCATTTTCGTCTTCTTCGGCTCTTTTGTTTTGTACATGCACTTCGTCCATTCATTCATATTCCCTGGAAATCGAAATCATGCGATAAATTTTGTATTTTTAATGTTTATATCTGCAAGATTTAATTAAAATTTTATTATTGCGTTTTCTTTGCTTGTTTGGGTCCTTTCACCTACATTGCGTGAGATTTACTCTTAAAAATTAGGTAAACTTTAACATAAGTATTTTTTTCATAGATTTGCTTAATATTATTAAATAATAATAAATTACGTAGCTGAACGCGGCACAAACTTGCACCAAAAAATAGAAAGCAATTCTATTTGGGTCTAGTTGCAAGGCAGCTTGCAAGCCTAGTCAGGACTTGGCAGGCCAAGTTGATTCTCTACTTTCCAATGGTTTACACTACTAACTCACTGTACTTATCTACTTCACTATTTAGTGAAGTGGATAGAATTTTTTACCTGTACATTTGTAGCAAAAAGTGTCCAGCACCAGTTGCCCTTGTTTACATTCAGGGCAGGGTTGGGGAACGCCGAACGCCATGCAGTCAGCCAAATGATTCAGGCACTGAAAACACGCACGCACACGCATGTTTAGGAATAAATTCAATGCACGGGAACATTTGTTATGATTCGAGAGAGATCTACGGAGTTGTACGATATGACGATGGCAATTAAAGCACTCGGGCGACTGTAGATATCGGCAAACCTGTTATTATAGGCTTTCAATATTATACTGCCTGTTGGAACACGGTCAACATTTATAATATCTTATATGACAAAACATTATATAAGGCAAATTACTAGCAGTAACGGGCTCAGCGAGCCTACTGATACGTACTGGGCGGTGCGGGTGGGGCGAATATCCCTGTCCTCAGCAACAACGAGACGGAGTCGCAGTGGAGGAATTTTGGCATTGAGTTTGGCCAATATCTGTATTCTTCCCGACTCAGCGGGGCTGCCCCGCTAAATGCGGTGACGAATAGTTGAAAGCAGGCTTGATAGAAATCTGCAGCGGGGGTGGAAAGTTGGATTTTACCTCATCACGTCCAGTGAGCACATCTTGATTGTTTGTCTCTAACAGTTCATGCAACTCGGTCTTTGTCAACTGGCTCAAAGCATTCCTGGACTTGTCGTACAGCTTGCTCTGTTCCGCCAGCCGCTTCTTTAGCTCTTTTTCTTCTTTTAAATCCGCCTCGTCTTTGGGCTCCTTTTTTATCTTCTTTATGGGCACCTCGTCTCCCTCGGACTTTCTAAACAGGAAATTGTAATCTTGACGAGAGGATTTTACTCCGTCGTTTTGGATTTCCTCTAGCAGGTACAACAAATTCACAAGTACATTTTTTAACAGTAAGAAAAAAAAGGCTGCTTGATTTATAATTATTTATGCACTTAAGACAAAACTTAGAAAATGTGTAGTGATATTGAAAATGTTATAAGTATATAAGACGTTGAGATTTTCGCCCGACGAGGATATCGAAAGCTTAGCTTAATGCTTATAGCGTCTAGACGCGTTACCCGGAAGGCACAGGTTTGAGTACTGGCAGTGGATTTCTTTTTCTATAATTTATCCACACTTCTGAGGCTATTGTAATTACGATATTTAGGAAGATCTTGAATTTTCGAAAATTCTCTTATTTCCAATTCAGTACGTTTTTTAACTAGAAATAAATTAATCAGGGAATCAAGTAATAAATGATTTACTTAATTTCTTGTTTAACAGTGGTTTGGTCTTCTTTTTTCAGGGATTTAAAACCAGGTAGTTCTTCTCCACCCCCAAGGAAGTTTAAATCAACTTTCTTTTCGGCAAAACACTTCAAATGATGCCATAAAGGGTGGTCTCCATACTTGGGGTCGTAGTCAATTTTAGCAACTCTGATTTCATCCTACAATATATTAAATTCCAATAAAATTTAACCAATTTAAATAAATCCACTTGAAAATCAATACTTTTAGGAAAAATTAGCTGAAATTTTGAATACTAGTTTTGAGAAATATTGTATAAATATTTCTAAGCACACAGCAATGTCATAATACGTTTTTACAAAGTTCTGTAACTTACCTTACATATTTTAATGTCACAATGACGACATGTTGCTCGGCTCGATTTGGCATACTCAATTGTGTAAGGCATGGGAACGCCATCCTTTTTAGACTTTCCTCTCTTTGTTCCCTTTCCTTCACCTAATATTGTTCAAAATACCAACATAGAATACATTTTAATAAGGAAGTATCAAGACTGCCACCAGCGAAAATTTTTATACTGCCACTAGTGGCAAGTTAAGATACAGTGTTATTCTGCCACAAGTTATAAGGTATTCAAAAGTGTTCTTTAACACAAATACAACAAAAAAAAATTAAATATATGTTATGGCACAGTGAAAAAGTTCTTATATTGGAAAACTAAAATAAAATGCTCTTCTGCCACAAGGTAACAACTCATTGGAATATGTTGGATTGCAAATTTTATTAATCCGACAATATAATTAGCAGTTGTTTGAAAATGTGAGGTGGACCTAAAATGGGAAAAACTGTACTAGGACTTAACTATATAAATATTTGTTGTTAGATGTAAAAAGCGGTACTTTTAAGCAGTATGTTAGTCAGGCGCAAATGTAAAATTTGACTTTTTCATGCTCTTTCGCCAGAAATCTCGCTATTTCGCCCTCTTCGCTGTAGCGGAATGAATGTTCACTGAGTGGCCACTCGCTTCGCTCGCTCCGCTTGGCCTCACAGGCTTGCTCCACTCGCAAGCTACAGGCTCCACATTTTTATATTCACTCTAGGGGGAGGGACCACAAAGCCACATGAAATAGGAGTGCTCTGTGTCAGATCTGTGACTCACTTTGGACCTGGTGTTGGATTAGATTATACACTATAAGAATCCACAAAATACTGTTATTTCTTGTTCTACCTATTGCGGCAGAATAACATTATATCTTAATTTGTATTTTAGTGGCAGTAAATGAACATTTATTAAACGGCCACTGGTGGCAGACCAGACATGGCTGAATAGTCTAATAATGTATATATATGTACATTTGTGAAATTAGATGAAAAAACTACATGGTTATATAAAACTAAGATTTACACTTTATAGCATCTATGCCATAGGATATACAGAGTTATTTTATGTCCTTAGGTAACAATTGACCCCTGACTAACTATTTATATTAATCTGATCATGGATGCTATAGTATCAAATACTTAATATTAAAATAAAATTTAAAGGAAATAAAATCCATCAATTACTTTTATCGAAAATATACATTTTTAATTCGAAATTTTTCTGTAGGGTATTTGGCAAAAAGCTAGATTTTCAATTTTATTTTGACAAAAAATTTGCTATAAAAAATTATAAAGAAAATCATTTCATCTGATTACTTACACTGCCACACTTACCATTTATTTTCTTTTTAATATTCTCTTGGTCTTCATGTTTGATTTTGTTGAAATTTGCAATCTCAGCAATGTTAGTGGGAGGCTTTTTGGAGAATATGCAATCTAAGTGATGCCAATTTGGTTGTTTCCCATCAAAAAATGGAGACTGTAATAGGAAACAATGTTGTATAATATTATAAGATTTATAATATGTCTGCATGAGCTATTTGACTAATTAGGGGTGATAGCAAAGTGAGGAGCATAATGGAATGTAAGATTGACCGACAATACCTAGTACAAAATTATCTTGGAATTTTAAATACATTTAAAATTTTATATGTGAAATCTTTGACTGCTCCTCTGATACGCATTAATACATATACACTTCTTCTTAGTACTCAGGCATTTTATTTCCTATAAACCGACTAATGATGGACTAATACCTTATAATTAAACTGGGATGTAGTGGTTGGTAGTGTGTTTGTTGTAAAATGCCTGTTATGAAACTTTATGAATAACTTATAAAAGTACATTAAAATTATCAATATCTTTGATAATATTATGATGATTCAGAAGAAAATTGTAATTAAAAAATTGTAAACATTATATATATTTAGTATAGGCTCATGACCAGTAGCATTAACATCTATTTCCATATTATCTTGGTTGTTTATTAACATAATAAACAAATAAATATTTTTCCGATTACTGTTAAGTCTTGTAAGTAAATAATTTCTAAGAAAGACTATTAATGGACTCTACTTTACTGTACGACTCATTTTAAAGACAAGCGAAAGGCAAAATACAAAGGCAAAGCAAAAGCAAACATACTTCCTGAATTTTTTTAATGTATTATTTAAACTTGTTTAAATTTGTAAATAAAACGTGATAAATAATCGAAAATTACTGAGAAAGTAGATATACTTTAACTAATTATATTATTATACTACTATTAAAAGTCCTCCTCCTAATTTAATTTATATTTAATTTAGTCAAAATTGTACGAACCTGCACCATTAAGGCCATTCGTAACACTCCTTGATCAATTGTTTTCTTACACAATTTGCAGGAAGATCTAGATGATTTAGCATACTCCACATTGTACGGTAAATCCGTCATTTCTATATATATTTATAAATTTTCGCCTGAATCTCAAACAAGAAATTAGCGGCGTCCCGGTAACTAATAATAATAAGATATTATTTTTTAGTTCAAACTTCAATTTTCAATTCAGTTTGAATTAGTACTCTGTGGCAGTGCTACCAGCTCTCAAAAATATTTATCCCTAAAGTTTAAGGCAAAAACCCGTAAATCCCCCCAATATAATAATATTATTAAAAAAATTATGAATAATAAAAAGCGCAAAGAATTTTGCCTTAATTTCCTTATGAATGGAATAATAAGTGAACAGATATTGCAGCAAACATATTGTTGATTGGTAATCGCAGATTATACATACTCTATTGATGTCAACTCTGACCTATTTGATTTATGCAAGATATTTGAATTACTTTAAATTTGGAATGTTAATTTTATTTCTTCAGACTGAGTTGTCATATTTGATTGATTCCATAAAAATTGCTTAAAGAAGTAGCATGTATAGCTATCTGACATAACTCATGTATTCTATATAAATTTCATAATGTTTACGTTTCGTTAAAAATAAGTTCAAAATGTTAAAGTTGAAATAAATACTTTTCTTATCAATCATTCAGATTAAGTGTCATTTTGGCTTGAAAGTGATCCCATTATCCACATCTACCATTCAAGACATGTTGGTCTATAAACAGTGTTTAAACAAAAATTGTAGGAAATTTTATTAAAAAATTGTCTCCTGGGATTTCTTTAAACGACCAGTATTTTTAACATAATTCCAAAAATGTGATTCATGATGAATGATAAAGAAAATTAATTACTATTGGCGCTTCCTTTAAAGCACTGTGACGAGTAGTGAGTATAAGTACTACTAAATGGCTGTTTATACTACAGCAAGTAAAGTGGCATTTGTCTGTCGAAATGGACGACCACTACGTGTAAATTATTTTACCTGTCGCCTGAAACTATACTAATTTGACTGTTTATACTACGGCAAGTTACGAGTCAAGTGTCCCGCAGGGATTAATCGGGTGCGCGAGGGGAACAGTTGCACTAAAAATAGAAAGTGATTCAATTTCCGTTAAGTTGCAAGGTAGCTTGCAAGCCCAGTTGACTCACCGACTTCAACTTTGCATTCTTAGTAATGAAAAACTGTACTAGATGTCGCTAGGTCAACTAATACATGTGACCACAACAACAAAATTATTGGGAAGATTGCGTTACTTCAGGCCCTTTATCTTTCTTAATCAAAGAAAATAACAAGAAATAAAACGTAGGAAAAATATAAGAAGTCGACAAATCTCTAAAAATAACCTTAAAAACGCTGTTCGAAAAATCCGTTTGTTTGCCCCCTAAATTTTGGGGGAAATCCCATAAATTATAACCCTGTGGATAAGAGAGACAATAGATGATATACAGTACAGAGCAAAGATTATTATACACATAAGTCATAAATACTAAGTTTCAGAGAGAATAGGACACATATATTTAATGACCAAGGAGAATGTAATTACCTACTACGTTCTAATAATAGTAATAGTAATATAATGACTTTTATTAGAGAGCTAATAAAAATATCGTCCGTATGGTTACAAACTTTTAAAAATAAAATTAGTGTGTAGATCATCTGCATGAGATGACTGCTTAGTGACTATATACTATAGACTGGCGAGGCCTTTTTCAGTTACATTAAAAACGCTTAAGATTTAGTTTGCGAAGGTGTTATATAAATTATATACCTACCCTTTATACCTCCCTGTCTTATTCAACCAAGGTGGAGCCGAGGAAAAAGAGGAATGTCGGTATTGCGTTTGGCCGCTCTACTTATCGTCCACGGCTCGTCGAGGCTGCACCGCTGATGGAGTAGTGGTGGGGATGCGGGGGGATAGGAGTGTCCGTATTTCGATACACCGTTCTCCCTACCCTTCACGGCCGAAACATGACGGAGACACAGACCAGGCTGACCGCAAGGACTAGGGCTGCTTATCAGCACTGGTTCCTCACCTAGTAGATGGTAGTAACTCCCCGAGGAGGGGCTGCTGAAGCGGCTGGCACTGTTAGAGTCATGGTCATGGTCGTCCACGTTTGTAGACCATGTCACCTTTTATTTGTCGAGTATGCGTTGTTCTCCTCAGTTCGCGAGTCGTCTGCCTTCGGACCTCTTCCGCCCGGTTATCAGCAAATAACACTACCTATATATATATTATATATATAAAAGGTTCACCAACTGTCATATAAATAACTAAAAATAAAGTAGCAGAACTATAATAAAGACAAAGGGATTGAATCCAATAATCATGACATATTATTCCAGTTTCCAATAAATATTATGTATTATCTGTGGAATCACTGAGAGGAGGGGACTAAAGAATTTTCTTTTCTAATTTTAGGAAGAAACTATTTTCAGTGCAATGCAACTTTTAAAGGGGTAAATACATTCAAAAATAGACATCAAATGCGTCCTACAGCGGCGAAAAGTTTTGCGCCGCTGTGGGAATCGAATCCATGTCTTCGGGATTTGTACTCTAACGTTTTTGCCACTAAGCTAAACAGTTAATCTACATTGTTTTTAGCATTTAATTTTGAAGCAATGCTTGGCGCATCCATTGTTATATCCTTTCCACTTACAAACAATTTCTAACATCGTTTTAAAACGATAAATCGAACGAGAGATGTCGCCATTGCTTTTTTTTTTACAAATTCTAATTGTATTTGATTGTACATTTACATTTAGTTTGAATTTATTTAATTTTAGTGGGCTTTAGAAGTATTTTTTAACAGCTGGTAATACTCACACTGTATGGAACTATGGATGGAATCAAAGAAGGAATGGAAAGATTGAATCAGTTTATATGTCTATTGTCTCATAGACCAATTTAAAGTTGTACCAAGTTATCTGTGAACTGATGGGTGTCGCCATCGTCGTTTTAGTGTTGCTAATTAATTCCAATGTGTACAAAAGTCGGGAAAGTCGACACATTTTTATTTATATTATTTAGTTTGTATTTAAGATAAATTATAACATCACTTTCATAGGGAAAAAAACTGCTGTGTGACTGAGAATCGGCTACTAACTATTTTTCGTCCCCCTAAATATTAAGGGTGGTCCACCCCAAAATTTTTTTTTTACTTTTTATATAAAATTTTTTGTTTCTATTTTTTTATGATACAGCATACAAAAATACATACAACCCTAAACTTTCACCCCTCTACGCAGACGTAGTCGCGGGCAGCAGCTAGTATACATATATAATGTTATGTATCTATCTACTGCGATAGCCTTTTAACAAGGAGGTTAAGGGTTTCAATCGTTTAGATTGAAACCTTCTTGTTAAAAGACCCATCTAGATATTAGTGGTAGGCCTAGTTAGGAGATGTAAGTAAAAGAACTACAAAAAAAATTAGGATTTATTGAAAACCACGTTTGCAATAATTGTGGTCAAACACAGTTTTTGAAGAATGTGCAACATCATCCTGGTTGAGACGCCATACTCCTTTCACTTCCATGCCACACTCATCACTATCAGAATCACTCTGTTTCACTGTCACTTGTCACATTTAGCCTACGAACATGTTTACAATGCTTTTTCCACTCATGAACTGAAATAGCTTCAAATGCTTCTATTACAATGCGAAAGATCTCATCATTTTTGTGATCAATATTTACGCTGGCCACGTTTCTTTTCATTGTGCTCCATATTAATTCAATTGGATTAAGGTGACAGTGATGGGGGGGGGGGGGGGGGGGCACCTGTGACCATTTTCTGCCAAAATCCTTGTTTTTTAATTAAATTCATGGACTTTTCGTCTGATAACTCCCAAGTCAAAATCATCTACATGAACAAATCCATCCTTTTTCGTATTCTCTGCTTGCCTGGTGTGCGAATTTTGGTACCAGCTTCTTCTGCTGCTTGGCCCTCTTTAACAATTTTTGAAATTAGCCCTTGACTTACACCTGTAACAAATGCTTTGTGTTTAAACATGTGTGGTAGAAATAAATTCATTGTATTTATATATTTGTAAGAGCTGAGTGGCGACCGTGGATAGTCGTTAGCAATAATTGAAATGATAACAGAGTGAATATTTTAAAATAGTAACAACTGATTTATATATATTATTGATATCCTACTTTTGGATTTGACGGAATTTGAGGAAATTTTACTCTTCATAAAACAGGTCTAAAATAACAAATCGGCCTGTAGGTTGCTAAACCCCTCTTGTACAAGAACGTTTGATCTTATTATGTTAAAAAAATTTCAAATCTCATGTCTCCATCCCTATTATCATTTTGGGTAATTTATATAATATAAACTGACAACACTAACCAGTTGCAGCCGAAATCCGTTTATATATTTGATTAAACGGAATGATAGGAGCTTGCAGTCGAGCTTCTTCTTCAAAAAAAGATTTCACGTTTAGAATAATACTCCGGACATCACTTTTTATAGCTTTCGGCATATTTAACGCTTAAAATTCAGAAGTATCGCAATAAAACACACGGAACACTCGAAAGTAGTAGACACTGACAGTCGAATGACATATCAACATGGCGACCGTAGTTTCTATTTTTGCCACTTCACAGATAAGTTGGTGGCACTGTACTGTTATGTATTGTCTTATCTATGGATTGAATTGAAATGTCAACAAATACTCCGCGGTTCGGATCGGATTGAAATAAAAAATAAAAATTGAATTATAGAAAAGAAAACTGAGGAGTCTATTCTATAATCAGCTGGGAATATTTTTATTCTTCGAATATGCTTCGCCAGGTTTTGTAAAAATAATATCTAGTAATTTAAATTGATTACGGTATTGATTTAGCTTTTCTTTAAAATGGGTGATAGAAGAGAAAATATAAAGAGATCCCTAGGTATTACCGAGTATCCGTGGAGCTCTGGTAAGATAAATTCCGTTACATAATTACTTATGTAGTTCTGAGAGAATCTTTCATGCTGCATAAAATGTGATTTTACTGTTTATTTCGAAGTGCCAAATACTAAGAACAATAATGCAGACTGTTTTGGGTGCGGTTCCTGCGACGCAATAAATGAAACTATATTTTCGTATTTTGATTTATGAATGTTTTAAAGTTTTTTTTACGTACGCAAAGAAAGGGTGATTTTCTTTATTATAAAATTACAACATTTCTTGTTCTACAATTTTTTCTCTTGTGCCGCAATTTCGCTTATTTATTATTTAAATTTGTCTGTTGATTAAGTACATTTGTAAGTTATAATATCATAGTACCTGGAGGACCGAGCTTTGGTCGGTTTTTTTTGGTGTATCATGTATTTTGGAAATAAAAAAAAAAAGAAAGCAATGATCTGGTAAGTATAAAAAAAAAGTTAAAAAAAAAATAAGTGTGTAAATAATCGTGATACGAACCGTGGCCGTCTGTTGTGGGGCCGCCCGAGTATCGACCGAGCTATTATAACTTTTTTTGAAATTTGCCGTCATATTCGAATGATATTTTTCATTCCCTGAAAAAAGGAATAAAAGGACATTTTCTAAAAATGAACCTAGATCTATTTTTTGCCCCCGAATCTACGCACATACAAAATTTCATGAAAATCACTGGAGCCGTTTCCGAGATTCCGATTATATAAATATACAGTGTGTTGTTACCATCGCGACAATAAATGAACACACGTCTAACGCTACTTGCCAATAATCATAAAAAATATTAACGTTAAACAAAATCCATAATTAAAAAAATATATTTTTCAAACAAACTAATTAAGTAAAAAAGAAACAAAATTTGTAACATCCTATACAACTGGCGCCACACCGTCGCATTACAAGCCTCTCCTTCTAACAGTATGTTTTGTCTCTTTTAAATTCATTCAACCCATTCATATGCTTTGTGACCTTTACAAAGAATGTAAATGTTTAATACAATTTTAAAAAGTTATCCTCTATATGTGTGTTCATTAATTGTCGCGGTGGTAACGACACGCTGTATATAAATATACAAGAATTGCTTGTTTAAAAGATAAGATTACATCATAAAATTTTGATTAAGAATTAATTACTCGGTGATGATTTTTTAGATGATGAAGAAATTAATATACCAACAGATTTTAGAAGACCAAATGATGAATCTGACCTCTCAAATGACACAAATGAAGAACCAAGTAACTACAATTTGTATTTATTTATTAATCTTAATTTTGTTAATGGGTTAGATAAGGCGTTTGATAGGATGAGCTTTGTAATTTGTAAGTAATGATGGCTCTAAGGATTGTGCATAGTATAGAACCTACAATAGGCTGCAAAAATCATAGCTAGATATAGTTCCAGCAATACTATGCTCACTTCTACCTATGTGTACCATACTAATAATACATGGTTACATTTGTCAGCAATAGTGACATGATGGTGCATTGTGGCCAATTCAAGATATTGTTTATAATGAAGTTTGGCTTAAAACTATAGCAAAATAATATAATTTACTCACATATAATGAATAACAATCCATTCAAATTTGCAGGGGGATCTAATTCACCGACTTGGATAAATGACCAAAGACACTCAAGATTGGAACAGGAGCAAATATGGGCCTTGTTACATGACCCAAACAGGGCATCTAGACAAGATGGACAGTAAATAAAATTTGATATATTATATTGATTTTACGCAAATATTATACATATTATATATTATACATACATATTAAATGAAACTAATGAGTCTGTTCCGTCACTAAGAATACTGGAAAGGGTTCAAAACATTGGGAATTAAAAATCAAAATTAAAACACAGATAAAATACGTAAATTACTACCATTAAATATGTATAATTCGATACAATCATTATAATAAACAATTAGATGAATATTTTTTCATTAATATCATGCTCACTCTTCTAATGTTTATTGTAACTGTATTACACTGTTATTGTTAACTGTATATACACTGTATGAGAATTTTTTTTATGTGAAAAAGTGTGGCAAATGAACTGGCGGTTCACCTGATGTTAAGTGATAGCCACCGTCCATGAACGTTAGCAACACCCCTAGGGTTGCAAATGCGTTGCCACCTTTAAATAAAGTGGGCCCCGGCTACCTCACTCACCGGGCGGAACGCAGAAGTGTAATACTTCTACTTTACGCCGGTCTTCTGTGAGGTTGTGGTACTAACCCGGACGGACCTGCCCATTCGTGCAACAGCCGAAGCTGTTGCGTGGCCCTACCACATATTATAAATATATTGTAACTAGAAGTAAATATTGCCACTGTGGTACATTACGAACATATATATATAATTTTTGATTTAAAGTTTGACGATTCATAAGAACGCGCATGCGTCTATTTGAATAAATATACATTTTATTTGATTTGACTGTTGTACTTTTATTTGTAGAAGGTCAATGCTCAATTCACCATCTGATAACATGCATGAGCGTTTCCCAGCGATTCAATTGAAGCGGATTGTCTCATACAAGAAAGTGAGGCGTCGCGATGGAACGACTTATCGCCATGGTTAGTGTTATTTCAACTATTATTTCCTCCTGAAATATAATTGTATTATCTCTTTCTTTCTTTCCGTGTACTTTATTTTTTACACAATGTTACTCTGTGTTGTGTTTATTTTCTACAAAATGTGTACTTATAATTGTCACATAGGTTTTCGCCGCTGCTAGTACATTCCAGCCAATAAGCTAAGCGGTCGATATCCTTCCCGCGCGAAAATCTTATCTAATGTTATATCATTTTTTGTAATGTCTCGCAAATTAGAATTTTGTAATAAATATTTGAAAACTAAAGATGTCGCTTTTGCTCTTGAACTCTAATTTTTGTAATAGCCGCAGAGCCGCTTATGATAAAATTTAAAATGTTTAGATAAAGTGTTAGTTGAGTGCAGAGCGTAGCAAAGTTTTGGTTACATACGCCAAAATTTTCAACATATTCTATTAAAACATAGAGTGTTTTGGCATAAATTGCATAATATAGAGTAAATAATTGTTATTTCTTAAGCATTATAGGAACTTTGGCAAGTGGAATCACAGCATGCACTCTTATATCACTTAAGGCGAGAGTCAACTCTTGGATTTATTTCTATTTTAACTCTGAATGACATTAACTATGTTTACTTATTTTCCTATTTTGTATGTGTTATCTTAACATATTTTAATTAGAATTTATACAGATTTCTTAGATTTTTCTATACTAAATATAAATTTCAATTTACCATGCATATATCGACAGAGAATATTTTTTTATATTTTATTTGCTTCCTCGCTGAAATACATTTTAGATATCTTTATCGGTGTAAAGCATACGTGAGGCCAGCTGCGACACCAATGGACCTCAGGGCGAACGCGGCTCGGGCCCGGCGAGGGGACCAGTCCCGGATGACGCTGCCGATGCTGAGCGGGGCGAGCAGTGAGTGTTCTGGCTTGTTCACATATAGGTCTCGTTAAAATGTCGACTCTCACTCGAACTACAACAACTTGCATTTATACAGTGAAGCCATGACCCTCAGGACCTTAACCAGTTGCTAAGAGCGGCGTAGCTTTTGTAGGGCCAGGTGGTACAGTGACCTAGGGCCACGAAGATCAGAGGGCTTAGTGCCTTGAAAAGCGTATTTACGTCACTCACGTAGAGCGTTGCGTTTCTTTCGCCTGCTGTATAATTGTATGCCATAGTAGCAGGCCCACATTTAGTGGTCTGGAGGCCTCGGGGCAACATAGGAGTGGAGGCCCCTTGGCCCCAAATTATTTTCCATTGATTTTTGTTAATATTTAATGTAATCATGTTTGTGCGTAGATAAAAGAGACATAAAATAAAACGCGAATGAATTGTTTTTTCCGATGTCTCTATTTTGGGGGCCCCTCGTTTGTGGAGGCTCCAGGGCTGTTGCCCCGGTTGCCCTCTCCTAAATCCGGCCCTGCATAGTAGTATCACGATAGATTGTGTGGAAGGGCTTAAGTAAGTCGCAACTACCACTGCGACCTAGAAGATCTATTGTAGTATGTCACGATGGGTTACACAATGGTCTTTTAGTGTGCAAAGATAATGGCGTAAGACGCGTCTGTTAATTTCATTTTGCTCGAGTACCACAGCGGGCACTCTCAAGCCCCTAGTGAGTGCCCGATAAGAGCTGTCATCGTGCCTTCGGTTGTTGCAGTTATATCACTGGTGATGGAAAATGGGGCCGCGCCAGTGGAGCCCCAGCCGTCCACAAGTCGCGGTTTGGCCGCCGCCCTTGCGACTCTTTACCCCTCTTCCCGCAGCAACTCACCAACCCCTACCGATACGCTCCCTGCTAACGAACCTCTCCCCGCCAACGGCCCACCGCCCATAATGAACCCCATCCCCTCTACTAACACCACCCCCGAGCCCTACATACGACCCGAAGAATCATACCCCATTGGCGACGCGCCCCCCACCACCCCCACCGGGAGCGCGCCTACGGACAACCTGGACCAACCCACTATTGGTACCGGTAATAATGCATATACTAATATATACATGCGATAGTATTAAATTTTACCAGGTACGTTTCTCTATCTGCTAGTGCTTTTTTTGTCCAAAAATGATTAGATCTTTAAATAAATATTTCCATGTTCTTTTTAAGACGTTATGTAGTCGCAAATCAACCAAAGTTTGTGCGTATGTATGGGTACTAGGTAATCGCTGCGGGAATCGAACCCATGTCTCCCCGATTCGCGCCCAGACATTTTGATCACTAAGCTAAACGGCTTAAATCCCGTCGTATTTTTTCGCAATTTAAGCAATGCTTGGTGCATCTAATGTTATGTTCTATAAATCCCGAATTTCCAGTCTATTTTATTGGATTTGTAACAATTTTGAGAATTGTAATAACAATTATACCACGTGATAATTATAACCGGTGATGTGTGTGATAAACTATTTTCATGGTACTTGATTAAGCGTTACTTAAAATACATGGCTTATGACTATTTCGATTTAAATCTGTTTATCAAAATCGTCAGTAAATGATTTGTAACGTATTGTGTTCCATCAGGTGACGACGAACACCCGCAAAGATTGAACACATTGCCTCCTACTGAAGGTCGTGATGCAACCGACGGAGAAACTGGCAACACGGATGGTGAGAAATACGTATTTTTGACATGTTATTGCAATATAAGCCAGGTTGAGTACAGGGTTTAGTGCACAGTCCGCCGTTATGGTGTTATTTGACGGACTTGCGATTTTAAAGAATTATTTGAAAACACGTATATATGTACGTTTTCCCATTAACCATGGCATTTTATGTACCTACATATTAACTCAGAATGCTTATAAACTTATAGAAAAACCGGCCAAGTGCGATCTATAAAAACGGCAAAAAAATCATGACTGTTGTATGGGGGATCCTCCACTTACGTATTTTTTATTCTGTTTTATTTTTAGTATTTGTTGTCATAACGTCATCAGATATACACTATCTGTGAAAATTTAAATTATCTAATTATCGCGGTTGATGTGATAAAGCCTGGTGACAGACGGACAGAAAGCGGAGTAATAGGGTCCCTCCTGTTTTACCTTTTGGGTACGGTACCCTAAAAAGTTTTATTATAAACTTTCTTTGAAGAATGAATCTGACAAAATTTATAATTTAAACCGAAAATGTTTTCTATGCCGTAAACGATAAGGCTTTTCTTGGCTTTTGCGCAATTTTAGATTTCCCTTTTCCCAACTCTTTATGATTTCTCTATAGACAGGGAAATGCAAGTGGCTCGTGAGGAAGTCGTGCTGTTTGAGCCCGAATCGCACGCCGCGAGGGCGTCCGTCGCCGACGGCGGCTGCCGACCGAATGACCTGCACAGCTTTGTCACCATGGAGGTATCTGCATATACAATACATATGTTATACCCGCAAAACTTATTTGTAGGAGGCACTATGTGACGGGGAAGGTTATAAAAAAAAAAAAAAAAAAGAGAACCGTTGACATAGCAAAAAAAGTTAATTATTTTAAAATGAGTATGGTCGTGGGTGTCGAGCCCGCCTTATTTGTAGACCGACGTAGTCCGGCACTGCTCTGGTGCTCTGCGTGGCTGAGGAGTGTTTGTCGGTGAGGGTTTGCCAACACGTTAAAGGCCACTAAGTGTGTGAAGCTCGCGGCAGATGGCGTTCTGTTCCAGATTTCGCTAGGTGGAACTAGGAGCCCAATACTGTACGACGTTTTAATTAATTGAAAGTTAGAGCTACGTTAAAGTACAAAGTTTAAAAAAGAGGGCAGGGTGTTAGAGAAAGCATGACCTTGCTCAATCTCCTACCAGAATGGTGGTCCACCGACCGGTGGTCGTGGATTGAAATGAAGCACACTCATGTTACATTTATAATAGTTATGACGACCTTACAAATATGTAGTAGCGAGTGTTGTCGTCTCGTTCCCTGCGCAGTTCAAACCGCGCCCTGTCTCCATTTCACAGCATGTCGATGTACAGGTGCACAACGTTTTGAAATAAATAACGTGTACAGCTTGTAACATTTATTGTATACGCTTTTGGTTGAGGATATCTTCGAACATTCTTTCTATATTTTGCATTTGTTTACCAGGGAATATCTTTATTAGAATTATCTCATGTTTTTTCATAACTCGAATCATTTTAAAACAGTAAATATAAACAAGATTGTGTATGTTTCAAAACGGTATGATGATTATTTATGACTGCATATAAATCTTGTAGCCTTGTGACATGGCGGTCGCGTCATCATCACAGCCACAACCGGAGTCGCAGTCTGGAAAAAGAAAAAGGAAGGGTAAGAGATACGATTGAACTAATGTAATGATTCCTTTGATTTAGGCGAAATGCTGCACAGTTTTTGTAAAATTACTTTGTCGATTTACCGCGTTCGATTCGTTTCAATGGTCAATTAACTTTCTGCCCTGTATGTAGACAGCATTAGGTAATGTTGAAGGTGTGAAGCAGGGGAAGTATAGATAGATGTTATTATCATACTCTTTTATGAGAACCTAATAGTATTTTACTTTTGTATTTTTGTAGAAGTTCAACGATTTAGATAAAACAAATTCTTCTTTGCATAATGAAGTCAAATAAAAGTATTAAAGACAAAAGTGATTTCTTAGTATATTCTATGCAGCTGAAAAAAGACTCATTCAGAAGGCATAGATGTAGCAGATATTATGTCAAGATCTTACCCGTTTTAAAAGGCATTGTGCATTTTAATTTTATCATTCAAATGTTCAGATACTGTTAGTATGTTAAGTCTCAAGTAAGAGTTAAAAAGTTTTAAAAAAGTATTCTTCTTTCATCTTAGGTAAGGTCACAATATATGAATTATGTTGTTGATGGTATTGGCTAGGATTTTACATAACCGGCCGACTGAATGACTTCAACCCTCCTCGGAAAAAAAAAAGAATTTTGAGAATCGGTTCACAAATGGGGGAGAAATCGGTGAACATACATGGAAAAAAATACATACAGTCGAACATAGAACCTCCCCCTTTTGAACTGGGTTAATAAAGGCGCAGATCCGAAAATAATAATTTTTAACAAAAAAAAAAAAAAAACCGACTTCAAACCGGAGATTATAAACATTGTTAAAACCTATAACATTTGAGGATTGCCCTCGATTTCTCTGGGTTGCCATCATCAGCTCCGGGTTTTCTTATCATGGTACCACCCATAGGGATATCTCCTTTCCAACAAAAATAGAATCATCAAAATCGACTCGTAAACGACGAAGTTATCCGCGAACACACATTAAAAAATATATATACTACGAATTGAGAAACCTCCTTCTTTTTTGAAGTCGGTTAAAAAAGATTTTAACCAACCCTCGATCTTCGCGCCGAAGATTGTAACTTGCAATTTATTATTTTTTGTACCTACTGCGCCTCAATAATACTTTATTGCGTTTCAGGATCTGGAAGTTCCAGTGCTGAACCCTATACGGTGAAGGAATTCAATCAGGTAAGTAAAACTAGCTCAATGTCATTGCTTTTATTGTCAACAATTTTTAATTGTTGGAAATAAAATAAACTAGCAACTAGCAACTTTATTATTAATTTTTTACTGTGAATTTGATTTTAGGGACTGGCCCCTCACCTGTCACTTGTTAGAGAAGCTAGTTCGGGTATAAATAACCGTCCGTTTTTAGATTTGGAATAGGAGAGAGCTTGCTTTTTGTGTGTTTTTGATTGTATAATCGCATTACATGAATTTCCTACCTCGGTTAACAATTACGTAAAAAGGTTGGCCATTTTTTTTAAATTTAAATAGTAGGTGGTAAGCGAGCTATAGTCGTTTTTTGCTTAATATCATCATCATAGATACCATGGGTTGCATGTCACGATTCCGACTAATATGCTCGGTGAAACCTGAATAGTTCGTCTGTTTCTGTATCCACCCTCCTACGGTTAATAAACGTTTCCCGAGGAAAACGCAGAAGTCTTCCAAGGTACTTCCACCAAGTCACATCGGTTCATGCGGGATATTCTCTTTTTAGCAAGCGAACAGATGGTTCATCTGATTTTAAGTTATTACCGCCGCCCATTGCTATCCACAATACCAAAACTGTAGCAGAAACGTGAGCCCCGGTTTTCTCACCAGACGAAAGGCAAAAGTATTCTGCGTCCACTTCACGACGGGATTCTGTGAGTCCGTAGTAGTTCCCCGGGGTTCCGAAGTGTTTGGATGGCCCGGCCCTACCACAGGATACAATTGGGATTTAAGTTTTTGCTGTGGTAGGGCCACGCGGCAGTCTACTGTTGCACGGACGGGCAGCTCCGTCCGGGGAAGTACGACGACTTCACAGAAGAAAGCGGTGTGAAGTGGAAAGTGTTACACTTCTGCGTTTCGCCTGGTGAGCGGGTCGACCGGAGCCCAATTTATCGAAAGGCATTAACGCATTCCTAACCCTACTGGTGTTGTAAACGTCCATGGCGGCGGTTATCGCTCGACATCAGGCGGACCGCCAGCTCGCTTGAAGAAAGTGATATAGAGTGGACTCGCCATTGCGGCAGTGCCTGCTGCGGCTGCTGGAGTGCCCCGTGTGCCTGGAGTGGATGGAGCCGCCGGTGGCGCAGTGCCGCCGCGGCCACCTGGTGTGCAGCCGCTGCCGCTCGCGCCTCTCCTCCTGCCCCGTCTGCCGCACCGCCTTCTCCACGGTCCGGAACCGCGCCATGGAGGGGGTGAGTCGACGGTGGACAGAAAGGATCTGTGTTGTTTGTTCCCGCCGGTGGCGCACCGACTCGGGGCGAACTGCGTCCTTCGCCATTACCCGACGTCGCAACTGCTGATAGGACGCGGTTCCTCTAATAAAAGTATGGTTGTGAATGGTATTTGTGAATGAGGATCGGCATATGCGGATTTGAGAGAGAGACTACTGAACAGTGTGACCTGTACGGGCCTGCACCCGGCGTACTACTGTGACCGCGTATCCTCGATTGGCGATTACGAGTTCAAAAGTTAAAAATTAACAGTTTGCGCATTGTTGGCATCGCAGGCGAAAAAAAAGGTTTAAACATTGTTCCGCTTTATATTATGACATATATATATACGAATGTGACAGATAATATAGAACGTATTATTCGCAAAGAGATGGGATCTAATTACAGAAGTTGGTATAATCCGAGTGCCTCGTATTTGCACGTAATATTATTGATTACTCGCAGGTGGCCGAGCTGCTGCGCTACCCGTGCCGGCACGGGTGCGGTCGCGAGGTGCGTCTGCGGCGGCGAGGCGCGCACGAGGCGAGCTGCAGCGCGCGCCGCTACCGCTGCCCCGCGCCGCCCTGCAACGAGCGCGCGCCGCTGCCGCTCGCCGAGCTGCTCTCCCACCTGCAGGTGACGCCCCTACTTCTGATCGACGAATGCGACTCACGCTGTCCGCGCGAAGCCTTCACGTGCCCACTTGCGCGTGTCGCCCCTACCACGGGTCGTCGAATGCGACTCTCGTTGTCCACACGGAGCCTTCCTTCACGTGCCACATGAAGGTGACACCCCTACTGCGGATCGACGAATGCGACTCTCGCTGTCCACGCCGAGCCTTCACGTGCCCACTTGCGGTATCGCCCCTACCACCGATCGTCGAACGCGACTCTCGTCTACACGGAGCCTTCCTTCACGTGCCACCTGCAGGTGACGCACCTATTGCGGATCGTCGAATGCGACTCTTGTTGTCCATACGGAGCCTTCCTTCACGTACCACATGCAGGTGACGCCCCTACCGCGGATCGCTTTCTACGTGGATTCGATTTCTTCGTGCTGCTCATATTCAAGCATGCGTGCGAATCCATCAATGTTATCAGCCGTTTAGAATTAACGTTACGTGTTTATGTAATATGTTAACGATAAATAAATAACTTTAAACTTTAGAAGAGCCACGCAACCTCTTTTACGCGGCTTATACCTTTTTTTAGTGAGTAGGTAACCGAAGGACCACATCATAAAAGAGTCGCAGCACATTTTAATTTAAAATACTCGTATCCACGCCATTTCAGAAGAAGCACACGTCGCTGATGAAGAATGGCAAGACGCACAAGTTCTCTATGAAGATGAACACGAAGCAGCACGACACGTGGCTGGTGCTGGTCGGTCACGAGCTGTTCCATATGCGCATAGACGTCGACATCCGCAGCTGGGGCATCGTCGTCTACGTCGCATACATCGGACCCAAATGCAAAGCTAGCAACTTTACTTACGAGGTGAACCACAATCATCAATCACTTTTTTTTTTTTTTTTTTTTATGCGAAAAGTTGTCAAACGAGCAGACGGTTCACCTGATGTTAAGTGAATACCGCCGCCCATGGACATCTGCCACACCCGAGGGTTACAGATGCGTTGACAACCTTTTGAAAATTGGGCTCCGGCTACCTCACTCACCAGACGAAACGCGAAAGTATTTGTCATACTTCCACTTTACGCCGGTCTTCTGTGAGGTCGTGGTACTTACCCGGACGGGCCTGCCCATTCGTGCAACAGCCGAAGCTGCTGCGTGGCCCTACCACCGTAACTTCAATAGCTTGGTCTTTTTTTTTCCTTTAAAAAGATTAACCCCTGCTGTAGTAAAGTTACTTCTTTTAAGGCGTTTTATTTTAACCAATTGCACAAACATTCGGATCACGAAATGAAAAAAATCTAATGAACCATTTGAAAGATCGAATTGTCTATAGAGAGAAGTTTATTCCATTGTAGAATTGTACTCATATTAAATGTTTAATTTTCCAAACCGGTGGAACACGTCCCTATTCTTTTTTAAAGATAGCAAAATTGAACCAATCTCAACATCCTGTATACACCACTTTCACTTTTTATATTCACCATGTTTTTCGTCTTTTCAGGTGACCGTCGTCGGACAGAACAACGAGCGGAGACTCGTCTATTCCCGCGTGACGCACAGCGATCTGGAGAGTTCCTCCCTGAACGTGTCCCGTCAGGACTGCTTCCACCTCACCCTCGATCAAGCGCTCAACTTCCTCAGGCTGAAGAATAAGCACTGCGAACCAGACAAGTTCCTCGATTTCATCGTCGAGATAAACAGCAGGGATGTGAATGAAACGCCCAGCGAGGAGAGTAACACATAAATAAATGTTGAATTTTAAAGTACTTAAGAATCCCTAAGTGGGCGCACATTAAAGCATCGCGCAACGCCGGTTTTAGAGCCTGACCACTAATGGAATCAGACAAGTCATTATGTAAATAGAACTTTATATGTATATCAATAAATACTCTATAGAATATAATGTTCTAGAAACCACAGATAGGTCCGTAGTCAAGTGCGCTCTAGTATAGCACTAAGTAGTCTAGAGTAGTTTTTGATTATCCTACATACATAATAAAACTTACTAAGTATGTATTACGAGTGATTTGAATACTTGCATTCAACGTATTGCACCAAATCACTTTTAATCTATTTTTACTGGAGAGCTAACTGATCTTTAAGGTCTGTGCTTCTTTCTCATTCCGTATCTATATAATGCGTCTATGAAAAACGCATTATGATAATTTGATGTGTGGCGAGATAATATACGACGAAGGATAAACATCACTTAGAAAGGTGAATTCGCTGTTATTGCCTTGCGTTGGATAAATCTCTTACATATTATGTTTAGTCCTGTAAAGGTAACAAAGAAGAAATATATTTTCAAGTGTTATTGAGTATTATTTAAGTATGTATACAGCATGTATTTCAAACATTGTGTACCTATATTTGTCAAAATTCCCAAAACATTTTATCTGTACTATAAATGTTAGACTGGTTTTTTTGTCAACCTTTATCACATACCAGTAAATGATATACCTAATTGATTATTTATATATTGCAAAGCTTTAAGTAGCATTTGAATTGGGCTACAATTTAATTCATTTAATTAAATTATAGTCATAAAAGCATCAATTTTTTAACGTTTGGCTTTTTTTTTTCTTAAAGCAGCTTATAAACTGTTTTTACCTATATTATTGTCTTGACTTATCATTTAATTACTTAGAATAAAATAGATTATATTTTATTACACGGAAATAAAAATACAGTAAACTTTGAGTACATACAGATAGCCTTATTGCTAATGTATCAATTTCTTCCAGGGAACGTACTTTTTAATATCTCGAATAGTGTATACCCATAATATTTAATGATTAGTTTTAATTTTTCTTTTTGGGATTGGTAATAAAATAAAGATAATAATTAATGATAATGTATTTTTTTTTTACAAAATTCATAATTATTTACACACGGATTTACTCTTAAAATTATATACAGATGAAGTTATCTACTATTGTTATTTATGGAAATAAATACTTGCTGCAATAAACATTTCATTTTGCACAAATTTTAATCAACAAAAATAGTTTACATGATAAAATCAATAACCCTAACATATCGCCATGTCTTTTTAACATTATACAATGTTACTAAAACAAAATGCCACAAAAGGCAATCATCACAGATTATCGGCAACCGTATATCTAGAAAGAGATCTCATAAAAGGACATTTTTTCCAATACAGCACTTGTATTGATACGTCATAATTAATTCGAACCTAAAACTGTCTAATATTCTCAAGCTACTAGTTGTTTGGAAGCGAGCGTTTGTCGGGCGTACTCTGTGCCCACCAGTCCCCGGCAAACGAGTGAGAATTCTTGCACGGTCTCCAATAGTCTTCGCTTACTGTTCTTCTCTCTGAAAAGTACAATAATACTAGAAATTTCGAAAGAAAAATATTTATATACTGTTATTTAATAATCGGGAAACTTAAATCCATTAGATAATTTTAAAATAAGATCGATATTTAATACTTTATTTTATTTACAAAAATCAAGCAAAATTTATTCAAACTGGAGAAAATATTTAACATTATCAAAAGTATCTTCAATCATATTACTAACATATTCGATTTGTTATGGTTTATCGCGATTGAATTGAAATTGGTAAGTTAATAATACATATATATTGATAAGTGATATATTTTATGAACCCTATTGTACGCCGTATTGCACGCCGTCCCTCCCCCAGGGGAATTTTCTTAACCCGCTCAAAATTATTACTGCGAGCTGAAAGCGACAACGTCGTCGAGCCAGCTTCAAGTTTCGCAATAAGATCTATGGGATAAATACTATCATCGAAATAACACAACTTTCAACTGTGATAGAGCCGCACTGTTAGATAAATGAGTAGATAACACAAACTCTCAGATCGGCGTGAAGTGTTATACTTCTGTATTTATTTTGACGAGCGAGGTTGTCGGGGCCCACTATATTAAAAGGTGGCAACTTATCCGCAACCCTACGGGCGTTGCACATGTTAATGAGCAGTGACTATCATTTAACATCAGGCTGAACTGCCAGCTTGCCTGCCACCTTATCGCGGTTTAGTTCAATTGGGAGTTCACGATCGTCCGCGAGGGTCCATGATCGAAATAGGCCCGTGAACCGCAGGGCCACACTGACTTGAGCACGGCGGCGATGAAGGTGCTCTTGTGGGCGCGCGTGGCGTGCGGCGTCGGGAAGCCGTCGACGTCGAGCGCCGAGCGCAGCCAGGCCGCCAGCCCACTACCGCCCTCTGTGCCCTCGGGGAACTGCACGCGGTTCAGCGCGAGCAGCAGTTCGGCGAGCGGCTCGATCTGGTTGCGCGGCGTCGCCCCACCTGCGCGAAAGGTGTTAGCATGACCTATATCTGTATAAAATTCTCGTGTCACGATGGTAGTTGCCATACTACTGCGAAAAAAGCTTGATCGATTTTTATGAAAAATTATATGTTTATTTAGTAGGTCTGAGAATCGTTTGTAATTTATTTTTCATAGCCCTGTGATGTGTGGTCCACCCCAAACATTTTTTCTACCGTACAAAATTCGCTCGATAATTTATATGGTTTCGATTCCCACGCGGGACAAGTATTTATGTGGCCCACAGATAGTTATTTCGTATCCGGGTGTTTGTCCACGTGAAATTTATTTTTATAAAACGTCCTTAGAAAAGTACAAAAAATAATGTTATCCTAAAGTAAGGGCAGTGCTTTCAAAAACCAAAAAAAAATTAGTATCACGCACCTATGCAGCGCAGCGTGGCGGCGGTGAGGGCGTGCGCGTGCTTGCGCAGCGCGTGCGGCCTGCGCGCCGCCAGCGCCGCCAGCCAGCCGCACGCCGCCCGCGCCGCGGCCGCCTCCCACATGTGCACGCACGTGCACGCTGCGAATGAGCCACCAATGAGAACGTATTTTTTTATGTGAGAAGGTGGCAAACGAACTGGCGGTTCACCTGATGATAAATGTTAACCGCCGGCCATGGACATTTATAACACCTGTAAGGAGGCGGACTGGCATGTCGACACGCTACGCTTGCAACGTCACGTGTGGTCACCACGTACGAACCCCCCCCCCCCCCCCAGGGCATGAAAAAAAAGGGGTACCGAGGTCGACGAGCTGCAGCAGCGCGTCCTCGAGCCAGTCGAGGCAGAGCGGCGTCTTCTTGGTGAGCGCCAGCAAGAGCGCGAAGAGGGCGGCCGTGAGTTCCGGGCGGGCGCGCACGTCGGCCGCCACGTGGCGCGCGCACGCCGCCACGCACGCGAGCAGCACGCGCGCCGCGCCCGCGTACGACTCGCACGAGACGAGCATCAGCTGCGGACGAAATGCACACGCTCCAATTCCAAATTAAATACAAGCTATGTATCAAAACGCACACGCTCCAATCCGAAATCGAATACAACCCATATCCTGCGAAACGCACACGTTTCGATTCGATATCGATTATTCGCTATGTTCAGAAACGCACAAGTACCAATTCGAAATCGAATACAAGCTACGTCCCCAAACGCACACGTTCTAATTCGATATCGAATACATGACAGTTCGGTGTCCGGACGCTCGCGCACTCGACGGTGAAGGAACATTGCGAGGGATTCGCATGGTTTCGATGTAATAACAAAAATAAAAAATATTTCGAAGGTATATAAAGTCGGCCAACCCACAATGAGGTAACGTGAAGGACTATGCCTTAATACCCTCTGTACGTACAAGGCTTTTGTCCGGCAGTGGGATTTGTAGCTGTTAGTTTACTACCTATTTCACTAGGGCCACACAACAGCCTTAGCCTAACCCTGGTAAAACCCCTCAAGAGACCGGCGTGAAGTGAAAGTGTCATACTTCTACGCTTCGTCTGGTGTGCGAGGTAACTGGGCCGACCTTGGCGGCAACGCATCTGTAACCCTGTGTGCTGCAAATGTTAATAAATTGTTGAAAAATTTCCACGTTATGGTATTCAAACCTGCATCTTCCAGGTAACGGGTAGTAGAAAGATATCGAGATTTTCGTGACGTGAGGATATCGACTGCTCAGTGGTTAGAGCGTCTCGCGGTATTGAAAATTTTTGACAATTTTCTAAGAAAAGTTCACATTTATTTTCACCTTGAGTACAGTGAACAATTAAAAGAGTTACTTCACTCACTTACTTCACCGATCAATATCTCTTTCTAACTTGTATAGGTGAGATGAGAGTGTAGTTCTCTCCTATTGTTTGTATTTTTAACCGACTTCAAAAAGGAGGAGGTTCTCAATTCAGCTGTATTTTTTTTTATGTTCATTACCTCAGCAATTTCGACTGAGTGAATCGATTTTGATGATTCTTTTTTTATATGAAAGCTGGTGCTTCCTATGTGATCCCATATTTTTTTTTATGGGAAAAAAGCGGCAAATGAGCAGGACGCTCACCAAAATTTCCTTGTTATTGGATCTTGGGTTCAGGGGATACTCCTGTAAATTAATTATAAAATGAATAGAGAGTAAGATATTTGAAGTCGGTTCTGTTGTTCTATACCTCACAGAAAACCGGCGTGCAGTGGAAATGTCAAATTTCTGCGTTTCATCTGTCGAGTGAGGTAACTTTATTAAAATGTCAAATGTCCTGACCAGTTTGACGACGTCCATGCCCGAAGCGCAGGGCTGTGTCTCGAAGCCGGCCACGACCAGCTCCGAGACCTCCGCCACCACGGGCAGGCAGTGGTCCATCAGCGTGGACAGCGCCTGCTTCAGTACGTTGTACAGCGGCTGCAACAGATGTTGAGAGTTGGTACCGGGTTCGATTCCCGCAGCGGCTAAATAAATTTCGTCGGTTTTTTTTTTTCAACAAATTTTAATCTTCAATCTACTGTTACATTCCATCACATCAGCCTACTGCTGGGCATAGAACGCCAATCACTTAATTCTAGCCTTGTTTTGCCTATTTAACCGAGTTCGATTACGAAGTGGTTCTAAATTCGGCTGTGTTTTTTTCTATATTTGTTACCGCAGGAGTCCGTCGTTTATGGATCGATGTTGAATATTATTTTTAATAAATTTCAAAGGTTTTATATTTTTATATTAAACATTGAACCATATTCAAATCATTGACATTGGGTCTTGGGCTCTGGAGATACAAAGGCGAATCTCCCAAAATCAAATAGAAAATGTATAGGGAGTGAGATATTTGAAGATGGTTGTGTTTTTTTGTTATAACAATATTACGATTGTTTGTTTCCATTTTACATATCTTCACATACCTACATGGAACATTTTATGTTGCTCTCCATATCCCTCTACAAATATATTTTGGTACAGAGATATAATTTTATTCTCACTGTCCTATCGCTCGACTTCATTATTTCAATATCCAAGAGCGACATGAATTCGCCCACCAATGAAATTGTCAATTTAACGGTGGTAGGGTCACGCAACAGTTGTTCGCTGTTGCACGATTGGGCAGGTGAGTATGATGGTACTTACCAGGAGGCGTGAAGTGGAAGTGTTATACTGCTACGTCTCCTCTGGTGAGAGGTAGCCGGGTGTAGCGAGGGGCCCACTTTATCAAAAGGTAATCTAAGGTAATCTTTATCAAAAGGCAACGCATCTGCAACCCTACTTGGTGTTGCAGATGTCATTGGGCGGCGGTTATCAGTAAACATCGGGCGAACCGCCAGCTCGCTAGCCACCTTCTCACTTAAAAAGAAAGTAGATGACGTAATGTACATACGTCGTGTCCCGAAAGGTTAAACAAATGTATAATTGCCTGCAGCAGGGCCGCGTGCTGCGGGAAGAGGGCCAGAGCGGGCAGGAGGGCGCGGAAGAGGTCCGTCGCCAAGGCGGGCGCCTCTACCAGCGCGCCCAGCAGCGCCGCGCTGCAATCTGCCGCGCTCGACACGCACGTCGGCTCCGCAGCCTGTATTCGACCGTAACGCCATAGTAACTAAGCTGAATGTCCTCTGACAACTGCAGTAGGTCGCCGTCGGTGGCTGAGTTATCCCATAAATACAGGATCTACTATATATAAGGTATGTATTCAGACAGTTTTCGAACGCTTGTTTGTTTAAACATTCTCAAAGACGCAGTGAAATTCTTGGATGTGATCCGGAGGTAGTGTAGTTCAAATCGAGTAGAAATAAGAATTTGGAAATCAAAAATGACACACAAGCTACAAACTTTTATAAATGTCCCTTTTTTTCAGTTGTGCTGGGAAATCATGAGAACCACAATGTCCTCGATATATCGAGGCCGATATTGATTTTATATATCTCTAACTATAATATTACTACAAAAAAAGTTTTTGTTACTAGTTTGCATAGCTGTAACACTTCCGTCGTAAATAAATTAAATTTTTATAAGCGTCGACATTCCTTCACTTTCGAAATCCCTATGGACGTCTGCACGCGGACCTCTACATTCCACTGAAGCTGTCACAGACGCCGGTTCAACGGACTACACGCCGGTAATAAAAAAAACCCACCTGCGCGCGCAAATCGGCCAGCAGCGAGTGCGCCAGGTGGCGCAGCAGCGGCGCCGCCACGGCCGGCTCGGCGGCGGCGAGCGCAGCGCCCGCCGCGCCCGCCAGCTGCCTACGGACGAACGCCTCCGACTGGCCCTCCGCGCTCTGCGCACCAACACACGGATGCCAACTTAGGAATTTTCTCCCTAAGTTTAGGTGAGGAACATTTAAAATGGAGATTCTTTTGTGGGTGAATTCAATCCAAAACTTCCTATGTTTCTCATTTTGAAAAATTTGGTTTGAAGTAAGGGGTGTTTTGTTTTCTTGAACAGTTGGTAACAACGCACCAACATCGAAGGTCACTAAACGCACAACATGCATTCCATGCGAGCCACCGTTTTTTAAGGTCCCGAAACTCGCCACTCAAGGGTAAAGGGGATCTTGCTTTACAGGTCAAGATGAATCAAACCATTTTATTGGATTCTTTCGCGCTATATTTAAGCTTAATTCCCGATGCTTCTACAAAGCAAAAGTTTGCTTTGTAGAAGCATCGGGAATGCTGACGACAGTACGACTCAAATGTCCGTTTCTCACCATCATTGAGCCAGACATAAATGGTTTATCGAACATAAGTACAGACACATTGCATTTTTATATTAATTCTAGTCTCCGCACTTAGATGAAACTGAAAATGTGCAGATATAATATCTACCAGGCAGCGGCAAATTCATTTTTTTGCGCTGCCTGGATCCCACACGTCGAACCCACAGCGTATGGGGAACAGAAAACTCTACAAAATAATAAATATTTGCTAGTAGGCTATATATCTCAAATAAAGAAGAAAACAAATGTTGCTTCCTATGGAGGCTGAGAGGGTGTACACAGCTGAAATACTGGGATGCTGCACCGAAGAAGAAATATTTTTTGTACTCTGTGTACTTTTAAATGTTCGTAGCCTACCTGTGCTGCGGTCACAATGTCGCCGACCAAGGCAGCCGCTTCAGCGCTGCATTCTGTGCACAGTTTGCGCAGGGCGAGCGCGGCGGGCGCTGGGCAGCGCTGCAACGCGGCACCTGCGGCGGTAATGCTCTCCCGCGCCAGCTCACTGCCTTCTGGTGTTTCTATAGATTCCAGCCACGAAGCGTAACCTCCTGTGACAATATAAAATGAAAATTAGTTCAACATCATCTTTAACGTAATTTCTAGTTCATACTGCCACGAAGCACGAACATGAGTCACCTGCATGTCCTGAATAGAACGCAGCGGTCTATGCCGTTTGCAAGTATAGACGGCTCGTCCGGGTATGTATCACGACCTCACAGAAGATCAGAGTGAAGCGTTGCGTCAGGTGAACGAGGTAAGCGAGACCCAAATCACATCATTAGGATTCAAATTATTTAAGTTTCTGTATCTCGATTATTACTGAGTTTAGTCCATTTACGGTCTTATGCTGCTTACATACTCTTGTTTTTGTTGCCATTTTAATTTGTGCAGTATTATTTTATGTTCAGTGTAATTCCAGTCTTTTTTAGTTTCGTTATGTATCTATTGTGGTTAGACCATCATTAAACGTGTTTATTTCTTTGAAAAAAGTTGACAACGAATCTGAAACCTTACTGGTGTTTCGGATGTACTATGGGCGGCGGTTGTCACTTAATATCAGGTGAACCGTCAGCTCGCTTGCAACCTCCTTACATAAAAAAAAAAATGGATCGTTTGACAGCTGGGTCACGCGTTCAGCTAAGCTGTAAGGCGTCGTGGTGACTGGCACGAAATAAATAAATAGAAAAGAAAAAAAGCGGTGCCTCACCGAGGCAGTCGAGGGCGGTGACGAGCAGTCGCTTCGTGCGCGCCGTCCGGGCCGCACGCACGGAGTGGCGCAGCAGCGAGCGGAGCGCGGGCGGCGTGCGCTGCGGCAGCGGCGCGTCCGCCAGCGAGGCGAACACGTGCAGCGCCGCCTCCTGCCGCTCCTCGGGCGCGTCCGCCGCGCACGCGTCCGCCACGGCCGCCCAGCACGACTCGCCTAGAACGCTGTAGCAGTACATCTGCCGACGGCGCGGTGCTTTAGTCACTTACTTGTCTTTTCAAAGTTTTTTTTTGTTTACACATTGCCCTCGCTTTAGGATAACGTTATCGTGCGTTGTAAGGACGTTTCACAAACATAAATTTCACATGGGCAAACACCCACGAAACGACTACCCGTGGGTCGCACAAACAGCTGTCCCGTGTGGGAATCGAACCCATGACCTTCGACGCCGAAGCCAATACCTTGGCAACTGCGCCACGGAGTCAACATACGTGAAACCCCTTCGGTGATTCGAGAGTTTGGGGGAAGGAACCTGAAGGACTCGTCACGTTTAGGCACATTTCGTTACATCGAGAGAAGATACAGCCTAGAGAACGAGCGAATTATAAGTAAATTAAATGAAACGATAAAACGTCTTAACTGTGGTAGGACCACGCAATGACCACGTTGCACGAACGGTCAGGTCCGCCTCGCCAAGTACCTCGACCATACACAGACAGAAGACACAGAAGACCGGCGTGCAGTGGAAGTGTTATACTTCTACGTTCCGTCTGGCAGCCGGGGCCCATTTTATTAAAAGGTGGCAACGAATCTGCAACTCTACGGGTGTTGCAAATGTCCATGGGCGGCGGTTATCACTTAACATCAGGTGAACCGCCAGCTCGCTCACATAAAAAAGTCATAAAATCGGATTCGGCGATTTCATGAAACATATCCTTCCCACAAAGTGGCTTTTTTTCCCTTTTATTGTGAAGCTTTATGAAGTTCGAACCGGTTTCAAGCTTTAGACATTTTTAAAGAAAAACGGGCTAGTACAAATGAATAAGCGAAACATATTTTTTTACATAGATTTTACGGACTATATTTTTAATGAATGACTGTCCCGTGGCCATGACCGTTGTAAATTGTTGGAAGCAAGATAAATTCCGCAAAATAATTTCTAGAGATGGTATAATATACAGCATTCGCGTTAATACAAGAAATTGAAAAGTAATATAAGCTTTTAATAATGTCTGTGTATGTGTCAATTATTCTAGGGCCGCTACAGCCTATTTTCCGGACGTTCGCTTTTAATTCAATAGGTATACTCGAGCAACCCGAGTTCGATCCTCTTGCCGGCACCAATGAAATTGTTAATTTTAAGTGCTGACTTATCACGTGCTCAACGGTAGCCTGCATATTTTCGAAATAATAACAAAAGAGAAACATATCCAAGATATGTGAAGTCCGCCAATCCGCAGTACAGAGGAGGCGTTTGGCCAGCAGTGTGCCTAGGCTGTAACTCTACTCCGCATATTATTCCAGAAACAGTCGTACCACAGTGTCCGATATGTCTTGTCTGTAGCACCGCAGTAGTTCGACGTCGTCCCGCGAGAGGGCCGAGTCGGCGGGTGCCTCGGACTTCGCCACTAGCGCCATCAGCAGCCGGGAGAACACTTCGCGCCAAACGGGATTCAACTTCCGCGATCCGTCCGCCATGTTCGCTATTTCGTCCTAAACAATTAAATATTGCGGTGAGACGACGCTCAAAAATGAAGAAAAAATCTCCTTCCAAATAACCTTTTTTGAAAAGGCTAATGCGCTGATTGAATGGAACATTTCAGTATAAACGGTTACGTCTACTTCACAATATACCTATCTGGTTGCCGTCATATTGACTTTTGATTACTGTCATCTCCATAATGTGTTAATGACATTAATGGACACTCGCCTAAGACGATTCAATTGACGTAACAATCATCTAAATTACCTCATGTAAATGCATTCGATTGCGCTGTAGTCCATTTTTAGGTTTCTTGGGAGTATTAGAGGCGGGCGTTGAGTTGGCAAGAAAGTGGGCATGCATAAACTTCTCCCGCGCTGTGCCGTTTTTTTTTCGGGTCGTTTCCAGGTCCCCAAAGGTTTGTATTCATGCGTTAAGGTATCATTTCGGTAGACACGAGCAACGCAAGGCGGTGAAGGGAAACACCACGAATTCACCTAAATGATATTTTATACAGCGTGTCGTTACCATTGCGACAATAAATGAACACACATATAGGGGATAACTTTTTAAAGTTGTATTAAACATTTAAATTCTTTAAACATCAATATTTACAGAGTTATTAAATTTTCCAAAACAAAGAATTTTAGAACATCCCCTTACCTATAAAAGCGTAACGTAAAGTTCATTTGTAAAGGTCACAAAGCACATGAATGGGTTGAATGAATTTAAAAGAGACAAAACATACTACTAGAAGGAGAGGCTTGTAATGCGACACTGTGGCGCGAGTTGTATAGGGTGTTACAAATTTTGTTTCTTTTTTACTTAATTAGTTTGTTTGAAAAATATATTTTTTTTAATTATGGATTTTGTTTAACGTTAACATTTTTTATGATAATTGGCAAGTAGCGTTAGACGTGTGTTCATTAATTGTCGCGATGGTAACGACACGCTGTATATGTAAAAAGATTTTCTAAGATATAGGAAAGAATGTCGTTAATTTACGCCAAGTCGCAAGTGTAAAGTCAGTATTTTTTTAAGTAAAACTTATTTTACGGTTAATGTTACATTAAGAATATTTTTCATTAATTTTTATTCCATTTACTAAGCAACTAATGAAAGTCCTTCCAAAACTCGAATTTTCTCAAGCATATATTTATGAAAGCAAAAATAAACCACCAGTCCTCAAACTGTTCGAAACAGCGGCGAGAAATTTTTCCGCTTAACGGCATAAATACATATCACTTCTTTCAGCAGGAGACACCTTTTTATAACAGGCAGTACAGGTGTGTATATTCCGTTGCCTGCTTCGTAGTAGAGAACATGGAAGCCTGCAGTAGACACTCGCCTGCAGCGTGTACCAAAAGCCGAAGACGAGGTTGGAGCGGGTCTCGTGCAGAGGGTAGTATCCGGGGGCGGTCTGAGCTGCTAGAAGGAGCTCGAGGATTTGCTGCGCGCTCTGCTGGGGCGGGTTGCTCTCCATGCCTTGGACTATGGCACGCGAATGGCAGTCCGCCACCGATACCAGACACGTGATGATGGCCGACAGCAATTCCTGTAATGACAAAGCGAAATAAAATGAAGTTGTTCACGGTATTGTTTCGAAATGTAATTGTCAAATGTTGTGCAAGAAACAATAAAGCCATATATTGCGCACACTATGTTAAATTTACTCTAAGGATGGTTCCTTAATTTTTTATTCAAAGAGTTTTCGCGTGCGCTCCTAAACAGCCGCTAGAGTGATGGGCTTTTGCAACTTTTGATTTACAATAGCGACTTACCTTCCTATTCACCTATCAGCTCCTTGTTGGAACTTATAACAAGAAAAAAAAACGTTAGTAAGGGGATGCTGTTTCAATTAGTCCAGTCTAAGACTTCGGATGCTTTGTTGGCGTATATTAGAGTTCACCTCCTATGTAGGGACCGAGGTTGGGCAGTTCCTGCCATTACACTAATGGGCAGGCTTGTCCGGGAGACAATCATGGCCTTACAGAATATCGGCGTGAAATGAAATTATTATACTTTCGCGTTTTTCTAGTGAGTGAGGTAAACGGGAACCACTTTTTTCATGATTGCCTACGCATCTTTTCTTATGTGAGAAGGTGGCAAGCGAGCGAGGCGGTTTACCTGATGTTCAGTAGTAACCGCCGCCGTAGACATGTGCAACGCCCGTAAGGCTGCAGAGGCGTTGCCACTTCTCAATAAAGTGGGCCACGGCTACCTCACTCACCAGACGAAACGGAGAAGCACAATGCTTGTACTTCACGCCAGTCCCCTGTGAGGTCGCGGTACGTCCCCGGACGGACCTGCCCATTCGTACATTGTAGACCGCCTGCTCGCTTGCAAGCCTCTGAAAGTAAAACACGTACATATACAAGGTCGTAAAGAAAAAAAGCGAAGGGGCACCTCGTTGATGGAGTTGGTGACGTTGTCCTTAGCAAAGAGGCGGGCGGTGAGGCTCGCTAGGTCGGCCAGGAGCTGGTTCGCGGCGGCAGGCCGGCGCAGGGCGCCTGCGCCGCCGCCAGCGGCTCGGACAGCCCCCAGCGCCGCCTCGCATGTCTCTAAGGCGGTGTCGCTCACAGCCTCGTTCCAGCTGCATGTCAATGGTAACAGAGACTTCAGCCAAATCAATTTTTAAGTTAAAGGAACATTATCATTAACAATAAACACCTGTAAATGATAACTCGTGATTTTAGGTCTTTAGGACCACGTTTATACGACAGGGTATGCAAAGCTTCTTTGCATGATGGAGTACACGAGTCTGCTGTATAGGGCGTGTCTTTTTTGTGATTGAAGTTTGCGGTTTCAGTCCGGCCGCCTTCATCAGTTCGTAGCAGTCACACATGTCGACATGCATGCATTGGTAGAGTTCGCACATGTGGACATGTGTGCCTTAGTAGCCATCCCGTATATTCAAAATAAGGGGAATCGTGACTTAGGCCGTTGAATGTCCTATTCGTTTACCTCGAACGGCGCTCACCGCTCGAGACGAGGTTGTATCTTTTGTAACCGACGTGTTTGTTTTGCCATGCCCGGGAACGAGCTACAGTGTGTACCGGTTAATGCTACGTCACGTCAGTGTAGTGTTGACGGGCGGGACGCCCGATAGGTCTGGAATACTTACACCCCTTCACCGATCGGGTCGAAAGGACGTTTGCGACGGTCGAACGGTCGGTTCAGGGTGATTTCTTGCATTCACCATCAGAGGATTAGGATAATTTTGGGTTTCCCAATGAAAAGTTTTATTATTCCGCTAAAAAGTTCACGTAACATTTGGAGTACGCAATCGCTGTGTAATATGACGTTTCTTAGATACCACCTTGCATCGCAATGCAGATGAAACTATTGTGTACCTGAAGTTGCACTAGTACTAGAATTTTCTTCAGGTGTCTTTCGGAGTAGTGTAAATGTAGGACATTGTGGGTTGTACAAAGTTTGAATAGCAAGAGCTTGTCAATTAACAAAATTATGCTTGAAGACTTAGTGAGATAGATAAGTCAGTCTGAAACGTTTCAGATGTCTGAACCGAACAACGAGCAACATTGTGGGTGGGTACAGGGTGTCTTACAGAAGACCCAATTGCAGTATTATACTTTGGCAATGAGGATGTTAACTGATGCGTATTCTGTAAGTATTGGCAGTAATAAAATTTCCAACAACAAATGTGAGGAAAATAGTTACTATTTACTGTCCAATTAAATTTCCTATAATTTCTCTATCGTATAATGTCTTCATATTATTTACTTAATGTCTTCATCTATCATCAAGAGAAAAAGGGGCAATGATTGTACTCACGTATAGATAACATGTACCACGGTCTGCAATGCTCGACACAAAGGTGCATAATCTGGTACATTGGTTGGACCATATTCGACAGTATCATCGCATGCCAGCGCTAGCCAGCTCCCAGCACAAGTAGCTGCGCTTAGCCAGGTCAAAACAGTCTCTTCACTAGGAGGCCCCTTACTGTAATCACTTAATACACACAGAATGAATGAATTTATTTTTTTCACAAATCAACTATTTCTAAAACTCAGTACATCTTATTATCTATTTAAAGATTGTTTTGTATGAAATATTAATATGACATTTTACTGAAATGTACAGTAAATAAAAGAAAATAATGCAAAGATTTTTACAACAAGTTCTCATTAAATTTATTTAATATGCACATGAATGATAAAATTGCAAGTTATTATAACTTTTACACTTCTCATACTCACTTGTATGCTGTTTGCAAGAAGTGATGCATGTCATCTAATACAGCTGGACAAGCCTGGAGCAAAGAATTTCGATTTCTCATACGCAGTGAAGATCCCATTGTCATACTATTGTACTAAAAGAAAGGATGAAACAACTTAAACATAATGATTATTATTTTATAAAGTAGATATTATACACATTAGATTAATAATTTAATAAAGTAAATTGTATGTTGAATGTCCAAATCTATATCAAAATATAAGTAAATTAACAGTGATAGAATTTTATAATTTAATTAAAAATGCAATTTACTTCTTCAGGTATCACAGTTAATACTTCAAGCAGCAATGATGTATTTTCTGGAGTTGACAGGGGTCTTAATGTTGACGCTAAGTCTGTAGCACCAAGTTGGAGAATTACTGCTGCCAACTGAAAAAACAATAATATTTAAAGCTTGCACATGTTAAGGCATATTTCAATAATAATATTCTGTATGGAAATGGTGACTAAAGTTTATTCAATACCTTTTCTGATCTGTAGCAGCACATTTAAAAAAACACCTATAGATATGTTAAATATTAAAAATAAACATTAAATTATACCATTAAAAATCACTCACACTGATGCACAGTCTATTAGTTACTATTTTTGGGCCTTTGGTATATGAAGTAACGGCTTGAAGTATTTTCTCTTTTAGCTCATCATAACTTTCTGCTGGGACTTCATTCCAGCAGCGTAAGATTTTAGTGTGCAAAGTAGTTGCACCATAGAATTGAATCTCGGTTCCCTAGAACAATATGCAATATAATGAATCTAATAAAAAAACATAAAAGCTTAACGACAATTATTAAGGGCAAATTGGTTAACTTGAATTTAAATTAAATCATGTTATCAAAAGGGGTGACAGTAAGCCCACATTTCTGCTTTATTTTAACGTAAAACGTAAATTGACTTAACGTAAATTAAACTATTAACATTTCTAGCTTCGTGAAAGTATCAAGATGCATGTACTTAATCTTTTTTATTCAAAAATATAACCAAACATCTATGAACCTTGTGTGGTTGAAGTAGCTCCCAAACGAAATTCCATGCTTCTGGCGCTCTTTGGGCTTGTGTAAGCCAAGTGTGTGCCTTAACTCTTTCCTGCTGCTCTCCATTATAAAACACTGATACAGCATATTCTAGATTTTGTGCTGTATACTCCATTTGGTAAGAAAATCTGTTTTGCTCTTAAAGCAATTTAAACTATACTTACAACCTTGTCATTCGTAAGCCACTTTTTACTAATTGATATTAATTAAAAAACAAATTTGATATGATAATTTAAATAATATGTTAGGGATTGAAGATATGAATTAAATTTTAGAGTAAAAATATTGGCTTTTCTTCTTCTTCTTCTTTTTATTAATGGCTTGCTTTGTGAGTTATCACAATTACGCCAATGTCAAGTTGTTCTTAAAATTCTCAATTTTATAATATTCACATTAAAATTGTAATAGGCAAATAAAAACTTCAAAAATCCCCTTATTACATACCAATATTGGCTTTGCTTTGACATATACATGAAAATGACATATTGTGTATGTGTAGGTAACTATAAAATGCCAGATGTATATATATATATATATATATATATACTAGGGATGCCGAAAGGAAAAAAAATATCAATATATCGATATTCATAAAAATATCAATATCAGCCTCGATATATCAAAAATATATCGATATATCGGTAAAATTTTCGGTATAAAAAATCATTTATTTAATTCAGTCTGATTCAATAATAAATAACAGTAATATTTATACAAAATTCACATTATATTAATGTATGAGAAATTTTAATACAACGTTAATTTTTTATTAATTTTAATACAATTTCTTTTATTATTCTAAACTAGGTATATTATTTACCTTCGTTGGAAAAAAAACAAACGGCTTATTAAGTAAGATTAATCGGTAAATACGCAGAGACTTGTCTTATAAGATTGGCCTAGATCAGAAGAATTTAGTAATAGTTGTTTAATTAACATGAAAATGCTGAACGATAATTTAACAAAAGTTACTTAAACGTGGTTAAATGATAATAATTTTTATGACGTCAAATATTTTTTTATAAAAACTCGATATTATATGATAATTATTGAGAATTTAATTATAATTAAATTTTTGTTCACTTTATTTACATATTAAATTAAAGTTACTTTAGTTGAAGTCATTAATATTTTGCATGCTGTTTATAAATGAGCATAACATGTAGTTCAATATTTATGATTTGTAACACCTCATGTTGTACCTTTGATATGGATAGTATAGAGTACGAAGGATGAAATTGTAGTATAAATACCATTATTATTATAGTACAAAACGCAATTCTGCATCCGCGACAATACTAATCATAGACAACAGTTTTTTTTTCTGTTAGTTTTTATCTTTTACGGCTTTGAATCAATTTAAATAAAAATATCGTTTTTGAAACGATCTCGATATTCAATTTTTTGTATCGATATATCGGATCAAAATATGTCGGCCAAAAATATCGATATATTTTAAAAAAAATTATCGATATATCGATATTTTTTTGGCATCCCTAATATATACAGGCGATCTAAGTAGGGTTTTGTAAAATCGGTAATAATTAATCACTTACAATATATATCGCATAAAACAATATACGGTGAAAACGCAACTGAATACCCAAAATTTATGTGGCAGACGATGGGTGCAGTGTCGAGGAGCACTGCTTTCTGCATTTGAGCTAAGAGCAGTTCGTCCTGGAGTCCCCTGTCCCAGTCGCCTCAGATGTTTGGACCGGTTGACTGGGATTAACCCATTCGTAACACTAACAACAACAATCGGGATAACTTTAGTCGACACTCCACCGGTCTACATGTCGGTCACCGTGTGAGCCAGATCCAGATATTTCGTCTTCTTATCTGTTTCAGCTTTCACGAGGTTCTCGTCATATGAAATAGTAATGTCAACCAAAAATACCCGCGACTGTGCACGGTCAAACGGATCAACATTATTACTCAGGTTTATTCGCGAGAATCATCGTTATGTATAATATATTATATGAGTGACAGTGACGATCAAGGGAATAAAAAGAAATTATTTTGAATGAAACTGGTCTCCATTAAAATTAATATACGTGTTTTATAAATATAAATACATATGTTTGGTAATTATTTTTATTATTAAAATAGTAAAAGAAATATATTTTATTTCACTAACGAAATTCTTTTCTTTCATCTATCATTTCCATAATTTGACTATAAATTTCTATTAATTATAAGTTTATATATTAAATTAAATATTACACATCTGCTGGGCGTCCTGTGACGGCATATTTTCAACCGACTTCAAAAAAGGAGGATGTTCTTTTGGGAGCCGGCAGGAGGGAATAATTAAGATGCAGTACAAAGAACAAGCCGTGTTGGGAAAACCATAATCTTTTTATTGTCACTCGTTGCTATAGTAATTTGTCAATATTAGGGTAATGCTAGACCGATGAGAGTAAGGGTGTAAAGGATAAGAGCGGTGCTACACAGTAGCAAATGAGTCGCCACATCACCCCCCCTACGGAGAAAAATAAGTACACATTGAAGGCAAAACAAGTATAAAATGTAACAATCAAATAATTATACACTGTTATTATAAAAGTACAAGCAACATTATTTGGGAATAATCTTTAACTAATGGAATTTTAATTTAAACAATGAAAAAATAAACATTGTAAACTTAAAATTGAAAAAAAAACTCTGCTTTAACAAAAATAACGTATTAAAAACTAGTACTTATAAATCTAAAATATCTTTAAATTTAACTTTGCGACCTGACCGGGTTGTTACAGGCTGTGCGGGCGTTTTAATGGGCACGGCCGTTTGGCTAATAGGAGGTGAAAGAGTCGGAAGGACTGGGGGCTCCGGTGCCAAGTTGTTAGGGGACGGATTGCCGTCTGGGTCAGGTGCAATATACGCAGGTTTTGTTCTGTCGATGCTAACCTAAGATCTTCGGCTAGAAATGTCTAAGGTAAGTGTCTTTTCAGATCTCTTCAACACTCTGTAGGGGCCTGTATAAGGTGGCTGTAGAGGGCGTCGAACGGAATCTTCGCGGAGGAACACGTGAGTAGCATCAGGTAAGTCCTTGAAAACGAAAGTTTTAGAATTCGTGTGACGTGATGCTGGAACGGGGCGAAGTTCTGCCATCCGTTTTCGCAACTGTGCAACAAAATCATGGTCCACGGTCTGAGGGGAATTGCTAGCCACCAGGAACTCGCCTGGTAGGCGTAGCGGTTCCCCATACAAAACTTCTGCAGCTGACGTTTTGATGTCATTTTTTAGTGCCGCCCTGATTCCGAGAAGAACGAAAGGTAGGGCATGGTACCAAGAACTCTTGTGACACATTAAAGCGGCCTTTAAATGGCGGTGGAAACGCTCTATCATCCCATTAGTTTGGGGATGATAGTTCGTATTACGAACGCGTTTTGTGGCTCCTAAATCCATCAGTCTGTTGAAAAGTTGGGACTCAAATTGACGTCCCTGGTCCGTTGTGACAGTGATCGGTACACCAAAGCGAGCGATCCAGCCATGGGTGAATTGATCAGCGACTTCTACTGCGGTGACATGGGCCAAACTTCGGGCCAGCGTGCGAAACGGTCTACTGCTGTTAGGCAATAAGTGAATCCGTTTGAAGAAGGCATCGGTCCAATAATGTCCAGGTGAACATGACGGAATCTGCCTGAAGGTGTGCTAATGTTGCCAAGCGGTGAAACGACATGGCGCGTTACCTTGCTGCTCTGGCAGGCGAGACACTCGCGTGCCCAGGAGCGGCAGTCTTTAGCAATGCCTGGCCAAACATAGCGGTCGTTAATGAGGCGCGCGGAAGCGCGTGCGCCGGGGTTGCTGAGACCATGTAGGCGATCGAAGACGGCTCGCCGATACTGTTTTGGCAAAAAGGGTCTAGGTTTGCCTGTTGACACATCACACAAAACGGAAATGTTGGATCCAGGTATGAGGGTTGGCTCTAACTGTAAAGAAGAATGGACCTTTACGGTTTTAAGTTCGTCGTCCGTCTGCTGAGCTTTTGCCAGGGCTGCGAAATCGTCATCGAGCGTGATAGCCTCAATGTGGGACATTGTGTCAGCAACGACGTTGTCTTCCCCCTTCACATGTTTGATATCAGTTGTAAACTGGGAAATAAACGTAAGTTGGTTAAGTTGAGCAAGGGGCAACTTTTCACGGCGTTGGACGAAAGCATAAAGAAGCGGCTTGTGGTCCGTATAGATTGTCGCGTGTTGTGCCTCTAGTATATGCCGGAAATGCTGTACGGACGCGTACACTGCGAGAAGTTCGCGGTAATACGGCTGCCAGCCTTGATCAGACCATTGCTGTAAGGCAGCGCCAACATGAGTGCTGGAGGCGTCCGTGTACAACCCTAAACGAGCATTTCGTTGCGGATGTACAAGCATGGTGGCCTCTGAGAGACTTTCGCGACACTCGTAGAAAGCACGCTCCAAGTCTGCTGTCCAGGGCATAGCTTTTGAACCTTTTAGGTTGCTGACTGTTAAAAAATCCACAAGTGGAGCTTGGAGCTTGGCGGCTTTGGGAAGAAATTGGCGGTAATAATTTACCATCCCCAGGAAGCGACTCAAACCTTGAGCTGTTTTGGGAAGCGATAACTCGCGGAGTGCAGCGATCTTCTCTTCAGGTGGGCAGATACCATCCTTGGTTATCTTATAACCTAGGAAGATTACCTCACATGTCCCCAATACGGACTTATCCACATTGACAACGACGCCATAGTCCACCAGTCTTTGCAGGATTATGCGCAGGTGTTTGGAGTGCTCTTCAGCATCCCGTGAGAATACCAAAATATCGTCAATGTATCTCATCGATGAAACGCTGGAAGGTTTGGCCAGCGTTGCGTAACCCAAATGACATATAGGGAAACTCGAAAAGACCAAATGGCGTTATTATGGCCGTTTTGCAAACATCTGGACCAGCTACCGTAATCTGCTGGTAGGCCTTTACTAGATCTAATGTGCTAAATATAGTAGAACCAGCCAGATTATGACTGAAGTCTCCTATATGACGCACAGGGTACCGATCGGGAACTGTCCGAGCGTTTAAGAGCCTGTAGTCACCGCAAGGACGCCACATGCCATCCTTTTTGGGTGCTAAATGCAGTGGTGACGACCAGGGGCTTTTAGATGGGCGAGCAGTACCCGCCGACACAATGTCATTAAATTCCTTCTCAGCAATTTTTAGCTTGCTTTTTAGCTTGCATAACGGTCAGCTGTAGGTGGGCGCGTCACTTCCGGAAAGTTTAAAAAATAGTTGACTGATGACAGGGAATCGCGAGACGGTTTTTTTACGGTCCTAATACTTGGCTGATATTGCGGTTACAACAATATGCGGATAAGTTTGTAACCTCATCGCACAGTGTACCGCTACGGCAGTCGGGTAGGAGGTGGAAGAAAGCTAGGAAATCCGAACCGATAATTGGGACATCCACGTCAGCACAAATAAACTCCCAGCGAAATTCACGGCGCAATCCTAAATTGAGGTTCAGATTAACTGTGCCGTAAGTTTTAATGGAGCTGCCATTTGCCGCATTGAGAGTAAGTCCTGTATTTGAGAAACGTCCTTTTATAAGTTTTCGTGGAAAACAACAAATGTCCGAACCGGTATCTATCAAAAAATTAATTTTGGTATTTTGATCGGTAATAAAAAGGCGTTTGCTGGACTGTGCGCGGTCGGTACTTGCCACGTCCGACCGCTCCCTTAGTTTAAAGGTTTGGTAGCTCCTTCAATGGTCCAGCTGCATCCTGGTATGCATTTGCTTGCTTTGTTGCCGAAACGATCGTGGTACCAGCAAAGCTTCTGATTACGTGGGCGTGAGCGCGATCGAGAGCGGCTCCGCTTTTGATTAATGCGTGAGCTCCCAGATCGTTCATGGGTGTTTGTTCTGAGCGCTGCGACTGTTCGCGTCAATTCCTCGATCTGCCGCTGCATTGACGCGAGAGTGGGCTCAAAGGTATGATGCGCCGAAACCTGGCTCACGGTGGTAGGCCTCTCGGTCAACTCCACCAACTGGTCGGCCATCTCCGCCAACTCCGTCAAGTCCTGGATCTTCTGTGCGGCCAACACAATTTGAACCTGCGGGGAAGCCGATTGGCCCAAATTGATCGCAGCAAGTCAGCGGGGAACTATTGCCCAGCCAGACTCTTCAAGTGTCGCATGAACGAAGATGGCTTGCGGTCACCTAACTGTTCCTTTTCTAGTAAGCGCCGCACCTTCTCCTCGAAGGAATCGGAGAATCTAGATATGATTGCGCTTTTTAAAGTTGTGTATGGTTGCAACTCGGGAGGATGTGTGATAATATCTTCGACCTCCTTCGTACACTCGGTATCTAAATGCGCCACGGCGAAATGAATCTTCGTCATTTCAACGGTAATTTGGTTAATGTGGAACTGCGCCTCTAGGCTAGAAAACCACAATGCGGGCCGATCCTTGCTAAAAGGCGGGGTCCTAATTGCAACCCTGTTTACGTAAATGGGACTGCCACTGACTAGTGAAGTAGCGTCACCTTCTTTGCCAACATGGCCCTCTGTAACGTTAGAGTCTCCTTGACTCGCCATGGTTTAAAGGTAAGATCGCAAAAACGCTTTACACATACACGCAGTGGAACAAATCGGTAAATACACAAACGAAACAATTTCAGTATTGCGCAGCAAACGTAATAATAAAATTGGTAGAAAAGTAAAGTAAGTCTAAATACAACATAAAATGATACTATCTTAAAAAATAGCACTAAACTTTCACTTGAACGAGTGTAAACGCAGCATCCGTCGCGAAATATCAGTGGAGAGCTGTTAGTCACCTGACACAATGTTGGGGGTGATTGCCGCGCGTGGCGCGCTTTTCAACTTCCTCCTCGTCAAAGATGACGTAGCTCCGGTAGAGAAAGAAAAATGGCCGGCCTCGATGCGAAAAATGCCGGCTCAGCGCTACATAGAATGGACAAAATACGAGTCCAATAGCGATGTAGATTATCGTAGATGCGTTTACAGTTGTTGCGATTATAGCTTCATGGCTGTTCTGTACAATCTCCCTCGCAGGCTATACCATAGTCTCACTCGCAGGTGGCTTTTCTAGTCTCCCTAGCAGACTTCTCTGCACGGAGGGAAAAAAACAAAAAGAAGGAAGCGTACCTAGGCGGCGTCGCAGAATGGAACAAACCTCGATTATCGCGGAAATTGTTGTTTCCGAGCGAAACTGCAGAGCATAGCGACGTGGGCTCCGATGTTGCGCATATTTATCACATCACGTCGGGGTCACCAGTTTGGGAGCCGGCAGGAGGGAATAATTAAGATGCAGTACAAAGAACAAGCCGTGTTGGGAAAACCATAATCTTTTTATTGTCACTCGTTGCTCTAATAATTTGTCAATATTAGGGTAATGCTAGACCGATGAGAGTAAGGGTGTAAAGGATAAGAGCGGTGCTACACAGTAGCAAATGAGTCGCCACATCCTCAATTCGATTGTATTTTTTTATGTTTGTTCCCTCAGAAATTTCTACTGAAATGATTTTGATGATTCTTTTTTTATTTGAAAGCTGGTGCCACATTAATTTCATTGGTATTGGATCTCGGTCTTCGGAGATACTTAGGGAAGTCCTACAGAGCGAGATATTTGAGGTTTGTTTTATTTTTCGTTTAATAAAAATGGCAAATATGAGTCTTTATGTTCAGATTATATATTTGTGCCTTTGCTGTTGAAACATTAGGTCCGTGGGGTCCCCGCACATCAAATTTTTTTAAAAGTTTATGTCCTAGGCTTAACGCCGCGGCTGGTGACAAGAGAGCTGGTTTCTTTTCTCGCGCAAAGGTTAAGCATAACTATTCAGCGAGGAAATGCAGCTAGCGTTCTTGGCACCATGCCGCGTGGATTAGGTTTATTAGATAAAATGTAATTTTAGATAGATTTAATCTTGTAAATATTAGATCAATAAAGATTGTCTTTTCATTATATATAAAAATATTTTATTTAAGTACCTGATATTTTACTATAAATTTTAGGATGATTTTAAATATGTACATTAAAATATGTTTACGCTTTAAGAAATAAATCGAAAGAATCGTTGTTATGTAATAAAATGATTAATATAATCAATAGTATTTCCTTATTACATTTTTAAGATACAATTTATTTTCCGGTATTTATAACTAAAGTGTTCGTAATAAAATGAGGTACATCTCTACTCTAGTTGTTATTTTGCTGAATGCTGCTAGTGCTAGTGAATCTGAATTAAGTGATAACGAGTTGGTATTATATCGTCTCGTTTGAAGTTTTTTTATTAAATTCTTCTCTGATCTTATAAAATGAAAATCGAGGAAGTAAAAAGTACTGCTAAAACTCAAAGAATATCAGCTCATAGTCACATTAAAGGATTGGGATTAGACGAAAATGGTGTTCCTATTCAAATGGCAGCCGGTCTCGTGGGTCAAGAATCGGCTAGAGAGGTATAATTATGTGAAGATTAAAAAAAATATTACTTATTTTGCAGAAGTTTTTATTCATGAATGAAAACAAGTGCAATAGCGTACAATGCGAATAAACATTATAGATCAAATTTATAGGTTAATTTGTTTGGTTACCATGGAGCTAATGATTATTTTATTTTATCTTTTACGGTATAGTGTTTTTTGACGATTATATATTTATTAACTAAACGACATGACTAAAAATTCCATAAACATTGACAAAAAAAAGTTAACAGTTTTATAATCATTATAAGATACAAAATGTATTCCTTTATCTACATCACAATGTGTGTTTAAACAAACTATTATATATTGAGGTTAAAATTTTAGGCTGCTGGTATAGTAGTAGATATGATAAGGAGTAAAAAAATGGCAGGACGTGCATTATTATTGGCAGGCCCACCAGGCACTGGGAAAACAGCTATTGCTTTGGCCATTGCTCAGGAACTTGGTAATAAAGTAAGTATTTCATTTAATATTAAATTGTTAACCTAGTGTTCACACAGCTGTGTAATAGCCAGATACCTTACTATAGACCCCAGAACATAAGTATGAGTAAAAATATTCATACTTTAAATTTTATTCAGTGATGATGTAAGAGAGATGGAGGACCTGCATTCTCTGTAGTTGGGAACAGGCCCCCTATTAAAAGGTGTAACTAAAAAAAAAATGTGATAATACAGGTTTTGTAAATGTCCTTGTTTGGGGGTTATTAACATCTGTCTAACTGCTAGCTCGCTTGCTATCTTCTTTAATAAAAAAATGTTTCTGCAGCATCTTTGGTGATGTGTTTGTGCATGTGTAGTGGTCCTCAAATTACTAAAATGAACTGCTTTATGCGAGCAGTTCATCAACAAACAAACAAGTTTTATCATTTTATAGATTGATTGCTCAAGCTTGGCATCTATTAAACTGTCAGCTATTTCTTCAAATACGATTTGCATATTTTGAAATTTCGTAACTATAAAATATATGGGAATAAGTTTTGGGCTCTGTATAACTTGGGATAATTTAGGAAATTTCCTTGAATTTTCCCAGGTACCGTTTTGTCCAATGGTGGGAAGTGAAGTATATAGTACAGAGATTAAGAAAACAGAAGTCCTAATGGAAAACTTTCGTCGCGCCATTGGCCTCCGCATCCGAGAGACCAAGGAGGTGTTTGAAGGCGAAGTGACTGAACTCACACCAGTAGAAACAGAAAATCCTGCTGGAGGTATACATTTTGATAGTAATTTTACAAATAGAAATAGTTTTTAAACATTTACAGAAAATAAAGCTGAAATGTGTACATGTTTATGAAATAAATTATTATAATAGGTGTGTATTAAGATTTATTGTGTGTATTAAAGTTATTGAAATATTACTATTTCAATAACTTTAATATTTACTATTTTGTGTTTTTGATGAGAATAGTTGATTTTTATATTACATTACAATATTTCAGGATATGGTAAAACTGTTTCACATGTTATAATTGGATTGAAGACGGCAAAAGGTACAAAACAATTGAAATTAGACCCTACCATCTATGAGGCATTACAAAAGGAAAAAGTAGAAGTGGGTGATGTAATTTATATAGAAGCTAACTCTGGTGCTGTCAAGCGTCAAGGACGAAGTGATACCTTTGCAACAGAATTTGATCTTGAGGTGGGTGGCAATTTCTTATTTTGTTTTTTGACGGTTTTTTGTGTATCAGCAAATAAAAATTATTATGCAATATAGTTTAACAAGCTAAGTAAATCTAAACTTAATGTCAGGTACCTAGATGATGGTACCCTGGGAGGTAAAGTTGACGATGTACAAATTGTCTTATCGAAATTATTAGACAATTTTAAAATATCGTTCGCAATTTAAATAATTACAAACATGAACTTTTCTTTTCCGAAAAGATTTCTTTTTCATACAAAATTATTTTGGCCCAAACTATTAGCTCTATGTTCAGATTATGTATTTGTGCCATTTGCTGTTGAAACTTGGTCGTCCATGGGGTCATGTAATTCAAAAATTTTTAAAAGTTTACATCTTAGGCTTAATGCCGCGTCTGGTGACAAGAGAGCTGGTTCTTTTCTTGTTCAAATATATAAGGTCTTGTGGGACACCATTAAAAACAGTATCACTTGCCAATAAATTGGCTTTATTGCCTTGCTTGCCCCGGAATCCATCCCACATTCATATACCTTTCACAAGACATTTGAACAAACAATCTAATGCAAACTTCAAAGTATGTAAGAAAATAAATAAATTTTTGTTGTTTTACTACATAATTTTTATTTTGTAATCTTAGGCTGAAGAATATGTTCCTCTACCAAAAGGGGATGTACACAAAAAGAAAGAAGTAGTTCAAGATGTGACTTTGCATGATTTGGATTGTGCAAATGCACGGCCGCAGGGTGGGCATGACATTATGTCGGTCATGGGTCAGCTAATGAAACCAAAGAAAACAGAAATTACTGGTAAGAGTCTCTCTAATAGAGATTGTTTTTAGGTTTTCATAGGTATAATTCATTAAAACTAATACATATAATATTTTTACAAAAATGTTACTGTGACTTTTCTTGAAAATTTTATACTAATACTTCAACTATATTGAATTTTACAAATATCTTTTAATATTTTTTAGATAAGCTAAGAAAAGAAATTAATAAAATAGTAAACAAATACATAGATCAAGGAATTGCCGAATTAGTTCCAGGGGTCTTGTTCATTGATGAGGTTTGTATTTTATAATATAAGGTAAATCATTCCACTGTAGACCAAATATCTCTTCTGAATATATTATTTAAATATTAATCCAAATAAAATTCTTTATAATACAAATTGTAATGTAATGACATTTTAAAATTAAGTAAGTGTACTCCTCCAATTAAATGATCTTTAAATGTTGTAAGTTTACCATTTTATTTTAAGTCTTTTAATTATGTTTTAAAATATGATTGCAATAATGATTATGTGAATTTTACTAATTGAAATATTGTATGCTTAGCATATTATCTATGCTTTGAGTTTCCTTTGTTAGCTATTCCGTGAGTTTACTTCTAAGGCCTTATGTTTTAGGTACACATGTTAGATATAGAGACATTCACGTACTTGCACCGTGCCTTGGAGTCTGCCATTGCCCCAATTGTTATTTTCGCTACCAACAGAGGGCGTTGTCAAATTAGGTAAAAAATATAATATTAATTTAGTCATAGTGAAAATGATTACTGTGGCTTGAAATAAGATTGCGCTTTTTGTAATCTACAATAAATTCTATAGACTATTAACATACATTGTAACTTATATGTTTGCATATATTTCAGAGGGACAGAAGACATTATTTCTCCCCATGGTATACCACTTGATCTGTTGGATCGATTGTTGATAATTCGCACATTACCTTACAATAAGGCAGAGCTTTTACAGGTAAATAATAAAAATTCATAAATTAAATAATAAGAATTAGGTACATTTTGGGTAATCTATTTCTCTATGAGGTATTTACAATTTCCCGGCTTAGCACGGGTGCAATGTATTATACATATAAACATTCCTCTTGAATCACTATCTATTAAAAAAAACCGCATCAAGAGCCGTTGCGTAGTTTTAAAGATCTAAGAATACAAAGGGACAGACAGACAGCGGGACCACTATGTTTTATCCTATGTAGTGATAGGAATTTATCTATAATATTACACTTTAAAATTTTTAGATCCTGAAACTCCGCGCCTCCACGGAAGGTATCGCAATCGAAGAAGACGCCTTATCGGCTCTCGCTGAAATAGGTGCCAACAGTACCTTAAGGTAAATATATATATATATATTAAGTTGGGGTTTCTCGAAGTTTATATCCAAATCTTGTATCATATTTTGCTTGTTCGGGAGAATAACGTCCGCGCGCGGTTCTTGGTTAAATTTTTCGTCAGCTAAGCGAGGTTACAATCTTTAGAAGGGTTCTAGGTTGTATACATTTTTGTGATTGGTAGATATTTCTGAAATGAAATGTGCGGCTTGTATCACCGAACTCTTACATTTATATAAAGCATAGGTATACACCAAAATATGTAAGTATATCGATATTATGAATTTATTAAAATGTATTCAAAATTTTATACGATTTTAAATGATTAAAGGATCAACAGTCCCGTTTCGATCCTTTAAAAAGCGACTAACTCAAATGCATCACTACCAAATGCCACAAAATTGGTGTTGTGGACGTAGTGTTGTCGGTCGAGAAAGCTATCCGTCATCAAATGAACCGCTTGCTTGTTTGTCGTCTACTTTTCGTTTCATTTTGCCGTCGCTTCTTCGGTGACTATTTTGGTACATTGATTTATTTATTTATTCTTTATTGTACACCAAAAAAAAAATACATATATACAAAGCAAATTACAAACGAATGTAAAAGGAAGTACAATAGGCTGATTTATTTATTTATATATTTATTGTTAGGTACACCAACAGCTAAAAATATAATATTATTTATATGTTCTATATCTTATAGGCTGATTGCTAAATTTTGATTGTTATTTTAAGAACGTTCCTTTACTTCTTCCTTCTCAGATACGCCGCGCAACTATTGACGCCCGCCTCCCTGACGGCGCGGGCGGACGGCGCTCAGAGGATCGCCCCGCCGCACATCCAGGCCGTCCACACGCTGTTCCTGGACGCAAAGTCCTCCGCGCGCATACTGACCCAGCACTCGGACAAGTACATGAAGTAGCCGGTCACTCGACGCGATTGTCCGGCTCTATTGGAGCAAAACAAGAACTCAAAATCTTGTGAGGTGTGATGAATGAAATTTACCGCAGCTTTTGGTAGCATGTGATTGTTTCGCTTAATAAATGACAGTCACCTTTGAATATATCATCGTAACCTATACTGTAAGGACAGGACAGATAATACTAAATGTACGAATAATTCAGCCGCTAAATCGGTGTTCGGCCGCGATAATTCTCAAAACTTCTACAGCTCTCTTTGCATGGTAAGGCATTGATCTGAATCAGTCTTCTATGCGTTAATTTGAAATATAGAACTGTCGCCGCTGCCTCAATAGTACAACTGAAATTTAATCTCCATTACATCTCTTTATGAGCTATAAGGTCGTTTATCATTCAGCGTTAATAATCTCACTCACACATAAGTCCATCGAATGTGCTTGGAAGGTAACTAGTATCGAGTATTAAATGCGATGCATTCCAGTGACAAATTAGTTGCGTTTACAAGTTCCGATTTGTCAATATTTCTAAATACTCGATACTCTCGTATGATAGATAGGACTAGTCCTGAGATGTATTGAAACCTAGTGTCAAAACTTGTTCTAATAGAGGATATTAGAACAAGTTTTGACATACCTTTTTTTTTACTCCGACACTTGGTTATACGCAGCAAACTTTACGAAAACAATGTCATGAAGTATGGACTTTCTCATTTTATTGTTTTAATTTAAGTCCTGTGATATGTTTGTTTTATGTTAATAATAATGTCAGTAATAGTAATTCACCGAGTTATATTTTCGTTTAAACAGCGAGGACGCTACTTTGTTTGTATGTTAAGAACCCAGAAAACTGTAAGTTACGGAAATAACCATATGTAATAAATAAGTCTTTATTAAAAATCTCATCTCTTATTCTACACGCCGTACTACCTTTATGTACATACAACAATTGCTTAAAATAATTCTAAATTCCAACAACAGGCTTTTCAAAGGAGTTTAATTTTTACAAGATTTAGAAAAGTCCAAAAAAAATTTTGACATTATTAGCGCACATTCAGGCCTAATAAATATTTACACCTTAAAGATATTTCTGTCTAGTCAGTTATTCTCAACTGGAGATCTTTAAGCAGTTTGCAGTTCACGTGGGGTTAACATCGGGGACGTCTTTGTCGTCGTTCTTCTTAAGAAATTGCACGGGGATGTATCTCGCGTCGTCTTTTGATTGGTCGGTCGAGCTCAAATCCGTAGTCGAAGTGGGCGGCAGGAACGTTGGCAAGTCGACCCTGACGCCTGGCTCGGCCGTGTGCCTGTACAGCGCTTCGAACTGCATCTCTTCAGGTACCGAATGCGACTTTATCTTCCTCTCCTCTCTAGCGTTGCTGGGGTAAACTATCAGGATTTTCTCGCCGGCGCTTTGTAGAGCGACAGGCGGTAGTGCGGTGCTGGTCGTGACGACGGGGCCGGGCACCACTTGCAGCATCTCGGTCGGCGCCGGCCGCAGCTTCTCCGTCGTGGTCGTGCCCCTAGTGGTCGTGGTCGGCGCGGCGGTCGAGGTGGTCGTGGTCGATATCACGACCGGCACGTCGGGCTCCTCGGGCGTCTCGAGCTCGCGGTGCTCGCCGGGCGGGCCCATGTTGCGCAGCGTCTCGATCTTCATCTCGAGCGTGGGCGTGGGCACCGGCGCGCCCGTCGCGTTCGAGTCCTCAGTTGGAATGTACTTCGCGGTCGGCTTGGGCAGCTCGCGCGCCCCGAATATCGGCAGCCGGGGCGCGTAAGCGGAAACCAGCGGCAGCAGCGTGTCCCTTGCGTACCGCTCCGCCCTCGATATGAGCGACGCGAGCCTGGACGGTAGGAATTGTACCGCGAACCCGGTCTCTTCCTCGCGTTCCTCGTACGCCGGCGTGGTGGAAGCCTCGTAGTTCTTCGGCTTGCGCGAAGGCGGCGGCGTTCGGGGCGGTTGCGTCGCACGCAGTAGCGGCTCGGAGATTTCCTGGTCGTCTACGTCGGCGCGCTGGCGGGGCGTTTTGCGCGCGCGCGGCCTCAGCACCGGCTCGGCAATTTCGACGAGACCGTTGGGCGCGGTCTTGGTGTTGGTCATGCCGAACGCCCTGCCGGTGTCGACGGCGCTGGCCCACTCGTAAGTGTCGACCGGGAAGGGAGACCGTGGCGGGTCTTCGGGCAGCTCGTTGTCGAGGAGATCGATGGAAGGTTCTTTGGTCTTTTCCTCTTTGATGGTCATTTCTTGAGTCGTTGTGTTGGCCACTTCGCTATCCTGAAAATTGAGAAGAATTGTTTAGATAGAAGTAAACCCGAGTTGTAATCGTTGATGAAGTCAAATTCCTTGTAAGTCCTGGAAATAGTATACGGTTAAAAATAAAAATTAGCTTTGTTAGGTTTTAACAGTATGCCGACTCTGAAGAAAAATAAAATATCACAACAAAAAATATATTTTCTACAGAATCGTAAATGAACAAATTCATATAATAAATGAAATCTCTGAGAACTGTTGGTAATGAAACATTTAAACACGGTAATTTTTTTAAGGATTATGTATCGTGAGTGGTTCTTACCATAACTATTTGACAATCGCCGGGGTACAAGGGCAGTTGAACGGTTTCGTCCGACATTAGTCGCACCACTTTACAGAATGATGATCTGTAAAAAAAATATTAATACCAATGGTTAATGAAATCGCAGTGGAATGATTATAGCAGTTCTCATTAGAGTATCATTTATGACTTCACCTACAAATATTCTCCCAATCGGCAGTGGGGTCGTGTGGTGGAATATATCGAAATACCCACAGTTCAGCCTTTGCTCAGCAGTGAAACATATATAGGTCCATTCTTTATGAAAATACGTTATCTAAATTAAACAACGCAAGTGGTTAAAAACTGTGGGACGAATCTGACCGTGGGCGTTGGGAGAATGTATGGATCGTATTTAAGTTAGGGCAGTTTTAAATCTTGCATGGATGCTTGAAAATCTGAAGTTTATTGTAGTTAGTCAGATACATGAATGAGTATTATTGGAAAGCATTTTTTGCGATTTATTTGTAGGTATAAATAATTTGGATCCCAAGTTGGTGGTCATACCCAACCAAGTCGCTGTATTCGATAGCGTCACAAAGAGTAATTAGAGTTCTTTTAATTGTTGATTTTATAATGGTTGAGGTCGCACATAATCGCTGATTAGAGAAGATAGAGAAAGCGAACTTTTTTTCAGAAGTGTTAATGTTTTTACATCGCAAAACTCGATATAAATTAACAGGGCTTCTTAGAGAGGCGATGATTAGTTACTAGTGATGCGACTCACGTTTTCCCAAAGCTGTCGGCGATGAGCAGCTTGCGCACGCGCACGGCCCTAGCGCCCGCCGTCAGCCAGCCCGAGTAGCCGGCGTAGTGCAGGCTCGCGCTCAGCGGCACGCCCAGCGCTGGGTGTGGGACGATCACGCGCGTGAACCGGGCCCCGCCCGATTTGATCTCGCGTCTAGATGGACCTCCGATCAATAATAGGCACCGGAAAATCTCGAGTAAAGCGCCATATTGGGCTTAGTTCGCCCGCCTCCTTTGGTGCAACTAATGGCGACGATTTACGCCGTCGATATTCCATGCCACCTCCGATTCCACATAGAGACCTCCAAATCTACTTACTGTTGCCGGTCACCATACTATGCCGGTCTCATTAGAGCTTCGACTCAACTTGTTGGCCGAAATTAAGTCCCTAATCTCAAAAATATGCGTGAATGAGAGTTCTCACCAAATCTATTACATATCTATATTAATGTTACGAGGAGAACGATATCATTTATAATCGTAACAATTGGCAAATATTTTTTTTTTTTTTTAATTTAATATCTATTAAAATTCAAAATTGGCTAATACTAAAATAACGAGTAATCCTTTAACGATTTCTTCTTCAATTCACATAGTGTACCGTCGTTGAATTAAAAGTTCTATCAATTGGATTATGTTTCTTACCGTTACATTTACGGTAGACAAAAGTATACGTCGATGCGCAGCTGGACGGAACGATGCTTTTTAAATTAACGCCCCAGTAATTTGGATTAATTTTTGCATCCTTATCAATGAAATCAAAATGCCTTAGATGACTTTAGTGGAGTAATTATGTGTGTGTAAGCATACTGTCATCATGGGGTGCTGAATCTGGCATCACATTAAAGTTTGAAAACAATGAAAAGAGATGTCAGTAACAGTTAAATATATGTGGTATAATCATAATTCGGCAATAAGAAGTTATTTTGTTAAGTACCACCTACTTATTCATGGGGAAAGACTCGTTGAGGCCAGAGTCTCCGTGCAACGTGAGTGTTACTCTGCCATAGTTTGTCTTCTCGCCAGCTTCGCTGCCTCCCCATACCGACACGTGGTATTGATGAGCTGAAAACATTTATGTTTTTAATAGCTATAATTTTGAAGTTTGATTGAAGACATCATTCGATCGAAGTTTTATATTGGAGCTCCGCAGGATTTTAGCTATAAAATAAACATTCTAATATTTTTAATTAGTTAAGCTAGAATAAAAAGCTAGCAATTTCTTGCTTTGCAGACCTTTGCAGTTCTCATAGAAATCTGAAGGCAGATAAAATAAATCAAGATGAGAATTTTTTTTAAATCTTATATTTTTATCCCATAAATTTTACAATCAGTTTTTACAAACAATAAATTCTGGTGGAACGACACATGTTTTACATCCACAAATTTTTAAAATTGCCAGAAATTAGTTCCTAAATCAGGATTGGATTTGGATTGTTAATTTCTTACCGCAGAAAGGCTCTTCTTCTCTTGTCAACAAGTAGAGTTGCCCGCGACCGAGTGAGCGGTCGGCGTAGTATCCCATGTTGCCGCATCGCCGGTCCTCGCTGCACGGGAAACACCGACCCTAAAATATATACCCTTCTTTTATAGATTCAGGATGCAAATGTTTTAAGAGTACTTAAGTCTTGTTACAATATAAACTATAACTGGTACGAAGCTTCACGCGCGAATAGAGAGGTCACAGAAGACCATCGTGAAGTCTAAGTGTTATATATACTTCTGCGGTTCGTCTGGTGAATGAGATAGCCAACAGCCCTACGGGTGTTGCAAATAACCATGGGCTGCGGTTATCACTTAACATCAGTTGAACCGCTAGCTCGCTTGTCACCTTCTAATATTAAAAAAAGAAGCCTTGGTGGTCCAGCGTCCGGGCGTACGTTTGGGCAAACTGACTTTATACCACAGTGTAGGTACTGTGCCCTGATAAGGACATAATGTCTTTGCTCACCATTGAGGCATATAAAGCACATGCTGAGACTTTACTTCGAACAATCATCAAGCCTACAATAGTTAGGAATATTTTCGGTTATGAAAGTGTAAAATGAATGTATATGAGGATAAAAAAAAAATGAGAATACCTCGAGGAACGCATCGTAGTCGGTGCAAGGGAAGGCGGGGAAGTGGCACTTGGGCGACACGGAGTCCGTGAAGAATTTGTAGGCGCGGCGGTGGTTGCAAAGCGAGCGGCCCTCCGCCGACGCCGCGGCCCAAGGCAGCACCAAATCCGACACCGCACCCACGAACCTTATGAATTAACTTTGATATTAGTTGCCAAGGATTCGCGCTGCGGTTCGTGGGTTCGATTCCCAAGCGAGATAACTATTTGTGTGATCCACGCAGTACACAGGATACTTCCTCGGATGAACCTGCCCATTCGTGCAACACCAAACTGTTGCGTGGCCCTACTACAAAAGTTATATGTAGAGACTAATCACGACACACAAAAAAAAGTTCGAAACATGGCACATGCCGCTTATTTGTATTGAAAGGTGTCGTTCAATAGTCACGAGAAGTTTTTTTAGCATTTTATCCCCCTCCCCTCCACCCTGGTGATACTAGGTGAGGTAATGATTAACCTTAATCTTGAGAAGTTTTTAAGCTTAATCTTAAGAATTTTATCTTAAGAACGCAACTGTATAGAGCTACGCAAGAGTTTGTTGCATAAATGTACAGGTCCGTCCGGGTAAGTACCACGACCTCACAGAAAACCGACCTGAAGTAGAAGTGTTATACTTCTTTGTGATTCGTCTGGAAGTGAGCTAGCCGGTGCCCACTTTATTAAAAGATGACAACGCATATGCAACCCTACGGGTGTTGCAAGTGTTAACGGGCGGCGGTTGCCACTTAACATTGGGTGAACGACCAGCTCGTTCGCCATCTTCTCACATAAAAAAAGGTAAATATCATTCAATACAGGTAAATTAGGGACCGTGATAACAATGCCCAGACAGACTTTTCTGGCTGGTAGGGAAATCGTCAAATTCACACGCCGTTTTAGAAATTGCGGGTTCAACGAAGCAATAAATAGGTACACTTGATACAGATAACATTTCGTGATTTTTGCTTAACTTATGTTAATTGTACGTACGTATTGTCTCCAAATGAAGAATTATTATTCTTATATACATTAATGGTGACTGATGCATTGAAATAGACACCTAATTTTGTCATATAATGCATTTTAGCGACTAGGTTGTGATAAAATAGAAAGTGCGCTCACAAGTTGGAGCAGCCGTGCTGAACCCTCCCCCCGTTGGGGTAGAAGTCGACGTGGCCCAAAGCTTGAGCGGCGCCGAGTCCGCCCAAAATGAGGGTCTCTCCGTTGGAATGTATGACGTCCACGAACTTGGCGTCCGTGCGGTCTAGACGGACGCGCGGATCTTGGAAGTCGAACAGGGGCCCGGCTGGATCTAGACCTGGAATAATTGTGTAAATTGTGCCTAATTATATGGATCATACGTTTGCTTTACAAAGTTATATCAATTTAGATATTTTTTTATTTATAGGTCTGAAATTTTGTCTTTCGGACAATCTACTGATGTCAGACCTTTTAAAAATTCATCATCATCATCATCATCACAGCCTGTTTGAGTCCACTGCTGAACATAGGCCTCCCCCATAGACTGCCACGAAGTACGATCCTGAGCCACCTGCATCCATCGACTTCCCGCACATTTGCACAGGTTTTAAAAATTATGTATACAGAAATGAGAAAAAGGGAAGATTTATTTTTCTGTCCCATTTACGACCGTTTTTGCTCGATTACCGTAGTGGTTAGCGAAACTCTATTGCATCAAAGGGCGTTTATTTGATCTCTACTACTGGAAAAATATTGCGTTGAACATATTTTTTTTTCTGATAACTGGATGTTTACATATCAAGTACCATATAATAACTATGTATGTAATAAGTATTTATTTACTTATGTGTCCTATTATCAGTGACCTAGTATCCACTGCACTATTGAGACTACATCATTTTGTATTAAAATATGTCCCGAAGTTAAATGTACAACATTGTCATTATTACAGTCATCATTTCCCACGAATATAGTGTGATTTTACCTGTTATTCGACTGATATTCCTTAGCTCCGATCCAGCAAAACCCGCCACGTGTGCGCCCAGACTGAATCCGATCAGGTGAACGTCTTCAAATCTCAAGTCTATGTGTTCAGCCAAACCTGCAAAGGGAAATCCTTACCTAAACAATAAAAAAAAAATAATGACACTGATATTTCATAGTCCTGTGCATGGTCTTTTTTGTCACGCTTAAGATTTTAGGTGACATTTAAGCGGCTGTGACGAAACTGGCACTTAAATTTTTTTAGGTGTCCCTTAAAGTAAAGTTAGAGATCGATGGTGAAAACGGGCATTAGACATAATATAGTTTTTCTGCGGCGTGTAATTTTAAAGCATTAAAAACATTTTTTTACCATTAACAATGTCTTTGATATAAATACCCGGATTTTAATTCAGGTTGCTTGAGCAGTATAATTTTTAAGTCGAGCGTACCAATAAATAACTTCAGCTCCGTTAGAATCAGGCAGTGAATTAAATCTTCGACAGTTGTTCAACCGTCTTCAAAAAAGGTAGAGGTTTATGTGGGCCCCTATTAATAATATTGGTTTTGAATCTTCGCCTTCGGAGATACGTCAGATATAATTATGAAGTGAGCTTTGTTTTTTGCTAATAAAGATGAAGTTTTGCATATCTTATTTGGTACAATTCACCGTATGAAACTTCTGCATATGTCAGCGTTCTTGAATTACCCATAAAAACGGTTTCTTTAGCGAATTATAAACACTCAACCTTCATACTCAGTCCGATTTACATCTTTTTGTAACATAGTAGTTTGTCGTAAGTACTTTACAGTGTCATAAACGTGTTTTTAAAAAGGACCCACAGAGCGGCATCGTTACAGTACCTTGCAGCATCATTGCCAGCTGTTTACCGACGAGTCGAGTGTTTGCCGCCGCCCGCAAGTAGTTCGGCATCGATGCACCGCCCTCCCAATCCACGCACACCACGTTACACTCTTCCTGTTATAAATTTTATCTTTTACTTTACATCCTCTACTAATACTTCCCTCCAAAAGTATTTTGAAAATCATCTATATCATAATTAAGAGATAATTTGGACTAATTTCATTTTTAATTATGCGCGGCGACATTTTCAAATCTTCACGGTTAAACGAATCAACTTTTCTTGATATTATTTTTTTTGAACAATTTTAAGAAGCGCGAATTTAGTCCCAAACCACTGTACTATGGGTACTAGGTAACTGGTATACATACTAAAACATAATTTTCTTTTGCAAATAAATAGTTATCACGGATATTATAAACACCCAGACACTAGAAAAACAATATGTTCATCACACAATATTTTTCCAGTGGTGGGACCGAACCGACACCCTCTGGCGCAAGACACAGTTTCACTATCCACTACGCCAATCGTATCGTCATAATGACTTTCTATCATATTGACCGTGTTAGGTTTCATTCTTCTCAGCCTAATGATTTAACATACTAGCTAAAATAAATAAACTGTGCAACAAGCCTGTCTACATCCATGTTTTGACATTGAAACGTCAGTTACCCTCAAATAGGACGCTCTTCGTTTGTTCAATGAAGAACCATCCGAAGGTGCAGTATACACACAGACTCACCACGGCCATGAGTGCGGACCTCATCTCGTACACCCACACGTTGTCGCAGTTGGATCCGAAGCCGTGCACGATGATCCGCGTGGGCTTCGTGGCGTCGAAAGCGCGCTCCGCCCAGCTCCACGCCGCCGACATGTTGGCCGCCGACACCGACATGAGCGGCTGGTCGCCCCTGCAAAACACTCATCTGTGTAGTGACTAACTAGCGACCCGCCCCAGCTTCGCGCGGGTGCCATATATTAGATATACATATAAATTATCTAGTAAAAATAACCGCATCAAGATCCGTTGCGTAGTTTATAGATCTAAGCATACATAGGGACAGGCAGACAGCGGGACGACTTTTTTTTTAATACTTACTATGTAGTGACTAAAAGTTTGTTCCTCATCATCACCATATTCTTGCCCTCACCCCACCATGACTTGCTGTACGCGGTTTTTGGCTATGTTTTTACGACCGGCCACCTGCCACCTCAACCGGCCACCTCAACCTTTCTTGGGAAACGACCACGCAGATCCGGAACAATTATCTGTTTTGTCACACAAATACTTGCGCCGAGTGGGAATCGAACCCACGACACCTGACGCCGAAGTTTGTTACTGTTATCGTGCTATCCTGAAATGACACTAAACAGCGATTGAGTAGTTACATAGCAACTACAGAATTAATACTTATGTGTGTTAAAAACGGAATCGGTATTCCGGACAACAGCTGTGGTAGGTTCATGCAGTGTCGGCTCCCGCACGAATGGGCAGACTTACCCGGGTAATTACCACGGCCTCACAAAAGACCGACGTAAAGAGTGAGGGAGGTGAGTGGGACCAGAGCCCCCTCTTTTAATGCTGGCAACGAATCTGCAACTGGTCAGATGTTGTAGATGTCTATGGGCGGTGGTAATCACTTAATATCTCACCACCTGCTTGTTTGTCAACTTTTAATATGAAAAAAAAATCGTAATAATTTTTATCGGTAACTTTTCTATTATATATATCTATAATAATTCTATTGTTTCAAACATCACACGTCACCATAAGGATAACTTTCTTGCTTTTTTATACGAAACGCAGAAGTATGACACTTCCACTTCACGCCAGTCTTCTGTGAGGTCATGGTACTTACCCGGACGGACCTGCTCATTCAGTGGCCCTACCACAGTTAAAACATTAATGGAAAGTGACGAAAAACAATTATTCCGTGTTAAAATTTTAATTGCCATTTGAATATTAAATTCAATACAGTTATGAAAGCTACCTGTTGATGGTGGAATACATGAGGAAGTTGGTTCCAACCTCCTGCGGTGGGCTTGGCAGCGTCTCAAGGTATGCGAAGGGTCCAGTGTCTTCGAAACATCCGAACTGGCCATAGCACACACTACCCTGTGACCTTTTCGTCCTGGGTAAAAAGAATTATCGTCAGTCTTTTAAACGGTATGCTATAATGCATACAAAAATGCTGATTATTGTTTAAGCACTACATTAAACTAATATTTATTAATACGGTCATAATATTTAACATTATGAACAAACATTGGAAAATTAGAAATTATTTCCCTAGGGTATTTTTATTATATGGCAATTTTTTAAGCAATTTCTTTTACGCGGCAACGCATGTCGTGTTAGTAGTGTTCGTATTTTATAAAAAAGTACATTTTCTAAAAGAACTTATGAAATTGACATTTTTGGATTTTAGGTTTATGTTTTACTAGCAATTATTATTGAGTTTTTTATTCCTTCATTATAACCATTGGTGATGATAAATTTACTTTACACACAACAATTTACATACAATTTACACTTTGTCAAGTGTTTTTGTATCGGTTACCCATAACTTCCATAACTCTTCATCAAATTGAATGGTTCAAACTCCACTCTAAAGCATATATTTGCCGCTATTGATAAAAATTAGAAAAGAAGAATGTAATTAAGGTTTTCACAAAAAAAACTTTCTTGATAAAATACATCTACACATTCGGTGACTGACGGTAACGAAGAAATTTGTTAGGGGTCAACTAGTTAGTGTAATTTGTAACTGACATAATTTTTTTAACATTTAATATACTTTTGATGTCATTGTTGATGCCAAGAAAAGTTCTGATAACGTATATAACCACTATTGCTGCTTGTCGTTATAATAGTTGTTAATATTCAAGTTCAGCAATAGTTAAAATATTAGGATCAAGGTAAAAACGTTAGAACTCTTATATCAGAAGTGAGATACAATACGAAAACTCGCGTTTGGCTATTCAAACAATCGGCGACATTTTTTCTCTTTGGGTACATACCCTCGTAAAATAAAACAGTGTGTTTTATAGTTACTATACGTAATGGTGATAAAATCTTTTAGTTAAATGTAACGAAAGTTCTGGTGAGTACCTTCCAGTTAATTAATTACTTAAACATATTTGAGAAAATGTTAAATAGCGATACAAAATGGTTTACCCGGTTAAGCTACCGAGCATTTATTAGTTGGAAAATTTAAGGCTTGAACGTGGCGATATGCATCCCAGTTGTGAGGGATAAGCCACAGCGTGTGTTTTGAACGTGGCGATATGCATCCCAGTTGTGAGGGATAAGCTACAGGATAAGTGTTTTGAACGTGGCGATATGCATCCCAGTTGTGAAGGATAAGCCACAGGATAAGTGTTTTGAACGTGGCGATATGCATTCCAGTTGAGGGATAAGCCACAGTGTAAGGTGTTCTGAACGTGGCGATATTCATCCCACTTGAGGGTAAGCCACAGGGTAAGGTGTTAATTTTATAAAGGTTACTTGTACCAGACTACAACGCCCTTCGAGGACGAAGGCGTGATGCAGGACGGCCGAATGTTGGCGCTGACAACACTGTTTACCGGATATGACGTTTCTACTCGAGCTAAGGGACACATGGTCGCATGGAGCGGTGATCACTTGGATTTCGACTGCGTTCCCGGACGGTGATATATCCACTATTGCTGCTTGTCGTTATAATAGTTGTTAATATTCAAGTTCAGTAATAGTTAAAATATTAGGATCAAGGTAAAAACGTTAGAACTCTTATACATATACATTTTTAAAATACAAAAGTGTTAATTCAAGAGAAAGCAGCTTAATGAGTTTCTTATTACTGTTTCGTGGGAAGATCCGTATATTCACAAGAGCGTTCTTACATCGACTTCATTTGTGGATAGACTATTTCATGCAAGAGATAGTTAAACCACAAAGGGTCGTAGTAAAAGACATCCGTAAAAAGTTAACGGCTCCACAAAGATTTTTTGTTCGGAATAGAAAAGTGTATGTTCTAAGCGAAATGTTCTACTTATAATGTAGTTAAGTTTACAACTTAGAAGTTAATGTCTTTTTGAAAGAACTACAGGGACATTACGGTTAAAATTGATGTTATTAATTTAATAGTTTTTTTCCACCTTATTGTAAAAAAAAATCTTTTCTTAATATTATTGTGTAGTACGATTTATGTAATCTAAATAAAGTAAATTTATGGATCTATGTATCTATGGTTATAATTTTAAAATAACCGCAAATGTTTAGTATTCTGCGGGTGGCTTAGTATGGCTGGTAATTTGCAATAGTTCAATTTTATATGTTTCACATTCGAGTCAAAGACATGCAGTATTGTTAAATTGCTCTGCGGTTTCCGCATTATGAATAGACTTAGGAATGTATGGTATAAAGCACCTTTTTCACATTTTTTCTCAATCCATATTTATTAATATTATAAATGCGAAAGTAAAGGCCCATTTATACGGTGCCAGTTTCTTGCCTGTTGTATACTATTAAATTGAAGCAATAAATGAGTTGCATGGTCTAAACAATAAATGGTCTAAACAATTATTGCGCGCAATTTATTGCATTCAATTATTGCTCTTGTCATGTGCTCGGCGGTGAAGGAAAACATCGTGAGGAAACCTGCATATTTTCGAAATAATAACAAAAAAAATGTATTTCGAAAACATGTGAAGTCCGCCAATCCGCAGTGGGGCCGCGTGGTGGACTATGCCCTGATACCCTCTCTATAGAGGAGGCCTTTGCCCAGCAGTGGGACATGTATAGGCTGTTACTTTACTTTACTACAATTATTGCTCTTGTATGCTCAAGAAAATGGCATCGTGTAAATGGGCCTTTACTCTGTCTGTCTCGCTTTTACGCCAAAACTACTGAACCGATTTAAATGAAATTTGGTACACAAATAGTCTAGAGCCAGAGAAAGGACTACTATTTTCAATATGGACTGCATTGAATTTTATTATATTACGGGTTAAAAAAATTCTTCCGTTCATATCAATGACTTAAATTGACATTTTGTTTTGGTTGTTTTATTATTTTTATTGAATATCATAGTTAATGTCTGTTGTATTATTGCCATGGATGGAACGTATAATATGGTGCCATTTGTGCTTAATACATGAGATACTGAACGTATCAACGTTTATTAAATTACTGATAAATTGACATTATAAAGATAACCTTGCAACGGATATAAAAGTAAAACAGTGATTTAAGAACGTCAAGAGTAAATATTAATAAGGCAGAAGGCATGCTTACTGATATTATGTCAAATGCGAGGTAGATATGTCACTAACGCCCCGAATATGAGGCAATAAAATTACGCCAATTTGTGCTATTAGATTGCAATTCTAGTCTGCTATCTCTTTTCGATACGTTCTATATCATCTGTCACATTCGGAACAGATTTTGAACGCCGCGCAGTTGAGATCTTTATTAAAACAAGATTCATTGTACTTAAAGGATAAAATCAGAAGAACCAGAATCAACGACATAGCTCTCGACATTTGCATGCTGAAGTGTCAACGGGCAGGCCACATCGCTCAAAGAACCGTCGGCCAACGGAGAATAATAGTTCTCGAGCGGTGACAATGAACCGTAGCGTTGGAAAGCCTCCGTCTAGGTGGACCGTCGACATCGCAATAGTCGTGGCCAACTGGAATGCAAACGACAGTGTCGTTCGTTGTGGCGTTCAAAGGGGGAGACATATTTTCAACAGTGGACGTCTTGCGGCCGATTATGATGACGACATTGATGACGTGTAAGATTAAAACATGTAGAAAATTAAAACATGTAGAAAAAGTACGAAAAGATTGTCGCCGCTGTGGGAATCGAACCCACGTCTTCGGCATTCGCGTGTACGTTGTTGACGTGTAAGATGTTCTTTTAAATTATTAAAAATATAATGATAATTTGAAAGAAGGTTCGAATTCCAGAACTTTTTTTAAAAAAGGAAATGTAATTGAGACTATAAAAGGGGCTCAGAGCGCGTTAGACGGCAGTTCAGTGGAGGAACTCGAGGAAGAAGGAAGAGGAAGAAGAAGCAGAAAAAAAAAAGTGAAAAGTGAAGTAAATAGTGAGTGAACAGTATAGTGGACAGTATAGTCGTGAACAGTGACGCGAAGTGACTAGTAGTGTAAAGTCGTACGCGGTGGGTTGGTGCGGTAACGTGTGTATCGTTGCACCGGTGGACGCGTACGTGGAGATGGGTGCGAGAGGGAGCGTACCGGCAGTCGTGTCACGGTAAGATTGGTGCGGAACGTCGTCACACCGGTGGTAGTGTTAGGGACTGGAGCGGGATTGAGTGGGCCGCTGTGCACGTCTTTATTGGCGACAATAAAGTAAACCGAACCCCCAGCTCGTGACAATATACATGATATTCTGATATGGAACCTCGTGCGAGCCTTCTTCATCTCCCATTGTTGCATTGAGTTCCGCACGGCGGCGAGAAGTTCGGCGTCGCGGCGTTCATCCTCCGCTTCTTGGGCAGGCGTGGCCGGCCGGCCGGCACCCTTCCATGGCTCCAATTCGGCATCTGTTCGCGAAATTAGGACCGTTTGTTTAAATTATTGTATAATAAAGATTGTTGGTTATATATAAAACAAAACTATTTTCAACCGATTATAAAATGAATACAGAGCGAAATTTGAGTCGGCTTTGTTTTTCGTTATAAAAAGAACTTGTTATCACATTTTATCGCGTTTCATTTTGATTTTGAGTTCCCGGCTGTTCGAGCACTTTACAGCGTTTTTTGAATGGAGTGTTCTACTGCAGTGGCGGACTAAGGCCTTCAGAGGCCCGGGGCGGTAAAGCTGAATGAGGCCCCTAGTTTGAGGAATTGATCTAATAAACAAGCTTTTTATTCACTTACCATTTGCATGCATAAATGTTTATGTTTATTTAGTTAAAATCTTGTAAGTGAAATTTAAATTGGACTTAAATAAAATATATGCACACTCACAGAATACAGAGATGGATGAGGTAAGTAAAATACGAATCGGTCTGCAAAAAAAAAATAGTAAAAATAAAGTAATAGCTAGTTTTTATTTCCAGTAAGTTTCTGTAACTAAACAATATAGACATTATAAAGATTAGCAGCAGTGGGTAGATTGCCTTAGAAGCCCCTCAAATTCAAATATCGGCCCAAATGAAGAGTTAAGATTTTCCACCAAAGAAAAAAAAATCTAGATTGGAATGAATATACACTTTTCTCCACTTTTTTTTTGGAAAATTTATTTATTAAATTATCCATAGCGAAAACAATTTCACTTTTTCTAGATTATCTGCCGCTATATGAAATAGTGACTTATCTGTTATCCGTTCCTGTCCCATAGAAATCTTAAGATTTATTAGTTTTAATTACGAAAAACTAATTTTCATCTTTGCAGTTGTAACCAGAAGATTACCTCATGAAAACGATGCGAGGCTATTGAATTTTATCCGAAATAATTTCATGAGCTCTGTCATGGAATGAATTTACACTTTTTCAGGGTTTAAACACGTTTTATAAGAAATTGTTCATACGGACCAACTGATATGTCGTGACTGTTTTAGCAGACAGTTGTGTTTTTCTACATCTTTTTTATTAATTCGTGAAAAGAATGATTAGTAAAATAATATCTTTCTATAAGTCTTTATTCTCATGCTGTAGAGCTGTGGTATTGATGATTTCTAATAGTGAAGGAACAAACACGCCCAGCGCTATTAGGACTAACTTTTTTAAGGTTACCTAATTTTATATTTTTCAGATGAATCGTTGCTCAATATTGACCCGCGTTTTAATATTATTATTAAAAAAGTATAAGTACATTATGACATTTCTAATAAGATGGCAACGGTAGTAGGGCCACGCAGTAGCCTCGGCACTGGCTGTTGCACGAATGGGCTGGCTCGTCCGGGTAAGTACCACGACCTCACAGAAGACCGGCGTAGAGTGGAAGTATAATACTTTTCCCTTTCCTCTGCTGAGTGAGGTGGCCGGAGGCCAATCTTAAAGGGTTGTCAACGCATCTGCAACTCTCGGATGTAGCAGATGTCCATGGGCGGCGGTATTCACTTAACATCAGGTGAACCGTCTGCTCGCTTGGCAAATTTTCACTTAAAAAAAAGATACATTTCCGACAACACGTCTCTACTGTATCCGAAATAATCGCCAGAAATTGAGCTTTTTTAAATTATAACAATATTTTTCTCGAACTGCGCTAATTGACCAAACCAAATAAAAATTTTCATTTTGAATGGTCCAGATACAGAATAATGGCCTGTTAAAGGTAGATTACATGATGTTATGATGCTAAAGTAATTTTAACATTACATCTGGCCATTACTAGGCAAACATGATCAAAATTCATGTATGACTTGATTGTTCATGTAGGAGAAAGAGTCCATAGATGACATTGTATAAGTTATCATTTATTTTTCCCGGGAAGCACGACTTAAGTATTAAAATTATTGTGGAATTTTTGCTTTCACCCGTTCGGGGCCTATAGAGGCCTTGGGCTCGGGGGCCCCGTACCATTAATATGGCTGACACAGCGTTAGGTACGCCCCGATTATATGATTTTATTTACACTTTTTTATCTGTAAAACAATAATATTTTAGGGACGACCAAACTCTAATCTCTTAAATAGGTACTACGATATTTTTAAAGCCTTGTTTAGGATTTTTTTTCAAGGAAACAGGAAGGTGTTTGGGGGCCCCCCAGACCCTGGGGGTCCGGGGCGGACCGCCCCTTCCGCCTCCCGGTTAGTCCGCCACTGCCCTACTGTCGGAAGTTTGAAATCAAAATAAAACTATAAATTGCACAAAATGCTTTCATTCAACCACGTGTACCCAGTATTCGTGTAAATAAAAAAAAAATTGTAAATTTCAAACAACGAGGTGTAACGGAAAAGATATTACCATAAATAACCAATGTTTTTATTGTTTCTTGGTACAAATTCACACGAAATTAATACGACAACGAAAACCTAGTTTAAAATAGTTGCATGTGGTAAAACTAGTGTGGTAATGTAAAGCCTCGCAAGCTCGGGTCTAAGTGAATTACAATTGGCATCGTTAAAGTTCATGATTAAAACAAATAGGACAAAAACTTTATTAAATGAATAATATTTAAAAGGGGTTACAATGAAGTAACCAACGCAAATTGCACGTGCTGTGACATAACTCAGCTTATTTTGCGAAACGTAAAAACCAACAAACAGTTTCGTAATATGTTGTGCAAAAATATGTACTGTTGATAAAAGTAAAGACAAGCAACAAATCAAGAGAAAGTAACACGAGCGAACGGACAGTTGTATGTGTTGTATAACAAGTCGCTGAAGTGCCGTGCAAATATTTTATATGTCTCTACTTTGACAGGTTGTTTGCGGCGATTTTTTCTAGCCCTTGTTAAAATTGGCGTCGTTAATCAAGTTATCGGTGTAAAGTAACTTCCTACATATACAGGAAATGACGTAAGAAAAAAAAGTCCGGGCAAAAGATGTCATTTAACTTGTACTCACCACGTTTGATAGATCAACGTCACAAGTGAAAAAGTTTTACCGACAACACATCTTTCGATTTATGGCACCTACATTGTTATATTCTCTTTGTTATGGAAAGAACTTTATACCAAAAAAGTCAATTGGTAGTCACTTAGGACGGAAGTCTCCAGGTTGATAGTCATGGAGCCTTAACAGTTAAAGGATAAGCTTTTAAAAAAAGAAAAAAATGTGATAGTTGAAAATGAATTTATTCATATCGATCACAGTTCAGCGCAAAGCCTGTCTACAAACAGGTCTAAGAAATTTATTTAAGAAAAACTTTTTAAAAAGGTATCATAATGTAAAAGAATGACAAAAAAAAAGGATACCTGCGAAGTTTCCTTCACCTGTGTGTTTCTTTTCCGTTAAAGGAACCACATTACAAAACGGTGGTAGATTTTAAAAAATACTATTAATAGGTAAAATGTAAGTACATAGATTTTTTAATTTCGATGAATAAATGATTTGAGTTAAATTTTCAATTCAAATTCTGAAAGCCCATATAAATGAGAGTTTCTGTGTAAAGGAAATAGGAATTAAAAAATATGCAACGGGGCACAACAAATATGTATCGGGGGCGTTGTGTTTAATGCCTTTGTGCAGACTAGGTAACCTAAATGTCATCAGGCGTCTCCGGGTGCGCTACCACTTTTTGCTGTTGCGAGTGACCTTGATCCATTGTGGGACGGCATGCAGTCAGCCTGTCGCACCCTACTATGGTCGAAAGCAGGCCACTCCCATAATACGCAAGATGGTGGGAAAATGGAGGACCGCTTACTCGATCGACACAGATCAATCAAGATCTTTAAAATAACCGTTAATTTTTCGCAAAATACTACAATAATACATCAATGCATGTAAAAGCTTCCATCTTATAAGCGCCTTTAACACGTATGGAGATTGTCAAATGTTACAATCAAGGTCACGCTCTCAAAAGGATTGAAAAACAACAGTGTCTGCTTTGTTAATTTAAATGAATTTTTTGGCAATACTACTTTTAAGTAGCGTTACGCTCGAAAACGAAACTTAATGTTTCATAATTTACAATATCATAATACCTCCTTGGTATCATAATATTAATCGTGTCGATGTGTTAAAATATGTGGTGAAATATTGACTTTGAATATTTTAGGCCAATAAATAGTCTTTAAAATAACCCTTACAAGTATCTCAAATTGATATTAAATGGTTCTCAAAGAACTTACCTACTAAATTCATAAAACGATTTATATACTACATACAAGAATGTACTCACATCTAGCAACAACATAGGATGCTAAGAACAGGAGAAGGGCGAGCGACCGCCAGTTTTGCGTCGCCATCCATACGCCCCGTCATTCACGATCACCTGTGTATAGAAAAAGTCATTCAGTTAATAATAATGATAACTATTATTATTATAATTAAATAAACGATAGCATTTATATCATTATTATGAGTAATAAACAATAGCCTGTGTCAGTTGAGACTGACAAGCTATCTCATGAGAATATTCAGCTGGATGATTTCACGGGATGATGGGCATATCTATCTGACGCGTACGAAACAAACACTGTCATGTACCTAATATATATATTTTATGAAAAATTAAATAATAGAGCAGAATGAAGCAGGCGGTTCATTATTTCTGTTAATAAATAAAAGACCTTATATATAATAGAGTTCTTCCGTTAAATGACTAAGAAACAATGATTTTTATAAGCACTACGCGTTCAGTGATATGTGTTTTCCTGCCATGGAGAAGTGGGGCAAACGGTTTAACCGTTAATATTACATTAATTAAATATATTTCTTTGATACCGTCACCGATATAAGCTAGTTGGACTATAAATATAATACATGTATATTATGCATTAAGTAACTAACAGCATTTATAGGCACGACAGTTAACACCTAACAAATAAACGTATCTTACTTTCTAAGCTCCATAGCTAGTAACCTTATAAATATTTATTTAAATTATATGTTAAGTCTATCAACAAGTATTCATAGAGGTTATCATATATTTATATGTGAAAAGATACAATTTAACTAGTTTTCTTTGTAATTTCTATGTTTATTCACTATTTTTTGTAATCCCTTGATGTTCTCTAAAATATCGGCAGGCATACTATAAGAAAAAAAAAGAAAGTTTAATTTGAAAATTGAATGTACTGAAAAAAAAAATAAGTTACTCGTCTTCTTGTAAAGGGTACGAGCTGATCGACCTTTTAAGTAACGCAAAAGCAATAAGGAAGTCGCCGCCTTGAACGGCTGTTTAAACGGTTTACAAACATAGAAAGGAATGTTAGGAACCCGTTTAATTAGTAAGTCACAGACTATGAAGTGTTTTAGGAACAGGTAAACAAATAAAAAGCGTTTATCAAATAAGGTTACTCTTACGGAAATGAGACATTATTTCTTGTTTAACACGAGGAATGCATAGTAAAAAAATATTAATTTAATTCGAACTTCAAATAAGATCGAATTAAATAAATATTTTAGCAACTGTGGTAGGGCCACGCAGCAGCCTCGGCTGTTGCACGAATGGGCAGGCCCATCCGGGTAAGTACGACCTCACAGAAGACCAGCGTAAAGTGGAAGTATGACAAATACTTTCGCGTTTCGTTTGGTGAGTGAGGTAGCTGGAGCCCAATTTTCAAAAGGTTGTCAACGCATCTGTAACCCTCGGGTGTGGCGAAGTCCATGGGCGGCGGTATTCACTTAACATCAGGTGAACCGTCTGCTCGTTTGACAACTTTTCGCATAAAATAATAAAAAATAAGTAGTTAATATAATTATAAAAGTAATGGTTACTATTTTTTATAAATTATGTCCGTCACAATTTCAAATGACGACAGTTAAAAAGGGACAAGGCTAGTGCCGGAGGCAAATAATATTATTGCTTAATTTTTTTATTTCTAATAATTTCGCTGAGGTATTTAGGCCACATATCGACGTCGAGTTTATAAAATGAGTATTATATATTCATCTTACTTTTATTTAATATTTTGTCCAGTACATTGCTCTTAAAACACTTTTAATTCGAAAAGCCGCAGAAGTTTCAAAAAGTGTGTGTCTCCTCTTCACGATAGTGACCGATCTAAGGAAAAATGCAGGCCGTGGCACGAAAGTGTCAATGTTCCTAGCCCCTTTGTCCCACTGTCTGAGAAACTACCGCCTGGACATGAGTTGCCATGGCTGACTTGGAAGTCTCTAAATAGTCTTCGGACGAAAGTGGGCCGAAGTAAAGAGAAGTTGTTCAGGTGGGGATTCTCAGACGGTTCCAGCTTGGAGTGCAAATGTGGTGCTGTTCCCCAAACCATGGAACATTTGACGTCGTGCCCTGCGTGCCCAACCAACTGCACGCAGGAGAACCTGATGAATGCTACTGACAATGCAATTCATGTGGCTGAATTTTGGGCCGATGTTGTGTAAATAGGTATTGCCATCGACGCAAAAAGAAGAAGATTCGAAAAGGGCACCTGTGGTATATCTATGGTACTTAGTGTTAATTATAATTAAGCTGTATTTTGATAATGTCAAGATAGCAAATATTAGCATTGTTAAGGGTGGCTAGAAGTAGTGTATGAGCGAGCGCAACTTTAGTAGCAGTGGGAAGAATATTACGCAGTCTTCGTAAAGAGCTTATTTATAGCAGTGAACATTTTCTTACTAATCTCATTTATCTGCGGTGTACATGGCAGACAGGCGTCAAAAATATTCCCAGATTCTTCAACTTTTTGCTGTACGGGATGTGAGTACTGTTAAGAAAGATTGGTGGTTAAATAGACCATTCGATCGGCGGCCAACCTAGAACTCCCGATGTTGATATATTGAGTTTTCCTAGAATTAATAGCCAAACCGCATGCCTTTCTGCAATTAGAAATACAAGGCAATTCAGCATAAGTGCTTTCAATCGCTATAGGCAGGATTTCCAGAGACGATTGAGTATGAATCACGAGATCGTCAACATACAAGTGGTAGGAAAACGATAGCTGACAACATATCATATGAATGTGTTATATCATAGTGATCAACGATCGTTACAAAATATAACGATCGTTGTTTTCATAGTGGTATTAAAATGACAGGAGTATTATTCATAGTATAAATTAACATAATTACAAAGTTAAATAAATTGTTACTGGCAACATGTAAGCCTTGGTTTTGGATTTGAAACATTAGACTATTTACAAATGAATTGATTAATTGTTTAAACTTCAATTTAAATTAAAGGTAATTTTTCTGTGTTGTATAATTAACTAGCTGATCCGGCAAACGTTATTTTGTGGAATTCTACTCGGCGAAAGGAATATTCCTACCAAATTTCAAGTCTCTACGCCTTATGGTTTCCAGAGATATCGCGATGAGTCAGTTATCGGTGGAAACCTCTTATATAATAATATAATATATATAGATAATATAATATATATATATATATATATATATATATATATATATATATATATATATATATATATATATATATATATATATATATATATATAGATTACTTTAAATTGATTTTGCCTTTAAAATTATGAAACGTCTTTTTTTAAATGTAATATTGATATTGATCAAGTCGTATGAAAAATATTAATGCTTTTGTGATTGATATGCTCTAAGTGATCTATTGCAGTAATTACAAGGTTAATTTCAAGGCATTGTTTAATAAGGCAAAGCCTTGTGACTAGTTGCCCCATGGGTTTTAAAATTAGGTTGTGTGGGATATTGGAATTGTGTTTATTAATTTATTAGAGAGTTTAAGTTTCAAATTGAATGTAGGCTTCGGGTCGAAACGTAATTTAACAAATATAACAGTTCAGACCAATTGTATGACAATTGTTTTGTGATTAGGAATGTCAGCTTTAAAAATGTTTTTTATTTTTTTATATTTCATTCCATTAAATAAAAAAATTTTTACGTTGTCTTTTGAAATTTGGGAAATATATTCCTCTTTTTACTTATTGGAAACGTTGATTTCTTAACGGTGTAATGATAAAAACTAAAATGTTGATTGATGTTGTTAGTGGATTATATCCTTCAATGCCAATATTCGCCTCATGAATTAGAGGTATTTCCCAACTTACATTCATACGTGCAAAGATGTACAATGTTAAGGTATATACATACGTAACGTATGTATATACCTTAAGTTACGCATTTTAGTAACATGTATCATTTTATGTACAGCCGATGGTGCTCTTTAAAAACGAGTTTCCTCATTCTATATTTAGCGCTGATTATAATCCTTTGTCCCTTAAGTATCGAAAATTTAGTGAATTTAGCATTTGAAGAACGTTCATTCATATCAAAGTTTTTAATGAAAATATAGTTTTTTGCTTTGAAACGTTCTCATTTGTTAGTATTGGTAGAACTGGCCTCGAATGTCAAGTTATATGCAGTTATTGATTTCGGAGTCAAGGTTTGAGCGTTTGCATTGAATGTTGCTATTTTTTCTTTATGACGTGCAGTTTTTGATTTAGTAACTATAGAAGAGAATCGTTTTGTTTCGTTGTAACATGTAAGTGTATAAAAGGATTACAAAGAAGCCTATTTATAAGTATAATCGTAAAGGCAATTTTATTGTTGTCATCCATTCGACGTCATAAGATTGAAACAATGAAGGTATTCGTACTTCGAATAAGATGTTATTTTTAAAATAAGACCAAAAGCGAAAATTTATTTTCCATGTTTGTTCAGAAGTAATTTCGCCTTTACAATCGTTTGTCAATCAAACTGTGGTATCTATTGATCTACATACAGCAATATCTGTACCAATGTAATATAAATAATAATGTACGTGTATTATCTACAGATATTCATATGTGCATATTAAGATAAGTTGTATTTCGCGCTTAAACCGCTCCGCTCTTTGTTTTGTCCTCGATTAAAAATAATTGCATGTATCTTTCTGCATTTTATAGATATTATTTGTCAGGTGCTATGCGGTATCGGTTTACGTTCGTCTGACGAAACATGTCGGTCAGAATTACTGATCCGAAACTGAGTAGAGTTAACCAACCTCATTGTTACGGTTAGCTATTTGGCTGAGTGGAAACCACATACGCATAATAAATCGGATCATAACAACATTTATATATATGAAATGCAAACAGTGTCAGTTATACTCGAATCTAGATTAGAAATCTACTCTTTAAAATGGTTATAGCTTTTATTTTTGGATATAATTGGTAATTTTATTAATGTTTGCATTGTATAATCATGTATCTCTCACTTTTAATATAAATTTATGAAAAGGTAAATTTGTGTAAAATATTGATTATAAAATGCAGCCCAAATTCTTTTTTTATTTATTTCCACAAACATGCAGGTACCT